GTGGTCTCGTCACCTAACAGAGTGGGCCATAGAAACTATATTGTTTCGTTTGAGGATTGAGTGAGGTGTATTCTGGCATCTTCTCTAGCATTTGAATCGTTGATGATCACGGATGGTTTCGACAGTGTTTGATTTGCGTGTTTAATAAGGCCGTTGCTAGAATCATACGATCTTCGACATCATACGATTTTTGGAGATCCGTCAACATAGCAGCTGGAAGTAGCGCTATTGCTGTGAATGACCTTACACTTCTTCATCGTTCTGGCCGTTCTGCTCAAGAGTTTCCTCACCATTCTGAGTGATTGCACCGGGAGGAATATCTTAGCTTCACGTCGCAACTGACAGCCCAAAAATGAGTGCAAGAACAACCCTGCCTGTTGTAAGAATGTGAATGATTATGGGCATTTTGGTATCAACTGCACTCCAATACCACTTATCTGAGGTGTTACTTGTGTTCCTCGCGATAAACTCCATGTAATGATTGATCTCCCATTCTGAAATTTGCATTGTGTTGATTTTGCCCCTAAAGATTTAAAAGCGTACTATTTCGCATCGTAATATACATAGTATTGAGAAGAGCTTAAGAGATATGCTTGTTGAAACTGGCTTTGTGCAGCAAGTTCTAAATATTACAGGGAGCCCAATAAGAACGGCGATCAAAGAGAGTGAAAGCTTCATTATTTGGTTTGATGAGAGTGTAGTGAAATAGAAAGCAAACTCTGCATCCTCTTATAAACACTTCGGGGTCATTTTATTGTGATAAACCAGAGAGTCTGTACGAGGAAGCATGTTTAACTGGAACAATTCGTGAGCACTCGAAGTCTAATATTATACTAACGCTGAATTGAATGATTTGTGATACCGTTACAGCGACTGGCAAGGCAAAGACAAAACGCGATAAAACTACCCAAGCATGTGGAGTTCGCTCTTTCTTGCACTGACAGACATTTATTCCACATCAAACTAACTTTTACGGAGTTTTTCTTGACATGCAAGACAGTAAGACAATTGGTCTCATTGTGATCGAGACGCACGTCCTCGAAGCATTAAACAAAGTGATGGGATGGGTTGTTGGGGTAGGTTGCCAGAAGTAGCCATCAGCTTATGACTGTGTTGAGTTCTGCTATATGTTTCCTTCCATATTTGTTCGGAGATCTGTATGAATTGTAACTAGCTGTAATACTGGCGCTGCGTGGGTAAACGGACTGGATTCATCTAAATTCCACGAGCTTTGCAATATTCAGCAAGCCTGAACTTTAAGCCGTCCTTTTCGTCTTTGTTGAAGCCATCTAAAATGACACAGCCGTCTAGTCTTCTTTTGCTGACCTTTTGCTTAACCCATAGCAGAGATACCGCCGTCCATTTTATGAAAGTGCCATAAATAATTCGGTTGTTCTCATGATGGATATTACCTTGCTTGCCAACATTCAGTAATACTCTGCTGACCAGAAACTTGGCGACGACTTGAAACAGCTTGGAAATTGACGAGCGGTCAAGGGCGATGTTATCGAACAACGACTCCCAGGTCTCATTAGACTCGTACAAGGTTTCCCAATAGGTAATAAAATCGCGTCTGCAGCTATCCATTTTTTGAAGATCCTCTGCAAAGTAGGTGTGATCTATGTCCGTATCTGCCTCGGCTTCTAGCATCTCCAGCTCGATATCCGCGCGCGCAGCCTAAGAGCCTCTGGATAATCTGTTAGAAAGCCCGCTTCCTGATGGCATGGTTGATGATGGTAAGGGATGAAGAAGGAGATTGAATGCACGGCGCGATATGCGCAAAGCGGGTGCAGATATAATACATCATGTGAGGTGTACAAGATGCCTGACTTTATACTGTCGCCATATCTTTGAATATATCTTTGTCTGTGATAACTTTCCCCTGCTTCGGCTTCCCCACCTCTTTCCGCTGCCAACTTGGCCAAATTTCTCCCACTTGAACCTTTGCACCAAGGCACGGATCCGGCGTTGGAGTGACGATTGAGCTCGAGCTGGGAGTTGCTATCGAAGGTGAGTGATATTCACGGTGTTCTTCCTCTCTGACACACCGCAGACGAGTGCAAGAACACTCCAACCTGTTGTGACGACTTTGAGGAAAATATTCCGTCAGTATCAAATATTGACTTTATCTACATTGCGGTCGGAGTGGGTGTGCTCACTTACGTCTTTCTCTCGGGATTTATCGTCACGGCAGAAACGGTTCTGGCACAATAAGTATCGAGTACTTCAAAAGCATCTTACATCAAGATATCTCGTATTTTGACAGCCTTTGTTGCAAATTTTGGCTGCGAAACAAAACAACACCGACACAAAACTATCACAGCCACATTCCGCCTAAGACATTAGTGACGAAACCGGACTATATTGTCGTGTGCCGTTGCAAGTTCTTACACAAACCTAAATTTTTTAACATAAATAAATTGAAGAAATAAAAGAAATAAATATTCAATTGTTAAAGACTAGTACAAACTAAAACTGCGCATCCATACATTATGTGAGGATAGCGCAACATAAAAATAAGACCCGAAGAAGAATATCCTGACAATTTTAGAAAGTTGCTCATCACTAAGAGGAAGACTCCTCCTTCTCATTGTTGGATTTCTTGAGTTCGACACCTGCGCCAAACCACCACCAACAGAAGATAGCTTGGATTCCAGCGACTATAAAGAGTGCAAGGAGAATGTAACATTTGTAGTCGAGCCGGAGTGAGCTATCGAGGATAGCTGGGGCAATCAACCCAGACGCATTGGCGATGGCCACCGTAGCACTACCGCTAAAACCCACAGCAGTGCTGTCTGAGTTACTTGACTGTAGTCTTTGAAGGGATTGTCTAAAAGCCGCTAGTGGTATGATGGCAATGTTTGCGAGCGCGAGGAGGAAAACAGCCAGTAAACGTGGTCCAACGACCTTCTTATCCACTGCAAGAATCAAGTATCCACAGCTTACCAGCACCACGCCCAATATGATAAACCCTGGTCTATTGCGAGTACGATCGGAGAGATATCCGCAGGTGATGGTGAGTACAAATGCCAGTACTGATGGTGGGATACTGATCAGCTGTGCTTTGACACCCTGAAAATCTGGATCGAGATCGTTGATTATGGAAGGAGCGAAGAATGAGAATGCAGCGGTGCCATTGGCCAAAAGCAGCCACATTAAGGCAAAAAACCAGAAATCCCATTGCTTTAAAACACCCACGATGGAAGACATATTGATTTTCCCCTCGTCTTTCTTGGTCGCAGATTCACCTAAGCGCTGAACTGCAATCTGGCGCTCCTCTTCTGTGAGAAACTTTGCAGTTTCTGGGTAGTCTGGGAGGAGGAAGTATATCAATATCCCAACGATAACGGTTGGTACACCTGAGCGTGTGTTATAAGAGTGTGTCAAAACTTTCAGTAGCAGACTCACCTTCAATTATATTGAGCCACCGCCAGCCGGACAGAGCGGGATGACCTAAGCCGTTCAAATAAGAGCATCCTGTAGCCAATAGTCCTGAAAAAGCGCCTGATAAACTGGAAGATGCGACGAAGAAAGCAAAACGAGACGCTCTTTCATCGTCATTATACCAAAACGTAAAATAATAAAGAATGCCTGGAAAAAACCCCGATTCAGCCACAGCGAGAGCGATTCTGTTTACAATCATGCCTTCGTAAGTTTGCACTGCTGCTGAGCAGACGGTAACGATTCCCCAACCAATAACAATTCTCGAAATGTGCTTCGATGGGCCGAATCGCTTGAGGAGTAGGTTGGAAGGTATCTCAAAAACAATGTAGGCTGCGTAGAAGGCTGTGATTATATGTCCGAATCTGCCATCGTGGAGGTCAAGTTGATCGACCATGGACGAACCCTCTACATCTGTATTCATGATTCTTACATTAGCAAGATTCGTTCTGTCAATGTGGTTGAGCATGTATGCAATGGCAGTCAAGCTGAGTATCCTGATATCGATTTTCCTCAACACTTTCTTCTGTTTCTTGTGAAAATCCGCATCCGAGTAGACTGACTCTGGGGATTGCGAGATTTGTTCCATCTCTTTAATTTCATACTCCTTTGTAGACATTTTGTGTATGATAGAGAAGTTGAAGAGATGCAACTGGACTTGTTTCGCTCATTATCTATCTAGCCTTTGGAATGAAGGCGTTCGGTCAAGTGGTCAAATATGAATGGACATGAGGCTTGGGCGGCCTAGAATGATCTGAAGTTGCTGTGTGTGTCGTTTTGCATAATGATAAGAATGATAAGCGCGAAGAATGATGCATTCAGTCATATCTCAGACATTGAACTGGATATTGAGCGTGAGCTTGTGCTGGTGCATGTGGATCTTATGCACGATGAACTGTGATTTAAGTTAATTGTGTAATTTCATAAGTTTATTGAGCGTAAGAAACAAGAGAATCAAGCATTGAATCCAGCCATGCGTGCTAAGCGACTGCGCATACCGCTGCGCACCTTCCAAATTGGGTTTTATGATGTAATACTGTGATCTCAGTTGGATGGATCAAAATGTCTTACTGTTGTTTTGAGCTGCATCGCATTGCTGTCTTACTGATCCAAGTAGAATTGCAGACCATCGGGAATAAAAAAAAGCAAGAATATTGCACACAAAAGAATGCTTATTTCCAATACAAGAATTAGGAACGAGCTTGCGAAGCTCAAAGTCAAGACACATAAAGAGAGATTGTGTGACTGGAAGCACATAATCGCTCTCATAACTGAATTCGGATGTAACTTCTTTGTTAGCGCTAAGGACGTCACGCGGGGAAGTGAAAAAATCATCGCTTTTCAATAATTCGATCAGTCTGGCAGCTTTCAAGAAATCTATATATGGGGCATTTGATCCGAAATTCATACCTAAACATAGCGTTCACAATTAACACGTCAAAGTTTTCTATTGACTTTTGAAGCGAAAACGCACGTGAACTCCCGTGAAGATTTCGAAAGGGTGCTGAGCTCACACAAAGGTGTTTTATGCTACGCGTTTGAAAATTGGGTGGACTATTGTGGTCCTCTCGATCGCACATAAAGGTGAGTCAGGCGAGATACACCACTTACACATCTAACACACGCAGAAACTCGCAAGCGCTAACAATGACTACGCCAAGTTTGTCAGTATTGTTGTACATTTTCTGCCAGCATATGGATCAAATATGCTGAAAATTTGCTTCGCCAGTGTGGTGATACTGCATTCTTAAGTCATCGAGGATTCGCACGTAAAGAATGAATGTAGCAGAGCTGCTATTCACACGCTCGTACCCGCTTAAAGGTATGAAATAATCAATTAAGTAGTGTAGTGTATCCACAAAACGTTATTAAATAAGCACTTGAAGCCACACCGACAAGCAAGCACTCACGAACGCCTTTTAAGTACCCTATTGACAGAGTTTTTGAGAGTGAGTGCAGCTTTCTCGGTCTCCTTTTTGGAGAGAGCGGCGGAGATAGCCACTTTAATACTAGGACGTGGTTCGGAAGGGGGAGTAGCGCCGCCTGGGGGGACGCGCATGTTAGGACCAGCTGATAGAGCGCCAATATCTCCCTCCTGGCCTCTGAGATGGCGAGCGACGGTGACGAATACACCATTAGAAAGTGCGTCTTCAGCTATATCCTCCCATATTGACTCTATTTTTTCTTCATCTGTGTTCTCTACTGCACTCGACATATTCATCACCTGGTATTCTTTACTGGGGGTAAAAAAAACATGTTGGATAGGTGCGAGGGGGTGGGATGCGCACTGTAAGCTATCGAGCCCAGTCAGCGCACTTCGAAAAGTAGCAATATTGCTTTGCAGTGCTTGCACGAGAGAGGGACCACTGGAGGAGTTAAGGATAGATAGAGTCTTATTGGCGCTGACGGCCATGATTGGCGGGAGGGATGCAGACTATTAGGAGAGGCGTTAGATTGGCTGTTAATTTGTACACTCGACACTCACAAAAATGAAGGCGGCAGAGTTTATTCGCTGGTGCTCAACTACTACAGACTCGCCAGCACAGAATCCACCTGCTCCGCCGAGAGTATTGGCCATCGAGCCAACGAGTATGTCAACATCTCTCGCCGGCACATCAAACAACTCAGTCAAACCGCGTCCTGTACTACCCACCACACCAAAGCTATAACTCTCGTCGAGGATCAACCTGTATTTGTACTTGCGTTTCAGCTCACACATCCTCTTAAGGTTAGCGAGCGTGCCATCGTTTTGGAAGATACCCTCTGAGCAGATGAAACGTCTGGTAAGAGGGGACTTCCTGCGCTTGGCTTCTCTATTGACACCATCGAGGACAGCTTCAAGGCTATTCATGTCGTTGTGCTTGTACCAGCGCACGGTGCTCCTGCTGATCTGGAGACCCTTCCTGATGGCGAAAGAGCAGCCCTCATCAGCGACGATGATATCACCGCGCTTGGCGAAAGTGGGAATAACGGAGACAATGGTGGCGAAACCCTGACTGTAGATAATAGCAGATTCAGCGCCAAGAGTCTGAGCTATACTCTTCTCGAGGGCGATGTGTGCATCCATGTTGCCATAGAAACCGGGAGGACCGCAACTACCAACGCCATAGACACGGAGAGCATTAGTGGCAGCGTCTTTAATACGTTGGTCACCTAGCAAACCGAGAAAGTTGTATGAAACGAGGTTAGTGACTTGTTTAGCGCGTTCGATGGGTTGTTGAGGGAGTAAAACGCGAGGTTTTATAGAAGGAGGACCTAGAATGGTTGGAGGTGGCTTGTGTGGTTGATTTGTAGGTACCAGAGGCTCTGGCTGCCAATCGTCGATAAGCTCGTCAATTTCCTGTGGAATTTGAGATAAATGAGAGGTGAAATGAGAGGAAGAAGAAACATACACCCTCAGATAGCCTTATAAAGCCTTTCTCAGAATCACCTCTGGTCCGCTTCGATAGCCAGACGCGTAAAGCGAATAGGAAGAGTAGAAGTTCGAGAAGAGAGCGCCAAGGATCATTTTGATAGGATGAGCGCACGTAGCGGAGGAAAATTGAAGAACCAGGGAGCTGGTGGAGATAATGGGCAACGTCGTCGACGGAGAGCATGGTGGGGGGAGAGAGGGGAGATGGGTGAGGAAATGAGATGAAGAAATAAATAAATAAGTAAATTTAAATAAAATTTAATTAAGATGATTTTATTTTCTGGATTGGCATAAATAATTTTTGGTGGGTGACTTCCTTCTTAAATTCGTACGTCGATGAGGTGAGTTGAATGATATATGCACCCACTCAACACTACACAAAATACCAAATGATGTTTCATCTTTCCACTGAGATCCATGAAGTCAAATTGCATATCACGGAATTCGCTCGTTTCTGATTTTAATTGTGGGAGTGTTGAGGGGGTGTTTGGTTCGTTACACAAACTAACAAACATTAAGTATAGAAAATAATTTGTATTTATTAGATTTAATGAAGATTTTCATTTCATCCGGAGAAACTCGGAGTGAAGGGACTACATTCCTTTAATACGCACGTCGACGATGAAATGAATGAATTGTTAGTTTGAAGTAAATTAAAGTATGGAATTTAAACAGAAAACAGGCTTTTATTCCCTATTCCACCTGTGAGAGTTGAGAAAGAGCCATTTACAGTAGTGGCAGACACACCGTTCAACCCAAAGACACCACCAAGGATCCCACTGCCAATGACGCCAAAGAATACCCGGCCATCCTCACCCAAGCTAAAAAGCCTATTAAAGTCAACTCCGAGGCCTCAGAAGAATCCAAACAATACATCCGATGGAAATGTCTCTGAGGAAAGCGATATCGATATCTCATCTGATTTAACATACGTAGCTAGAAAGTATGGTTATTCCTCTACTCACTCTCCCTCTCAAGGCTGGAGCGATGATGACGACAGACACTGTCTAGGTCCTCCACCTCCACCTTCCAATAGACTCAAACTTAAAGCCAGTAAAAGGGCTTTAAAGGATAGTAGAAGGGGTAGTGCTGTCTCTCTATCCCCATATTCCTATTCTCACTCTTCCTCCTCTCCAAAATCTACAATTTCGTCGAGGTCTGCTCTCGGTGACTCAACCATTAGCGTTGGTTTGGGTGTCGATGTTTCTGCAAGCAATCGTACTCCTTCAAGCAATTCAAGTTGCACCAGTAACAGGAGTAGTAGGAGTAGCAGATCTAGCACAACCACTAACATCACCACTCCCAACACCAAATATACCCCTCCCACTTCGAACACCACTCCCACTATAAAGACCTCCATCCCTCGCAAAAGCAGCAGCAGCAGCATCCCTCAAGACACTCCCCGACCACATAAACCAATTTTTACATCTCCTAATCCTACCTACAACATACCCCCAGTACCCTTTCTGCCGAAAGAGTTGAAATTGAGAGCTCCGAGGACTACCAATGTTTCTACTAGATTACCCACCTCGCTCAAGCCAACGCAATCTACTGTGCCACGACGCACTACTTAGATATTCCCAGTTGATAGTATTATTTTACCCGCTTCTTACATGCTTCTTATAAGGTTTTTGACCCATTTTACCCCTTCTTGTTATTTATTTCGATATAACCTTTTGTTTTTAATTGTCTTTCTTTTTGGCTGATGTGGTTTACTTGTGTTTGTTGATTTCTAGCTGCTCATAGAGCCCGTAACAACATGAATACACCGCTCAACAATTCCCTCCCCCCACTGTCCAAACAAAGCGTTCAAATTTTCCAGGGCAACACCTTTCAAAGAATCAATCTTGCGGAGGGGTCAAACAAGCAGATACGTTCTCGAACTCTTGTATAGCAACTTACAACTTACAACTCCAACGTAAGATGCCCTTTAGGAAATTCGCCCGTGCACTCAAGACGAGATTCCGCAGCAAGGAAGGTGAGTGGGAGGATAACGAGCGCATATCACGTCCGGAGCTACTCCACCATTCCAACAAGTGGCTCAAAGACTTGGATATTGTCGATGTCTCTGGAGCTGCAACTGCAATGTCCAAAGAGAATGGTGAAAAAGGGTTGAAAAGGGTGAAAAACGGGAGGTGGGAGAGAAAAGGTAGCCGCAGTAGCGTCAGTAGTGTTAATAGCCTTGGCCGTGGTGGAAGAAAGATCCGCAACTCACTCACCCTCGACAGTCCATCTAGTCCACCGAGAATGCGTACCAAGAGTATGTTTGGCGGGGGCGCTGTGCGTTGTGAGACAGACGCTGAGGCAGAGGAATCTCACACCCCCTCACACCCACTCAACCAAACTAACACAAGCGGCGCGCACACCTACTCTCCCCCACCATCCTCCGACGTTCGCTCACCACGTAAGAGCGTGCCTTCTAAAACGCGCAAACGCGCTTATACAGTGGAGGAAAATGCTCCTCCAGTACCGCCACTGCCTGCTGATTATTTGTGTATGCATGTGAGTTTAGTGTGTGGTGAGTTGCTTATCTTACTCTATGCAGGCGTATTAGGGGTGTGTTGTAAGAAAATGAACAAATTCACAAATGCATTTGCATATTCCCACTCAAAACTAAACATTCTTTCTAATAACATAACATTAAATACCCACTACAGCCTTGTACATGATCTTTTCAATACTACGATTGCTCCTTCATAAACGCAACGATGGAGCGGTGGACGTGGTCGGCATTGGTGATGGCGAGGTCATGTCCGCCATCCACAATGGTGTCGAGCGAGGCTTGCGGCATGTACCTGCGTGAGTGAGCGGTGTGAGTGGCGAGAGTGGCGAGAGTAAAAGCCCACTCACTCTAGCATACGCTTGCTGAGCGAGTAGGGGACAATATTGTCGGCGGTGCCCTGCGAAATTTTGGGTGAGAGTGTCGGCCGCCATATCATACACAACCCACCCATACTATATGCACCCTCCTTCCGCGCCTGCCCACCGCCTTGAACACCTCGTCTTGGTTAAACAGTATCCCTTCGCGCAGGGTGGACAGCAGGGCGTGAACGAAAGGCGTGCGCTGGCCCTGTATAGCTGACATCTGGTGTGTAGGTGGTGTGCGGTGAGTGCTGAGTGATTTGCGTAAATGTCTCACTCACCTTGGCGAGCATTCTGAGATTATCTGGCATCTCACTTGCGTTGTAATTGGCAGGCCCAGAAGGTTTCAAGATACGTCTGAGCCAATGTGGCGCCTCAATGAAGCTCTTAGGATCGATCGAGCGGGCTGTTGTGAATGGTGCGTCGTCCATAAGGCCAGCGGGGGCGAGAAGGATGATGCTATTGACCATATCCGGGAACACATCCGCAAAGTTAACGACAATTGGCCCGCCCATCGATAAACCACACAGCGTGGCTCTTGCAAAGCCGACGTGGTGCATGAGGAGTGCGAGGGTGCAAGTGTAGAGGGCACCTGAGTACTCGACGATGGGATGGTCACTATAGCCTCTCCCGTAGTGATCATACATGAGCACTCTATAGCCAGCTCCTGCGAGACTGACTGCGAGTTCGCGCCAGATGATACAGGGCGAGCTGAAGCCGTGAACGAGGACGATCTGCGGTGGGGTGTGAGAGGGGGATATCGGGCGCTCTCTCCGCCATCCACACCTACCTTCTCCCCCTCTTGAGGTCCGAGTATATAGTACTTGATGCGGCCGTGTGGCAGACGAACATCGCCGCCGCCGGGGAAGGCATCGGGCGGATAAACCTCATCAACTGCGCGAGCGGTGTCGCTGTCGCGTTCAATACCGCCCAGACCACGCTCCACGCGCACGCTGTAGCCGTGACTCGGGGCTGGCGGCGGCGTGTTTGCAAATAGACCACCTACCAGCCTGTAAAGGTGGAAGGAGAGCAGTAGCGAGGCTGCGCCGAGAGCCAAGTGTTTGTTTTGTATCGTTATCGTCGTCATTGAGGTCGTCGTCGCGGTGGTTGTGCAAAACCGTCATTATGGATAGCATGCGCGAGAATGACACGGGCGATAGGAAGAATGACATGATTCTTCTTGATAGCGCAGAAGGGGCGGGCAGCGTGGACGCGGGCGACGACACGCACACAGAGCATCCACATCCACCACATCAACACCCACTCTACCACGACAGCTCGCAGTACCGCCACTGGCGATTTAGCGAGACGGCGCTGCGGGAGCACCGGGAGAGCGCCAACGCCAAGGCTATCGCACTAGCGCGTGCGGGTTGGGAGAAGGAGGAGGCGCTGAATGCAGCTTCGCAATCAAGCACAAGCGCAAGTGCAAGTACCGCAAAAACCACACCACCCTCGACAGACGAGGAAGATAGGCTGATCGTGTACTACCTCAGCCAGGTAAAACCTATTTGCAACCTCTTCCAGTTTCCCGAGGTGGTCGAAGCAAGTGCCATCACGTACATTAAGCGCGTCTACCTGTTCAACAGCGTGATGGATCTACATCCGAAGCGAGTAATGTGGGTGGAGTGTTGTGCAGTTAGCTCATACGCGTTCCTCACACACTGCGCAGGCTAACATGCCTCTTCATCGCTACTAAAACAGTCAATGCACCCGTAAGCGTCGCAGATTTCGCCAAGCATATTGGTAAAGGCAAGATAAGCACTTCGAGCATCCTCGATATCGAATTTCTCCTCTCGCAGAATCTGCGGTTCGAGTATGCCACACATCCAGCACACCGCGCGGCGTGGGGGGTGTATTTAGATATGCAAAGCATGCAGACTACCCCGCAGCAGGAGCTGGATGGGTTGTTTGGCGAGGTTAGACAGCTGGTTAGAATGTCTAGGCTCACTTGCGCCGAGTTGGTTTACTCGCCTAGTCAAATCGCATTGGGATGCTTCATTATGGCCAACAGGACACTAACAGACGCATACATAGAATGGAAAAGAAACGCTTTCAACGCACAACCGCCACCACACACGGCAATTGAAGGGGTTGTCCATCTCATCAACACGTACAAAAGCAGCAACACGCTCAATAAGGAGAGCGTGCAGGATATCGACAGGAGGCTCAAGGCGTGGCAGGATCCAAGCAAGGTGGAAGGTACGGCGATGCACAGACTCAAGCAGGAAGAGGGGGACAAGGTGGATTTGGACAAGCGCAAGAAGAGGCAGGCGGAGGCGGAGAGGAATGACAAGGACGGTGAGAGTGTGTTTGGGGGGTTATTAGGTGGGCATATCACACATGGCACATAGCATATAAAACATATCCCGTATTCAAATAAATATATCAAGTACACAACATAACATCACTTGGCTGACATCTTCTGATACGTAGTGTCCATCTGCTTCACCCCACACACACTACACTTGCCCCTCTTATAAGCGCAATTCTGGCAGTATCGCGCGTCTGGTCTGGCAGTTGCCTGTTTACAGACCTTGCATTTAGAGCCACCGTCTTTAGCTGCGTAGGGGAGGTATCTGTTCTTGGACAGCAGTTTGTTCTTCCCGAGGTCGTCGCGTTCTTCAGTCTTGCCGGCTTTGCTCGTCGACGCTGACGCACCGAGGGCCTTATTGCGGAAGGGGTCGGGCGCTGCCACTTTGGTCTGTTTCTTTTCACATTTTGCACACACCATGGTGCTTCTTGAAGCCAGCCGGCGAGAAGCAGGAGCGGATGACGATAACAAAGAGCATATTGAAAATAACACTCCTGACGGGCATGCTCGGCGTTCTGCTCGAGACGCTGCCGGGGGAATCTGACAGCGTGAGCGAGGCGGTAGAGGCGGGTGATAGCGCGGGTGATAGCGCGGGCGACAGCACGGGATTGGGTGGTGTAGTGTATTTGCTGGTGCGAGCGGTGCACAGACTACGCCTCCCGCTACTCCTTGACGCTCTCTTCAAAACACTGATACTCATCGTCGTTAAATTGGCTGACGTCATTCTCGCACTCGTCTCTCCGCTCGCTATCCCGCTGCTGCTCGTACCGCGTGTATCTATCTCAACGGCCAGTCTCAGTCTGACGTGGCTGCCGCTATACCAGTTGCTGGGCGGGTGCGCGTGTGTGGGCGCTGTGATTGGATTCGGCGCGCGATACCTGGCAAGAATGTAGTGCATTTAAAGTCACAAAAAAGGCTACGGAGAAAGCCTGTCTATCGTCCATGGGACCTTTTCTACCGCGTCTGCGACCTTGTCCACACTCTCGATCGGCGTGGCTGCATCAGCTGGCAATGCCTTCTCCACGTCTTGCGGATCACGCGAATACAAGAATCTGTCGTGCAGTCTGCTCGGCTGGCCAGACCAAAATTCGACGTGGCTGTGTGTGTCGTTAGATGGATACTTTTGTACGCATTACGCCCTCACAACGGGACTAGAATATATCCACCCCAGAAATCAGGCGAGGAGTGACTGATTGGGGATGATTTATCCTTTTCCGCCTTCAACTGCTGCAAAAGCGTTTGTTTCCCGTCATCTGCGTGGTTAAGCGGGGGAAGCACGCTGCTCTGTCTACTGGCATATGCGCCCAGCCGCGACTCCTCACTCCTGCCATTGAAGTAGGCGTGCGACTCGTGCACTGGCGCCTGAACCACCCTGCCTCTGAGTCTGACCTGGCGTTGTGTGTGCGTGTGTGCGTCTGTGTGTGGATAGCGCCAGTGGTACGTCATGGCGCAATACGGCACACTCGCTAGCTCATTTCCCTTGGCGGAACGGTAGTTGGTGTAGAAGGACACGCCTAACCTGCTAATGCTCTTGGATAGCACGATGCGGGCGTTGGGGATGCCCGCCTTGTCCACCGTAGACACATTCACCGCCTCGGGTTCTTCCACGCCGTTTTGCACTGCGTGGTCAAACCACTGCGAGCGTGAGCGCTGTTTGCTCATACACACACGCCACTCACCTCCCGCAACTGCACCAGTGCATCACCGGATAGCATTCCGCGCACCACTCCCGGGCTCTTGTACTGGTTGTGTGTGTTTATATTGATCCGTGACGTCATTGTCGAGGTGCAAGGGGTACTAATATCACATATATTTCGTTACATTACAACGGCGACGGATGGCTGGATTGCATTAGTCTGCTGTGGTCTGTTTCCGTTTCAACGTGGAGTTCCTGCTGTCGATCCTGTCTGTGGGTTAGTTGCGCACCGACCACACGCACACCACCCACATTCATCGCCATCATATCCTCGTCCACAGCCTGCCTCGCCAGCTGGACATCCTCAATACTACTCAACGGCTCACCGAACATGGAATTGAGATCGTGCCAATTATTCATCGACACCTTCTGTTTATCGTGGTTGATGTGGTCTTTCCTCGGGTATCTGCCGCGTTTTTTGTTTTTACTTGCCGTGGATTGAGGGGGTGGGAGTGAAGCGAGCTGTTGAGTAGCCTTGATGGCGAGGTGAGCAATGGGCGGCCGTTGAAGGATTTTAGGCACCTCGAGCGCCTCCTTTTCTCTCTCGAGTCTCCTCCTCTTCCTATCGTTGCCCTGCAACCCACCACCCCAACCATAGCTGCCACTCTCGACCTTGTCACCCTGCCCATAGTGGAGTTGCTTCACGCCCTCAACCCAGTTAGTCCAGGCAGCGGTCTGCTCAGCGCGAAAAGTGGTTTTGTGCGATTCCTCGAGCTTCCTCAACCTTATGCTGGCGAGAGAGAGTCGTGTATCGCGTCTTTGAGCGAGTATAGTGTGTAGATGCTGTAATTCGGGGTGTGTGCCATCTGCGATCATCGCACTCTCCCGCCCTACGTCTTCCATACGCTCCACATAAAGCTTATTGCGCAGCATCGCAAATTCTATCTCTAGCTTGGTGAGGTGGGCGAGGGCATCTTCGCGCTCGTCGTCGACGTGGTATGCTGTGGATGTGCCCGTCGTTGTGGCAGTGTGTGCATGTGTGTTTTCGTCCGAATGTGAGTGTGAATGTGAGGGTGAGGGCGAGGGGGGTTGAGGTGTTTCATGTTCGGTTGGTGGCGGGTTTGTTGCGGGGTGCTGCTCCTCGTCTTGGTCTTGCTCCTCGTCCAGCTGCTGCTTTTCGAGTTGCTCCTCAACCTTCTCGCCCGGCTCAGCCTCCTCAGCCTCGCCATCCACCGCCATGTCAATCAGCGCCTCACCAGCACCGACCTCTTTCTCAGTTGTAGGCGCTGCGACAGCTTCAGGCGGGGGATCCATAGCCAGCTCGTGCGGAATGTTTGAAGGGATTGGATCGAGAGCGGAAGCGAGAGTGGGTTCGTGGGCGATGGCAGGATGCACAGCCTCCTCCGCCTTTATTCTATCCTCGGGTGGCTCCGACAGCTCGCTGCTGGATTTGCTGAGCGGTTGAGTCGAGGCTTCTGAACCGCTATCGCTAAATCCCTTGGTAGCGCCCTTATCGTGGAAATTTACAACTATCTTATCGCTCCCGCGCGATGATTCTGGTGAACTGAGGCTTGATGTGCTCATCTGCGGACTGCCTCGTCTTGGTGGTTGAGGTTAGAGAGACCAAGTGATGATAGCAAATGTTCTAGGATTATCGCTCAAAGGGGACTTTAAACGGAATACCAGGTCTTATTGAAGGGTTGAGATAGTTGAACGAGTTAAAATCAAGCTTACTGGGAGCAGCGCAGACTATTTACGGTGAAAGGGTTATACCCGCTTTACTAGGCTCCCAAGACGGCGAACCGTAGGGGAATGAGGGAAGAAATGTGGGCTGCTTAAATAACACAGTAGCGGCCGACAAGCACGTGGCTAGTGCCTTGAATTTGTTGTGTTTCACGAATCCGCAATCCTCGTTCCTGTTCACGCGGCTAACAGCGTGAATACATCTGCTCAGCTACTCATCCTCAAAGCTTTCCGTGTATTCAGTTGGTTTGCGCGGATAGCTAGAAATACCGACAACAAAATCGCGTTTACTGCATTTATTGGATGGATCCAATTCAGCTTATTTAAACAATAAAACTATTTCTGCTGCATATGTAGACGTTGTTAGCCTATTTACTGCTTATAGACCACTTTCTACGCGTTACAGAAAGTGAAACGCGTTGAGACGGTTGAGATGCTGTATAATGGGGATTTGAAGGGGTAAAATACAGCACATAGATCAACGGCCATGAACAGCCAATATAAACATACTCAATGTGATCATGTACAAGTATTCTTTCATCTTTCTCAGGGCAGTTCGAGCGATTATCACCCACGTTTAATTGCACGTTTGGAGCACATTGAATGCATTCATTAGATATTTTCCCGATTAAATCCTGTGATTCAAATATTGCATCATCAGTTCGTGCGGGTAGCTAGAAATACCGACGACAACCAATTCAAACCGTTTAAACATTTGATTGGATGTGAAAGAGTCAAACAACAAACGAAATGGAAATCTCAACGCAATTCCCCTTCAAGCTACTTTCCACCTCCCGTAACCCAACGAAAGTCATAGAAATTATCTGGATATGACGTAATACCAAATTCACAAAAGGAAGACATTAAAATGAGCGGATTGAGTGGTCGAATTGGGTCGTATGTATGGCTATTTCATCGACGCACTCCACCAATCCCAAGAATCCCCGTGGATCCACCGTGGATCCCCAACAAGACTCAATACCGCAGATGCGAGCAGCGATAATGAGGTATGCATATTCACCGCAATCCAACCACTCAGATCCACGCTGTACCCACGCCCAACCCACGCCAATTCTTAAGTCATTGGATTATCCCACTCACCCAATTGATGTCAACTATTTTTCATTTGGAGTATAAAGCCAGCGCATCGCCCCTCTCTCCCAAACCATCATCATCTAAATATTATGTCAGGAGCACTCTCAGTTGTACAACCAGGCGTCTTGAGCGGCGTCGATGCCCTCAAGTTGTTTGAACACGCCCGCGCCAACAAGTACGCCATGCCAGCCGTCAACATTACCTCTTCCTCCGTCGCCAACGCTGTCCTCGAGGCTGCACGCGACATCAAATCCCCAATCATTCTCCAAATTTCCAACGGCGGTGGTGCCTTCCTCGCTGGTAAGGGTCTTCCAAACGACAAGCAGCAGGCCTCTGTCGCCGGCTCGGTCGCTCTCGCCCACCACGTACGCACCGTCGCCCCTCTCTACGGTGTCCCAGTTATCCTCCACTCTGACCACTGCGCCAAGAAGCTCCTCCCTTGGTTCGACGGCATGCTCGATGCCGACGAGGCTTACTACAAGGTCAACGGCGTTCCTCTCTTCTCCTCCCACATGCTTGACTTGAGTGAGGAGTCTGACGAGGAGAACATCAGCACCTGCGTCAAGTACTTCTCCCGCATGGCCAAGATGGGCCAATGGCTCGAAATGGAGATCGGTATCACCGGTGGTGAAGAAGACGGTGTCAACAACGAGTCCGCCGACGCCTCCAGCCTTATGACCAAGCCAGAGCAGGTCTACAAGGTCCACCAGGCCCTCTCCGCCATCTCCCCATCCTTCTCTATCGCCGCGGCCTTCGGTAATGTCCACGGTGTTTACAAGCCAGGCAACGTCAAGCTCACCCCTGAGATCCTCGGAGACCACCAAAAGTACGCTCGTGAGCAATCCTCCAGCAAGCACGAGAAGCCACTCTTCCTCGTCTTCCACGGTGGCTCCGGCTCCAGCAAGGAGGAAATTAAGACTGCTGTCGTCAACGGTGTCGTCAAGATGAACGTCGACACTGATGTCCAATGGGCTTACCTCTGTGGTCACCGTGACTACATTCTCAACAAGAAGGACTACCTTATGACACAAGTTGGTAACCCAGAAGGAGGTTAGTCACGGTCATAGCCCTTCAGACGAAAGTACTAACCATCACAAAGCTGACAAACCAAACAAAAAGGTTTTCGACCCAAGAGTTTGCAAGTTTATATCATTACCGTTTAGAGCCTATCTAACTTTTCTGCAGGGGTCCGCGAGGGTGAAAAGGCAATCGTCGAGCGTGTCAAGGTGGCCTGCACAGACTTGCTTTCAGAGAACAAGCTCTAAGTTTAAGCGCAGTGTATTTAATGTACGAGTATTAATGATTGATACAAATTTGCTTCATGTTATGCAGATCTTTGACAAATTCTCTTGAGCGAGAATATCTCATCCATTTCTGTTATTGATGCACATCTACGTCATAGCGCGATCAACGGCAAAACAACAGCGCCCTTACTTTCGAAGTCATGTAATCGCTCCAACTACACTTCTAAATCATTGACCCACTCAATATCCGCCGCTTTGTGTCAGCTTCTCGGATGACATGCAATACTTCTGGTAATGTCAAAGTAAAACGTTCGACGCATAGCCCTGCTTGAGCCGTGAAAGATGCACTCTTATTTATCGCTCTCATCTCACCTCAACCGCCTGCATTATGCGATGTACTTGCAACTGCATCATCACTCCAACTCTCTCGAAACTGCAGATGACGATGAAACCACGCTTTCAATCAATCCATCTTATCTATATTAGCAGATTTGTAGAAATTAAAAGCTCACACTCACTTTAAGTCTATTTTTTATCCTGCGATTACGTGATCTGACTCTTTTATCACGGCTTGAACCCAAACCATCGCAGATTAATCAACCATGTCCGATCCAGTAGTCCACCTTGGCTCATTAAACCAATTCATGGAGTTTGTTGGCTCAAACCAGCCAACGGTCATCAAAGCGGAGGCAGATTGGTAAGTTGGCCCAAAATCACACCGAATTGAGCTAAAACGCGAATGCGGGTGCGCGCCATGCAAGCTCGTTGCTCCTGTATTTAAGAAACTCGCTGAGTCCACACCTGGGGTCCAGTTTGCATCTTTTGATGTTGATGAAGCTGGCGACATAGCCGAACACTTGTCCATCAGATCTATGCCTACTTTCTACCTGTTCAAAGACGGTGAAAAGAAGGACTCGTTTAGCGGTGCTGCTCCTCCAATGGTCGGTGACCTTTTCTTCTCATTTCTTTCTCGTTCCTTTCTCACAACACTCACAGCTTCAAGGATTCGTCAAGAAGGCTGCTGAACTCTCTCAATAGATGCACGAGTGGTCTTATCACTGGATTTCTTGTTAGTTTCTTATGAATGATTTACAGTTTTTTCTAAATATACTGGTGTAAGTAAATTGTCATGTATTAAGCTTAATGAAGACAGCATACAAAAGGATTAGTAGATATGCATCATACCTATTAAACATAAATGAACGATGATAATCACTTTGAGTAATGAATTTGAGAGATTAAGTCAAAGTAAATAAATCAGCACTAAAAACAGCGTCAACACCTGGACCAATATTAAGTCTCTGCAAAAGATGAAAGTGCCTAAATTCGCCATCACAACGTCGACTGGGAAAGTCAGAATCGTGTAAAGTCACTGCTTCTGAAGTGTTTGACTAATGTTGATTCGCTAGTTTGTAAATTGACGTTACTGCTCAATTGACGCCTTGGATCCACAAGTACGGTTAATGTTTGTGATTGAACATGTAGGAAATGACCAGTCGTTGTGTATAGTCAGTCTGCTTCTATAATTATTTGCCATTTGATCATCGATTGAGGCAAAGTACTTGGTAGGAGGAGCGTAGCAGCAGAAATCAGTTGAAAATTTGCCAAAAATCGGCTTATCATGTTTCAACCTGCTGGCGTAAGAGTGTATATGTAGTCGCCACTCTTATTATGTTCCGTATTCGTCTATATCAATCGCATACTACGCACTTTGGCCGCGATTCTACTGGACGTTTTCGTACAGCCGCGGATATATCTGACCAGTATCTTGCGTGGAATTTGACCTAGCCGTGTCATCGGTGAGAGCATTCTCTAAAGTTCGTGTAGGTGCGCGTTAAGTGGGTTTTAGATATTGCGTTCATGTGACAGGCAGCCATTATTTGCGACCAATGCGACCAAGCCCAATTTCCTTTTTCTTTTCTCATCCTTTTCCTACTCTTTGGCTTTTTTCCGGCACGCCTATAAGCTAAATTGCAGACCACTATGAAACGCAAAATCATTGAGATGACACCTGAAAACAAGACTTAAAGTCTGGAATCAGATACAGAGCCAGAAGATTTGGAGCAATAGCCTGTATTAACAATGAGTCTGACCATAACTCTAAATCAGAGTACGAGCCACATATTCAGTTTGAGGAAGACTCAGATTAGGAGTCTTACTTAGGGAATCTTAGAGAAAGAAGGAACGGGAGCGTTCAAAGGTGATCTTACTGACCACGAGCGTACTGAAGAGGATTGTGAAAACTCAATTTGGATACATAGGAGGGAGTGTGAAGCTGCCATCGTTACTGATTCACTTGAGAATTAGGGACTAGAAGGCGACTATGTCAATATTCCAGCACGTTGAGATTTTAGAGCAACTGTCTGAGATGGTTCAAGCCCTGCTTAACAAACAGGTTTTTAAAAGAGATCATTTACGCCGAGTTTTCTTATAGAGTATCATTCATCCTCTGTTGTTAATGTTGAAGAAGGTGGGCTACGTGAAAAAGTCAAGGAATTTAAGAACCTGGTTAATCTCGATGTTTCCAGGATATCTACAAGATTTGATGACCGGGAGGTTTTATTTCCATCCATGGAATCAACAAATAAATACGCGATAATAAAGTACTTAGGTTTAGAGGAATTAAGCACATTATCTATAGCTAAGGACCAGTCTGCAAAAATGGAAGAGATTGCATTAGACTCAGGAAATGGTTGGAGCCAACATTTAATGAAGCAGATATTAGAGCAATGATAATCGAGCTCAACAATGCACAGAAATCATTTATTGGTGTATTCAGTTGGCCAAATTTTAACGACGTGCACAATGTGCCACTGACTGGAATGGTCAATCATTCGCGAGATATTGTCGTTTGAAATATCTGTAATTACCAAGTAGCTGAGCGAGATGAAGTGATATTGTTGCTTGCTTCGATGTCTCAACTTTCCATCAGCCGATTACCATAATTCAAGGATTTCAATCATGATATGCCACCGATTCAACCACACCCAAAGACCGAATAGCTGCCCCTTTCATTATTTAGCACATTTTATCTCACATTTTCTAATGTTATGAACATTTATGCATCTCCTCATGACATTAGGCACATCAACATACCAAATCCAGCCCTATTAAAGAAGCTTGAAAATCTCGTATTTACCGTAGACTTTCAAGGCCGAAAATAACAAGCGGATTTTGAGACGCCACCTACAAAACACTCGTCTCTTCTTAGTCCAGCTGGCTTGATATGCTCTTATTCAGGCGTGTTAGAATCACTAGGTGGAACAAGCAACCTCAAGGATTTGAGCGCTGATAAAACAAAGATTAATTTGGACGGTTCACGAAGCAGATCACTACAAAGCCACAAATCAAGGATCAAGACAACTTTAATTATAGCTGGGGAAAAAAATCCTACGCTATCGATAAGTTTCCTTTATAAGCCTATGGCTTAGGAGTGTCCAATCAGTTCTATATGTTGGCCATGACGTTCCCGGCAGGCTACGTAAGCTTCAGAATCTGCTGTCACTCAGAATTAGAGATTTCAGGCTATCTAAATTCATCAAAAAGAATGAAATATGCTTCTTTGACGACTTCTTTTCTCTCCTTTTGAACGTCGTATCAAAACATATAAAGGAACTTTGAAGGGAGCTTTTGGTAGACTCCTTTCTAAATATCTACACCTCATCAACACACATATCAAAGAGGTTGATTATGCAAAAGAGAATAATAAATCGGGGAAACGGTTTAAAGCAAAATATTTTTATAAGAAGTTCATCAGAATGTATTCGCCATGAAAATGATTTGACTACGATAGTAATTTGCAAATCAGGGACATGGGCATCTTTCTTTTTCTACAAATTTCAACCAGACTTCATCCATTTCTTAGGCAATGAACCGCATCAAAGTCAATTTCACATGTTCCCCTTGAAAGGACCTTTGACAAATCATTCAGTCGTCTCACAACTAGATCGACAAAGACTCAGTGAATTCTATTGACAGCTTACCAGATTCAACCAAGCCCGCCAACCATTGGCGAGATATCGTAGGCCAACGGAAAATCTTGAAAATGACAAAATATCCAAGTGAAAAACAATCAACGCATCATGAACTCTGTCCTCTACCACTTTATTACGATGGTAATCTCAGATCGCAGTTATTTTTTGATAGGTATCATCATACTGTAATTGGATTGATTGCTTCATTGCCTGGTATGTTTCAATAATTGGAGGTGAATTTTGCGCACGCGTGATTATTACAAGTATGTCATTTAAAGTATAGCAGACCATATTTACCGGTTGATAATCTCATTTACTCGCACTTCTACTTACGTACTTCCACGTTCTCACACTCTCACACTCTCGCACCAATTCAATCTTATGTCAACTATCAAATTGAACGCTTCCAATTTTTTCTCAGAGCTAATTCAATCAATATCCGATCTCATTGTCCAGGATAGCCCTGAAACATTCTCTGTCATGACTATCTAGTATCTGTCATTGATTAACCGGCGCTGGAGGGCAGCCATGCTTCATTATCACGGCAAGTATTACATTAAAATCTTTCAATGTAGATGCTAAGTATCTGGATAAGTCTACTCGTCGTCTTCCTGGTTCATTGACAGGAGTTTTGAGGTAAGAAAGCTCAAGGCTTCGCTGTCGGCACCTGAGAGGAATGCCCTGATAGTCGGTCATTTGGCACTCATGGCTAGAAAAAACTGTTATGGAATGCTATGCGAAGACGAAGATGGTTTGTCCACTTTGTTTGTCTACAATTTTCGCTTTACTCTGGAAGATACAGATGCATCAGGGAAGACTTCGAACCTCAAGATATCAAGAAATCTCAAATGCAGGAAACTTATCTTATTAGCTGAATCGCAGCAAATCATGCCAGAAACTTACAGCGAAGACCTACGCGATACTCTGATGGACATGAGTATACTTGCGAAGTCTCTTGAAACATTCAGAAACCAAAATTCCCAATTCATCAGACTAAAAAGACCCTGCTCAAAACACAGCAATAGAAATTTTCATTCGTTAGGAAGCGCTCAGCTTCTACTCAAGCTAATGCCTAATCTCACTGCGCTTGAAGTTACTTACGACGATTCACTGGTCTCAGGAACTGAAACAAACCGTCCGAAGCTTTATTTGCCTTGCGAGATGCTTAATTTATATTCTATCAAAACAAATAAGATTGGAAAAGCTCTCAATAACCGTTCTTTGCCAGATTTGACGCAGTTAAATTGCATTTCTGGAGGTGAAATTTCAGGATGGGCGAGACTGTCAGTGAAATTCCACAAGATTGACATGAGAGAGCCATTGCTCACTGCAGGTAATGAGATGATGAATCTCACGAGAGATGCGAAGCTTTCAAACGTGAAAATTCTCAGTGTCAAAAACCAAATCACCTCTGAATTCTACAAAAATTTTAAAGAAGGCTGCTTTAATTTATAATGACCAAGCTTGAAGAGCTGAATTTGGCTAATGAAGATAATCTTGTCGATGATATTGCTTTGTCTAGGTTTATTCAAACCCACCCAATGCTCCAAAAAATAGCTGCCAACAAGATCGAATGCATGAATGTCTTTCTTTAACTTCTTTGACACTCTTGAAAAAGCTTCGAGGAAGCTCGAGACTTTTCGAGACGAAGAGGGAGAGTAGTGCTTCTGAATGTCTCAATAATAATGCTTGCTTGATTGAAACAATTCTTATTGTATGGGATATGATATTACGCGTGGGAATATGCGTGATTGATATTGTGAGATAATCTGATTGTTTAGAGCAGCACCGAATGGATTTTCGATCTGCAAATCTGAACAGCTGTGAAAATACCGAATGAGATGCAGTGCTCAACTTAAGGAAATTTGTACCATCTCAAAGAATACTTGAGCCGCAAGAGTATACCCAAACAAGCCCTCGAATGTCACAATTTCTGCTCAAAATCTACAAGTGTTGAAAATCAACATTTAAACACGTTTGAATAATAAGTCAAATACTAAGCTGAACTTTAAGCTTTTCTGTCTGAGAAACAAAGACAGACTAGCCATCGAATCGCATTTGGCAATGGAGGAACGTAGAGGGCAGAGTACACTTATTTACTTTCACTAGTTGGCGTAGAATTTCAGTTGATGCCATAATCATGTGCATTAATTGAGTGTCTAATAGCGCACGTTCAATGGGGGGATGCACGTTCGTTGGACGGCATGGAACGGCGCACGAGAAATTGTCTTCATCGTGAGAGCATCACATACGGGCCAAATACCATGCATAGAGTACAAGCACAAAGAACAAAAGTGTATAGAATACATGCGCACCGTGAAACCTCATAATAGCAACTCACTCGCTTGAAAAATTGTGCGGGTTGGGGATATTAGTGGATGATGATCTGCTGGCTATTGTCTTGAGTTTATCCTGCTCAATTGACTGTGTTTTGTGCAATTTCCTCTGCTCGATGGCGAGCAACTGATACGAATCTTGGAGTTGGTTGGTTTTGGCTTGGGTGGAGTGGTTTGAAAAGTCCTCGCTCTGCTTGCACTCGTTTAGCACCTGGAACCACTCTGATAGAAAATTATCGTCGGCATTTACCACGAGCCCCGCCTCCAACTTTAGCAGTTCAACGGTCTGCGAGTATCCCCGCCTATTGAGATAATTTAGGACATGCTCATCTAGGCTGTGTTACGTTTGTTATCGTGTGACCCGCGCTTCAACTCCCGCTCACGTCCGCAAATCCATTAATCGAGTTATTCGCGTTACTCTCGCTACTCCAACCACCATGGACCTCCTGCAGCCGAACAAAAATGAGATAAAAAGGGATAATTCGGTGCTATCCGATGATGAGTCGCCGCACGCTTCCAAGAAATCAAAGCAGGGCGCTAGCTCGTCTTTCGTCCCGAAGCTGTACGAGATGGTCGACGCCAACACCAACAATCTAATCTCGTGGAATCTGGCTGGCGATAGTTTTATAGTTGCCAATCTCTCTCTCTTCTCTTCGGAAATCTTGCCTACCCATTTCAAGCACTCCAATTTCAGTTCCTTTGTCAGGCAGCTGAATATGTATGGCTTCCATAAGTGCAACAAGACGCCACGCGGGCAAAAGGCACACCCAGAGCACCAAGTGTGGGAGTTCTCCCACCCCAACTTCCTCAGAGGGCGCAAGGACCTGCTCGAAGACATCAAAAGAAAGGTACTCGACGGCGCAGAGGCCAGTACGTCTACAAGCACCGCAGCACGTAGCACAGACCTCCCTTCCTCCGTCGCCCTCCTCCAGCTTAGCCAGTCGCAGTCCAACCAGTCCATAGCCACCCTCAACCAGCGTGTACTCTTTCTAGAGCAGCAGCTGGAGCATTCGCGGGGCGAGACGCAGTGTCTGAAGGATGTCGTTAAGCAGCTTTACGCCTTTCTCTACGGTACGCATGGTGGCTTGCCGTTTGACTACCCCTGGAGTGGCAGTGGTGGAGGTGGTGATGGTATGGACACTGGCAGTGGTGCTCACACCAACGCCACCACCGGAGGTAACACCAATAGCCATTTTCCCCTTAAACCCACACCACCCGCCCAGCCACCGATATTCGTCACTTCGCCAGACACCTCAACACACGCTACAAACGCGGCTAACTCCACTATCCCTCCGTATCCCTACTCGCCAAGTCCATCCAGCGCAGGCTCGCCCATACCCGATCTCTACAGCACGCATTCGTCGCCGTATGCGTCCGAGTATGGTGGCGGGTTTAGAATGGAACAGCCACTATCGCCGCTATCGCTGGGCTCATCGCACTACACCCCGCAGGCACACAGCCAAAGGCCAATGAATCTCTCCGTCGACACCAACTTCAGCCTCTTGGGGTCTAATCCTAGCCCTAGCGACAGCGTCGGTCTGGGTATTTTGAGCCCCTCTACTAGCAGCGAACGACGTCCTAGTGCTCACTCGCCGCATTCTTTATAGCCCTCAATGTAGTATAGAATTGGATCCTCACCTCACGACCTTTGCACTCCCATGTAAAGAAAATAATCTCCATTGCAAACAGCAGATCTTGTACGTTTCTTGTAAGCATTTCATGTTCTTTGTATTACCTAGTCGATTTAATAGTACTCTTAATCACTTTACTTGACTTGATTTCAACTGCGATGGTTCTTCAAACATCCAATAGCAAACTAAGCTTCCACGAGCGTGAAACGGATATTGAAGAACATGGCGTGATAGGTAATTGCATGACTGCGGCTTTAGTGTCGTCGAACTGTACCACTGCTCAGCTCTCGATGCCTTATTTCGATTCCCCTAGGTGAGTTGGCTCAGGTGAATATCTGATAAATAAAAGCAGCGTTAACACACCACAGTATCTTTGCGCGCATTGTTGATGTGAAGAAGTAAGTCTTGTGAACAGACGGGTCTTCTCACGCTGATAATTTGGGCTAAAATTTTCACTGCAGGGGCGGTCATTGGAGTATTGACCCACAAACAGCCACTGTAAACAAGCAGATGTATCTCCCATCGACCAACATCCTCAATACAAAGTTCCTGGCTGACGACGGTGAGTTGGAGCGTATCAAGCATGTCAATCTGATTCAGGTACAGCCGTTGCTAACGTAGACGGTGCGTGCCTGAGATAGGAACAGAGGTGTACACTCACATACTCACACACTGGTAGATTTCATGCCCCTCAGCAGCCCCACACATCTCGTTCGACGCGTCGAGTGTCTCCGCGGGACAATGTCGTTTGTCAGCGAATGTGCTCCTGCATTCAACTATGCACGTTCGGGGCACAGCGTGCGCGTCGATAGCGGTAGCAACACGGCCTACTTCGACTGCCCTGACCACATCAATCTCGATTTGCGCTGTACTGTCGGCGCACCAGATGCGGTATCAGATCCAGCGGTATCATTAACATCGCACAATGCAGCTGAGCGCGGCTTCCTCGGCGATGCAGTATGTATAAAATTTTCACTCTCCGAAGGCCAAGTGGTTACTTTAGTCTTGTCGGAAAGAGAGGATAATAGTACATCCCCCACCTTCGCTTCTACAGAACACCTCCTCGAATCCACAACGCAGTACTGGCTCCAGTGGTCGGCCAAGATGCAGTACAAGGGGCGGTGGCGCGAGCAAGTGCTGCGCTCAGCACTCTCGCTCAAATTGCTCACTTTTGCACCTACAGGTGCCGTGATTGCCGCACCGACATTCTCCCTGCCTGAAGACTTACACGGAGCGGGACGGAACTGGGACTATCGCTATGCTTGGCTTAGAGATTCGTCCTTCACCGTCTACGCCCTCGTCAGGCTCGGTTTCAAAGAAGAGGCAAATGCGTATGTTGACTGGATAGCTTCCCTGCTCGAGCACCCAAATAGCGACGGTAGTCTGCAGATCGTCTACACCATCCATGGTCAGCGTGAGATGCCAGAGATTGAGCTGCCCCACCTAGCTGGTCACAGGGGACAGAAGCCGGTGAGAATTGGAAATGGTGCAGCAGACCACCTCCAGCTCGACGTCTACGGCGCTGTCCTTGATGCCGTCTATCTTGCTCAGAAACACGCTAACCCGCTATCGTACGATTGCTGGGTAGGCATGCGCAAGCTTGTTGATTATGTTTGCGACGCATGGAATCAGCCAGATCTTTCTATTTGGGAGGTTAGATCTCAGAAGCAGAATTTCTTGGTGAGTGGGGTGTTTCAGAATTATTTGGCTGACATAGACTAGTATTCCAAGGTATGTTATGTTACAAATGTTTGAGTTGCAAAATGCGACTTGCGAAAAAGCGTTATTTTGCAAACTGCAGAACATTTTAACATACTCACACAATTCACTACTCTCACAGGTCATGTGCTGGGTGGCTATCGACCGCGGACTGCGCCTTGCAGACAAGAGATGCCTACCTTGCCCCAATCGCCTCAAGTGGCTCGAAAATAGAGACAACATTTATGAGGAAATCCAAGAGAAGGGGTACAATAAGCAGTTAGGTTTCTTTTCGCAGGTATGTTTAAAGATTGGATTAGAAAGCCCTCTCAATAATTCACTACGCAGAGCTACGAGAATAGAGATGTGCTAGACAGCTCCATCTTGATCATGCCCCTCACCTTCTTCATCGCGCCCACCGACCCGCGTCTGCTATCCACACTCAAGCACGTTTTATTATCACCTGAAAAGGGTGGGCTTACTTCAAACAACCTCGTATCGCGCTACGACGTAACGAAAGCGAATGACGGAATTGGGGGTGAGGAAGGAGCGTTTGGGCTATGCACGTTGTGGGCGTGTGAGGCACTATGTCGCGCTGGTGCATACGACAAAAAGCTGCTGTCTCAGTCTGTCGTTATGCTCGAGGACTTTCTGGGGTATACTAGCAATCTGGGGTTGTTGAGTGAGGAGATTGGCAAGGGCGGACAGGCCCTGGGTAATTATCCGCAGGGCTTTAGTGCGGTTTCTCTTATCTCAGCCTGCTTCAACGTCGATAGGGCGATTGAGAAGAAGTAGCTGGCATGTCTTGATGTATTGACTGATTTTGATTATATTTCGTTTCCTTTCAACTTGAGTGTAGCCTTGAAAGTATCACATCTTTAGATTATCATAAGTTTTTACGTTACTTTGATTTTGCCATATATCTATGTAATGCACTGCAAAGTAATGCATGGTGTCGGAACACCAAAAAGCTGGTCACCAGAAAATGAGAGGGGTGGTTGACAGAAAGAACAAATATACAGGCGCAATTAAAATACACTGATTTAATGAATAAATGTACTAAAATGAAAAATTTACTTGGACCTGTCAAGCATCAGATAAGGGTGGTTCCTGAAAACAGAATGAACTGACAGTTGAATGACAGCCATGTCATGCTGCAAGGCGTACTACCACCCCGCTATCTGTAATTGTCAACATCACACCGAGAAAGTGAGGGAGATGAACCAGAATCGAAATGGATTTATTAGCCCACAATATCAGAGGGAGTTTACAACTGACTGGGAAGAAGCACAAGATGTGCAAGAGTTAGAAGAAGCAAAAAGTGCAGAAAAAGAATGGGCCGAGTGAGTTGGGTGATTTGAGATCTGGGCCAAAGGGATGCTAACACGTTACAGCATCGCGCGAGCCAAAGCGGAGCTACAGAGAAGGGAGGATGAGATAGCGGCAAAGATGAGCTCGAATCGCAGTATCAGCAGTGGTAGCAGTGGGCGGTCGAGCAAGGCTATGTCTAGTGGGATATTCAGCGGTGTGACTAGCAACACGACCAACAGCAACACAAAAACACACCAACAACCACAAATTATCATCCAGCAGGTGCACTCAAAAGCGCCTGTGGATACGGGCGGCGGTATGTGGGGGTTCGACGCACCGTCTCAGCTCCCAATTTTAACAGCCGATGGTCAGCTCGTTTACCCGCGCAAACCCAAGGCGAAGCCACCGCGCAGCGAGCGCATACGCAGAGAGAAGGAAGAGGCGGCGAAGAGGGCGCAGGAGAAAGAACGCGAGGTAGCGCTGCAGGAGCAGTTTAAGAGGAGTGCTGAGACGAGGGAGAAGAGCGACTCGGATGCTCTGGCTAGGCTGGAGATGACTGCGAGCGAGAGTGCCATGAGGGAGAAGCGGGAGAAAGATAGGAGGGAGAGGGGAGTGGATGGTAATGGTGATATCGATGCAATTGAGGTGGTCCAGTCGGATCAACCCCGCTATCGAAGCCAGAGTTTGATGAGCGATCCATTTAAGCAACAGCAACACCAGCAGCTCCATAAATCCAAATCATCACCGGCTCAACAACAGGACAAAATGAAAGCATACCCTATTCCTGAACCAATGATGTCTATGGCTTTTAGTGATGGCATTAGTGTGCCTGATAACAAAGCGACGAAACATGTCTCAGGATGGAAGAAGCTGTTTAGGAAGTAGGTGTGCGCAAATTCCAGGCGACTCCTTGATATCATTAATATCTCTCATTTACACACCCATTTCCACTCTTGTTCATCTAGTCATTCATGTCGTTTTCTTCTGAGGTATAGCGTGACCGACGTGTACACTCCCCCAAGGAGGTTTATCAGCGTCATGAACGCAACGAAGCGAGTTTTGGCGTTTTTCAAAGTCGACAGCCATCATAGCGGCAGCAATGGGTGTAGATATGGAGAAGAGGAGGCCAACGAAAGGTGTGCGTTCGAGTAAGGCAGCCGCAAAGCCGAAAGCTGTGAGAGGAGGGGGTGTTACTGGGCGGTTAAAACGTATTCAGCCTGACTCACACCTCAACTCAAAAGAGCGCTGCTGGATGAAGACTTCTCGCTGATACTTGGACATATTCTTCGCGGCGAAATATGGCTTGAGGAGGCGTCTGGTGAGGGCGACAGAGCGGAGAGTCGCACCTATAACGATGCCGACAAGAGGGATGACGTCGACGGGGAGGAGGAGGAGTTTGATTAGCAAAGCGAGGGCTTTAGAGCGCTTTCTACCCTCAACCAAACCGCTCCAGCCCGATTTTCTGGTTTTTGCCTGCTTAAGCGCCTCATTTTGCAGCGATCGACCAGCTGGAGTGTTAAGATTGAATTCCTCGACATATTTGCCCCAGAAAGCGTTTTCTTTAGCCCGGGATTGGATGGTGAGGGAGTACGCGAGACGCCGGGACTGAGCGATGCGCTTGTTGATGAAGAACTGGAGAATGGCGGTGAATTGGGTGCTGACAAGCATCAGCGTAGAGAAGCGGTGTGAGGAGGGAGTGCTGTAGAACAAGCTGAGGTAAATGCTGAGCAGGCGATTCTGTATCGGATAAGTAACAAGGACGTAGACGCTCGCTGTGATGAGCCCAGTGGCCAAACCCTTACGACAGAGCGAGTAGATGGGTGATCGAACATGGGAATCACTGAGCAAGCGATAGATGCCGACTGGGCAGTAGAGCGGAGGAAAAAAGAGAAAATTGATCGGCATGGTGGTTTGGTGGTTTGGGTCAACGACAAGAACGACCAACTGAAATGAGCGAATCAGTCTCAACGAATCCGCGGAACATTCCGGCAGCGCCGTTTGTGGTGGGTTAGAGCGTATACGCTGTGGATATCTCATCAAAAATGGAAAACAGGCCGACGTAGTGGAATATATCGGTGGAGAGGGCGCAGAGGTGGACAGCGCGTTGAAGCAGTTCCAGGAGATGGCATCCAAGTACAGATACATGGAAATATCACTTCTACAAAAGAAGAAATCCCTCGATGTCAAGATACCGGACATCTCCAAGACGCTGTCCATGGTTAGGCATTTGCACGGCGCGAATGAGGACGGCACAAAGACAAAAACGCTGTTTGAGCTGCACGACACGCTTTACGCGGAGGCTGAGCTGGACAAGAGCGACGTGGTGTACCTGTGGTTGGGTGTGGGTGGTGTGTTAGCCTTATGCGTCTACTGATATGCAAACACAGGCAAATACAATGCTCAGCTATACAATACCAGAGGCTATAGCGCTCCTCGAGAAGAAGGAGAAGCTGGCTGGTGTTTCGTACGAGCAGTGCAATGAAGATTTGGAATTCATCAGGGAACAAACAACTATCACCGACGTCAATACAGCCAGGATCTGGAACTTTGATGTCAAGAGGAGGAGAGAGAAGAGGGAGGTCGAGCAGCAGCAGGAGAAGGAGTAAGAGTAGCCACTCTCAGCCACTCTCAGCCACTCTCAGCCGCAGCCAAGTTTTGTACACCAACATCGATGAACACCGCCAATTTCGTTTCTGATCGGCTGATTTACATCCCGGACTTGCTCAGCAGACACGATTTAGATGGTCTTCTCGAGGCTATTTCAGCAATCACTGAGCGATCCTGGCGGTACAACGACGGTTACAAGTGGGTAGCGCTACTTCCAAGCCCAAATTACATTAAAAAGTGATACAGGCACCTCTTTATAGGTGTGTTCCCGTTTATTCTCCTTTATTTGCGAAATTTGCTCAATTTCTAATCAAACAGGTGGTCAACTCACCCGAACCGGCAAACTGATACAAAGCAGCACCCCGGCTTGGATGGATACGCTCTACCAGCGCATAGAGGAGTGCACAGCAGTGCATCCCAACTACGCAGAACTCTACGCTATCCAGTCGGGCCAGGGGTGCGCGCAGGGTGTCAAATCGACGACAGCCACATTCACACTGGGTACTCATCTCGTAGCTCAAACAGATGTCTCAGCCACGCCGATCCTCCTCGAACCAAACAGCCTGCTTATAGTGGTGGATGGTGGCCCGCCAAAGATAGTCCCTGGATGCATAGACCGCGTTTCTAGCCCACCCGCTCATCTGCTAAACTCTCACCTCCTCAAAAGCCCCAATTGCAGCCGTCTCGCGCGTCATGGTGGTCACCTCACGCGTAGCGACGGATATGTGTTGAATATGTACGATATAAAGCGCGTCACTGATGCTTTTAAGGGGGTGCTCGGTTGAGTGTGATATATTTATGCAGAATCTGTCGCCATTGTATTGCTGTGTCTTCAATTTGTTTTATTTTTATTTTATTTTCTTCTTTATCGACGACGAGGAGGGGGATTACCGTTAGTAGATATAACATATAATACACCATGGATACGCCCGATACGCCAGCTACGCCAGATAAACACAGCCATGCCCCGCATCCACACCTCCCCTCCCTCTCCCCCGGCACACAGGAATTCCTTAAACGTCACAACCTCGATCAGCGCCTTCTCGACAGCGACGATAGCGATGATGACGACAGCTTCGATCCTGCTCTTCTCGCCAGTGCGTCGCGGAACGCGCTCGCGAATGCCAAGATTGGCGGCGTGGATGGCGTGGATGTGGGTGATGTGGGTGATACCGGCGATCCTCACAAGGGCACTGCAAACTCCCACAAGGAACTTAAGGACCTCACTAATCGCCCAACCGCGAACCTCCCACGCAGAGCAACACCACCTGATTTCAAACGCAGCGTCCAGCAACCACAGCAAACACCAGCCACGACACACACCCTCACGCGCGAATCGCCACCCTCCGATACTCCCTTATCCAACCACCCTCTCCGTCTTGTTCCGGAAACTCCCAATTTGGGTGTCGACAGCCAGCCTCAACCGCGCACTGCTACCTCTACCGTAAGACGCAGGCGACCGGCTGCTGGCACTCAGCGTCCCCAGCGACCAGACAAGAAGTGGACGCCGGCAATGATCCAGATGTTGCAGGGTGATGGCAGTGTGGGCGGGGGCGTGAGTGGTGCAAATAGAAATGGAATTCCCAGTGGAAATGACCAAGAGGATGTTAGTTTGAGTCGCAGTGGCAGTGGTAGCGCGAGTGACGGCGGTGCATACCAGTCTACTAGCTACTCACCGCACTCATACTCAGCCAACTCCCCACACTCCACTCACTCCACTCACTCCACTCATTCACCAAGATCAATAGACAGACCACCCCTCGCTCGCAACGCTCATAGCTACTCTAGCTACTCTGGTCTCTCGACAGGCGAGAATAGCGCGCGTGATACTCACAATAACACTCCCCCTACCCTTTCCCGCTCTCTTTTGCGCTCGGATATCAGAAATGAGGAGGACGAGCGATCGACTTATAGATCTGATAGATTTCACAAGTCTGAGAGGGCGGAGAGAGTCGAGAAGGACGAGCGCGAAGAGTCGCGTGAAATTCACCCCTCGCACCGCCCATTAGAGCTCGAGAAGACTCGAGAAAAGGAACGCGAGGTGCGGCGAGAAAAGTTAAGAGAAGAGCAGCGCAGGTCTAATGAGCAGCGCAAAGCTGAAGAAGAGCGCAAAGCTGAAATGGAGAGGAAACTTGAAGAGGAGAGGAGAGTTGAAGAAGAGCGGAAAATTGAGGAAAATCGAAAAGCTGAAGAAGAGCGGAAAGTTGAAGAAGATCGGAAAGTTGAAGAAGATCGAAAAGCTGAAGAAGATCGAAAAGCTGACGAGCAGCAACAACGTGAACAGCAGCGACAACAACAACAACAACAACAACAACAACAACAACAAAACTCTCAACAACAACAAAACTCTCAACACCCACCTCCACCCCTCACAGACGCAGTAGTTCCCCTTCAGCCCCCTTCATACGTCCCTCAGCAGCAAATGTCCTGGTCTCAACCCAACCCCTACCTCGGGATGCGTCCACCCAGTTACCTCACAGTCAACGGCATACCCTATCTCCGTCTCGACGAGCTGGGCAAGGGAGGTTCGTCGAAAGTGTACCGTGTGCTCAGCACACAGAATGAGCTTCACGCCATAAAGCGAGTTCGTCTCGACAAGTGTGATCCAGAAACGGTGACGGGGTATCTCAATGAGATATCTCTCCTCCAGCGTCTGCGGGGTAATGACCGTATAATCAAGTTATGGGACTGGGAGAGAATGGGCGGTAAGCTACTCATGCGAATGGAGTGCGGTGAGATAGATTTCGCCCGCCTCCTCTACGAGCAGCAGGGAAAACGTTTGAATATGAATTTCGTCGGTGTGTACTGGGAGCAGATGTTGCGAGCCGTGCACGCGATACACGAGGAAGCAATTGTACACTCAGACCTCAAACCAGCCAACTTCGTTCTCGTAAAGGGTTCATTGAAGCTAATTGACTTTGGGATTGCGAAGGCTATTCCGAATGATACGGCCAATATACAGCGCGATTCGCAGGTGGGCACCATCAACTACATGTCGCCGGAAGCCATCACGAATCCGAGTGGACTTGGCAATAAACGAGGTTTAAAGGTGGGAATGACAAACTCACTCGATCACACATTACTAATACACTCTCACAGCTAGGTCGCCCATCGGATGTGTGGTCACTGGGCTGCATCCTATACCAGATGATTTACTCCCATCCACCATTTTACCACTACCAGAACATACATAAGAAGTTGGCGGCGATCCCGGACCAGAGCGTGGCTATAGACTTTCCCACTTATTCAATCCCCGTGGAACCAGCACAACGCAAGGCGGACGGGACATACGAGCCGGTACATCGACAGGACTTGGCTGTGCGCGTAGACGAGGATGTGTTGCGAACAATGAAGAGCTGTCTTAATCGAGATGCAAGGCGACGGATGACTATACCCGAGTTGTTGGAGAGTGATGCGTTTCTTCAGCCCAAGCAGCGGCAGAGTAGCAACGCAACGACTGCCAACCCACCCAACACACTCAACATCAACCACGCTCAAATGAATCAGCTCGTTAAACAGGTCATCCAGTTCGGTAAATCCCAGTCTGCTAATCCGAGCGTACTCAGACCGGAAACGGTACAGGGCGTAACGCAGGCGCTGTGGAAGACGCTCGGCGATGCACAGCATTGAGGGGTGCGATTGAATTGGCGTGAATTAACATGAATATATTACTATCACTATCACTATTAATATGCATGGGACACCTAACCTGATTTTTATGTCTGATTGACACATAGAGTCGTGCTGCCTTTCGCAGATCTTGTGACACACTGAATACATTCTTAGAGACCTTATCACAAAATACTCTCGATATCAAATGCACTATAAATCAAACGGTATCAATGTAAGACTATTTTACTTGGTCAGATATAATGATAACAGTGAGAGTTGGAAAGATATTGTCAGTGGAAATGCTTGTGAGATGAAAGATTGTCCCGCGAGTTGAATCCTATAAAGATCTACTTTGGCATTGCGCCTGAACAACTTTGCACAAAGAAAAGGTCTCTTTATAATAGGACTTAGTTGGGAAAATCCCACGAGTAAAATTAAGGCCTGAATTGACCTCTGCGTGCAAATGTGCCGGGATGCACCATTTGACTGCATGCTACTGAAGGTCAAACAAGGTTATACGTTTATGATTGAGGATGCAACGTGACCAAATGATAATGCGATCTAAGTAAATATCAGTCGCAAACCTATCGAGCCTACTGTACAGTTGTTGGCGGAGGTTTTCGAATCTCTTGGTGGTGTCACTGAGAAATTTTTCACCATAAATGAGCCTTGATTGTGGTGATGCTGTGCTTGTGCAGCCTCAAAGCCGAAATAAAGACCCAAACGCCGGATATTACCTGCAAAATTGCTGTCGAATGTGACTTCCTTGCGATGCCCTTGTGGAGAACGACTAGATGTCTAGAAATTGGTGACGATACCTTCCTTTGATTGGTTCGATATCAGAACTTCTCTTTGACAACCTCATAAGATCAGAACATTTTCAAAGACAGCTTTACCGTCCTTAAATGCGTATTTGTGACTTTGAACATGTTCTGTGACAAAGTTCCAGTTTGCTTAAGCCGACTTATCGACCCCGTGAATTAATCTGCTCACTCGTCTTAGTTCACATTTACCCCTGTTTGACCTTAATTGTGGAAGACTAGTGACTTTTCGTTGAATCGCTTCTTGAGTTTGCTACTTTACTTGTGGAGGATGTGTTTTTGACAATTTCTCCTAACTGTGAGTGGATTTCTATTGCTATTAAATAATACCCCTTCAGCCACAGCAGCACCTACCCGACTGATGCTAACTCATGACGAAAGATGCGAGAATTCTGCCATGCTCTCCTTACATATTATTCCCTATCTAGACCGATTGACTTGGTGAAAGGTGAAAACTTTGACGTGATATAACAAACAAAACGCTGAAAGTGGATATGTTAGCTAATGAAATAGCAGCTAATTATAATAGTAGTTAATAATGATAGTCATGCATTAAAATTCTATAAAAGCGGCGCACTGCGTTAAAGTTAATCTTTATAACGCAGGGTGTAAAAAAAGTAGCTGAACCAGTCACCCATCTTTTCCACACTCAGATCCCAATGATCGGGGTCAGTATTGAGGAGAGGTTTACGGAAGTGTGGGGGAGCGTAGGTGTGATAAATGAATACGGATGATGGTTCAGGTTTGAGTACGCGCTGTACTTCTCTCACTTCACTCGTACAGTCGTGAACAATGCTATCTTGAGGATTCCAAGGATCACGTACGCCGGCGAGGAGAGCGTCCATGGTACCCTTATCGATAGCGACATCGAAAGAGTTATCGGGGAGGTCAAGCTGGCGAATATCCATTACACACCATTGCATGCCACTACGCGATTCATTTGCTTTGGTCATGTTATCAATGCACACTGGTGAATAATCAATGTTGAGGATGTTGGTGTAGCCGTCGTCGTACATGTCGCGGGAGAGGGAGGAGTTGCCGCATCCGAGCATGAGTATGCGTGAGTCTTTGTTGGGTATGTGGTGCGCAAGACTTTGTTTGAGATCTGGGTACTGCTTAAACCAGTCGAAAGTATCTTCGGTGTCTTTCGTGTACCTCTCGTCCCAATAACTTATATCCGAGTAGTCTGATGTTTTATTCGCTACTAGATCCATTCTGATTTTTTATGGTGTGGTGGTTGTGGTGGTGGTGTATTCCAAGGATCGTATTTGCCAGGGAGGAGAGCGTCCGTTGTGCCCTTATCGATAACGACATCGAATTATTATACGGGGAGGTCGAGCTGGTGAATATTCATGATACTCCACTGTTTATTGATTCATCGCTTTCCTCGAAAAGATCGATAAGGGTTGATAGAATGATTTCAGAGCGCTTATTACACTAAACGGTATAATGTAGCTGCACAAAATATGCAGCAAGAATGTATGTTTTATTAAATGCATTGTCCTAATCACAGAAAATACACATATTAACCACGCATACCAATATCCCAGTCATCTTGTCTGTAAGAGAGGATTGTATTGCTGTGATTTTTGTGCTTCTAATTTCAATGATTCAAGGCCATTCTTGAACTTTGGTAGAGATATGATCTACTGACAATCTGAACATTTAAGCAAAATCATAATTTTCTAAGCATCTCCAGCATCTCCAGAAGCTCCAGGAATTCATACACATCCTCTTCTCAACCCACCGCTGAATATTGTTTGAGTTGAATTTCCCCCCTCCCACCTATCTCTTCTCAGATAGGTGATCTACGAGTTTTGATAATGTCCAAATAAAAAAGGTTGACAAATAGCCCTGAACGAGCTTGACAGGATTGCGCCAGAATTATATCCCTAAGAATTTAATTGCGCGCTATAGACTGTTGGGAAGTTGGAATCCGATATGTTTCTGGTGCACGCTAGAGGATATATGGGGAAGATTTCACGGGCTTGATCGATAGAAGGAATTAAGCCTAGCTGATGGAAACCACAAGCATATTATCAAGGTGGATGGAAAAAACGGGTTAGGTAAAAACCACCACCACGACGAAGATGAGCGGTATTAGGGAGTTAGTTGTAATGAGTGAGGGGGAAGTGAATTTAGAAGGGATAGAGTTCAAGTATGGGAGAAGTGAGAGTGGAGGGAATGTTAGATTGGGTGATGGGTACTATTTAAATGAATCGAAGGATATCAGATGCTCGTGCAGTGTGGAAGAGAGGGAAGTACAGAGACCTGGGAGTGATTCAAGTGATTCAAGTGATTTACTGGAGTGGATAAGCCTGGTAAGGATGGGTAGCCAGTTGATAGCCCCGACAAATGAGAAAGTAGGAATAAGAGTGTTTAATTGGCGGGGTTTGATTGGTGAAGAGGGTGTGGATAGGTTGGTTGAGTATTTAAAGGGATTAAGCAATGCAATACTCATAGTACAGTTGATATACTATGGGAAAAACAGCAAAATTCGATATAAAACAATCCAAATAAAACCAATTTATAGAGAGATTAATGAGATTGTAAATACAAATTAATTCTCCTTCTCTGCGGCTAATTTGAGGTAGAATTGGTCACGACGGGTTGCTGTGGGTGGGGACGGTTGTTAGAAGGGGAATACCTACAAACACACCAACTCACCCTTTGGAATGTGGAAAATGTGCCAGTATGCGTAGCCAAGTGCAGTACCCAAACCCAATGACACGCTAATATCTCTAATAACGCCTTTGCGGAATTTACCAGTGATGCTGTGAGCAGGATTGTTAAATATTTACAACTCCAACCAAATGATTCCAAACTCACGGAGCAATCTGACCAATCATCGTAGTTTCTCGTTAACCAAATACGATCATCATCAAAGCAAGTAAAATAAAAATACTCAAATGACATCCACAGCAATAAATAAACTACGAGATGAAGCGATTATTCCACCTTCGCCCTACCCGATTAAGGCCTGGTTTAACACGTTGATTGAGTTGGTTAGATCAGCCCAGTTAACTCAATCATATGATAAGGAACAGGCGTTTGTACTCTGGTTACGAGCAGCTGGCGTTGCTGATATTCTATCTAAGCATCCCGAGTTAAGATCGAGAAGAGACTCGTTAACATCATCCATCACTCAATACTTATCAATCAATGTACCCACTATTATCGAATCTGCTGGTACCCTTGAAGCTATTCTTAAGTCTCAATTGGATGCGCAACTATACCATGATCAAGAAGAACAATTGGCGTTGGACGCTGTGGCTAATCAAAACACTCAAAAGACCTCCTACAACGACAATTGGGAGGTTATTCCACCCGCTATTCCCACTCCCTCCACTAATATACCCTCCATCGACCCTTTCAAACTCTACAAATTCCTCAGTTCTTCAACTTTCGGCGATGTCTCACTTCTACTCCTCGATTGCCGCCCTCTAGACCTCTACAAGCGATCACGCATTTCTCTCCACCCACCAGGTGGAAAGGGTAGAGCTGGAGTTGTCTGGATTGACCCTGTTTCTCTCACTCCCCACCTCTCCCCCGCTACTCTCGAACGCATCATCAAATCCAGCTCCACACGCGGTCACTTTGTCTACTCAAAACGTCACTTATTCAATTATACCGTTGTCTTCGATGATTCTTGCCAGGTTAGCAACCTTCCACCCACTTTATCACACCTCCTCGACTGTTTGATGAGTCTTGACGACCTCCAGAATCCTCCTATGGGTAAGTATCTGTGTTGTTTCATTGTCTACCTACTCATCCACCCTCTTCAGTCCTCAACGGCGGCTTTACTGCTTACCAACGCAATATTGGTCCAGGTGGTGTGGATGATACTGCCAGTACTAATAGCAATAGTAGTAGTAGTAGCGGCACTGTTCAATCCCACCAAAATCAGACTCCCTCTCGCTCCATGCCTCAGCCAGACCTCGTCGGTAAGGCTGGTCGCAGCGCCAGTGCAGCTCCCGACATTGGCAAGCTCAATGGTGTTCCCAACGACAGCAACGACAGCAATGATAATATCGTGAGTTCATACCCTCTCTCACCCCACAACTCCTTCTCATTCCCCTCACAGCTCCCTCCTTCCCCCTCTCACACTTCCCAACAATCCGATTACATCTCATACCAGCCACAATCTCAAACATCTCTTTCCCGCCACCCTCGTTCTAGCCTTCCCACTCCACCACTCCCCTCTCGCCCTCCGCACTCGCGCAGACGGAGTGATCAAGTTGACACTGAACCTTACTCAGGATACCGACCACGTTTGTCGATCGATTACCCCAGCGTGAGTGGCAGTATCGGTATGGGTGGTAGATCAACTCCCAAGCTGCCCGCTCCCACAGCCCAGCCCATGTCACCTGGTGTGAGTGGGATGAGTGGTGTGAGTGGGATGACACGTACTCCTAACCAAACCAGCACTACTACCACTTCCTCTCTCTCCACTTCACCTTACAAAGCCTCCTACTGGCACGGCGAGGTGGTTGGACTGACTGGTCTCAAGAACCTCGGCAATACGTGCTACATGAACTCAACGCTGCAGTGTCTAAGCGCAACGGTCCCATTTGCACGCTTCTTTACGAGTGGGTTGTGGCGCCGCTGCGTTAACCATTCCAATAGATTAGGGATGCAAGGGCGCTTAGCGGAAAGTTTCAGTCAAATACTCAGCCACATGTGGCGAGAGCAATTCACATTCATCTCTCCAATGACTTTCCGTTCAATCATCTGTGCATTTGCGCGGCAGTTCCACAACACCGACCAGCATGATGCGCAGGAGTTTCTTTCTTTCCTACTCGATGGACTTCACGAGGATCTCAAAGTGGGAAGTAGTGTTGGGGGTAATAGTGTAGACAACCAATCGCACAATGCAGCCGCGCTTGAAACTCTCCCTACTCCACTGGGGAGTGAGAGAGAATGGCGGCGCTACAAGACACTCAACGACTCCATCATAGTCGACTACTTCCAAGGCCAATTTCGGAATAGAATGGAGTGTCTTAGCTGTCACAAGACGAGTACTACTTACAACGCCTTCATGTATCTATCCCTCCCAGTCCCAGCGCGGCGGTTGAAGGGTAGTGTATCGCTAACGGCCTGTCTCGATGCCTTTCTGAAAGATGAGATAATGGAGAAAGACAACGCTTGGCGCTGTCCCAACTGCAAAGTAGCCCGAAGGTCTGTCAAACGTCTCTCTATAGCCCGCCTCCCACCTGTCCTCCTCATCCAACTCAAACGATTTGCTTACGCGGGTCCATTTTGCGATAAAGTCGAAACTAATGTTGCATTTCCCTTGCGCGGCCTAGATCTCACACCATACACACCTCAGATACAATCGCGTTCGCATGTGCAGCCATTCACCTCGCAGAATCAGTATCAGCACGGCGCCAGCGACGATGTCAAGAATAATCCCACGTCTCAAATTCCACCCTTCAAATACGACCTGTATGCTGTCACTAACCACTTCGGGTCCCTCCAGAGTGGGCATTACACGGCTAACGTACGCTCCGGACAAGACTGGTTCAGTTGTCAGGATTCCCGTGTCGGTGAGCTCAGCGAGAAAGATGTGGTGTCTAAGCATGGCTATATGCTTTATTATAAACGGTCTCCTTCGACTAAGTGAGCACCTCGTTTGTACGTCTATTTATGCATTTGTTTACGTTCATGTCGCAATAGGGTTGAGATTGTTGAAAAGTAATTTAGCACAAACAATCACTCGATTATCAAATACCAAACAAAGCACACATGCTGATTATGAGTTGTCTTATCATAAAACAATCATGTCCAAGTATATTTTACGTTAGCTTAAAAGAAGAGACCTTCTGACACACCACCAAAGCCGCGAAATGGAGCAGCAGAACGACGAGTCAATGGAAGGGTTGACTGATAAGCTGCGCAGGCTGCGTGGCGCGACGAGTGATATATACGACCAATCCGAGTCGCAGATACAGGGAATGATGGGCAGTGTGGGTGTGTGAGTGTGTGTGTCTCGTTCTTACCCCTCTGCAGGAAGGTTTCATCGCCAGTCTTAGCAATGGTATCAAGAAAACTAACATAAGAAAACAAATCAGAAATGCGAATAGTACATATAAATATACAATACTTGTCATAGTGGTGGTGTTGGCCTTGTACTTTATAATCAAATACGCTTTGTAACTAGCTTGATCAAATTTTCACGCCCTCCTCACCGCCTTCAACTCAGCCTCCATTCTTATAAGCTCGTCTCTCAGCTTGGTAGTCTCAGCAACAGTTATTCGTCTGGCCTTGTTGAGTTTCGTAGTCTCGCTGTGAATGTCCTGTTTGCTGAATGGTCCTGAATCTGGCAGGGGTGGCGGTGGATTGCATGTGAGGAGGTGGAAGAAAGATTCATGAGGATCGCTGAATACGATCTCATCGTACTGCCAGCTGTGCACTGTAGGAGGCAAGCCGTCGTCTCTGGGGATTGAGCTTGTGACGTTCCACGGATGGAGCTTGAGCATGTGGTGGAGTACCATGGGGCGTTCACCGGCCTCGCTTGGGAAATGGAGACGGATCACCACCTCGAACTCCCCCCAACCAGTCTCGCTAACGACGAACGGGGGCTTGTCGAGAGTGCGGTTATTGTCTTTGTATGTATCGTGCAGACGTATTTGCACGCGTCGCAGCCACGTCGATAATCCCTCGTCGTGTATCCCCTCGCATCCCTCGTCATAGCTGCTTTCTGCACGCTGAGGGCTAGGCGAGCGCACCGATATCGTCCATCGGTGCGTGTGCGTCGGTGGAATCGTAGCGTCTTTCTCCCGCTCTTCGGGGGTTATCGCGCGGGCTGTATTGCCTATGACAACGGGGCGGGATATTTGAAGCGACTAGTAAAATTGAAGGAGATTAGAAAATTAATAGCGATTGTTGAATTTTACTAGCAACCCACTCTAATCCTCTTGTTGGCGCTCATCGAGGTGGAAAATGGAGAGTGTTGTATTTGGAGATACACCAATTGATGATTATATGAGGGGTGAGTGGTTGTAGCGCGGGTATAGCCTGGCTTATAAGGATTTACTAGAAATTGGTATGGAGGTGGATGGCGTGGATGATGTGGATGTTACGCAGACAATAGCACCGACGACACCGACGACACCGACTATACCCACTCAATTACCCGGTTCAATCGATATAAATCCAGCTAATCTCCAGTTTTCCTTCATCAGCTCTTATCTCCTCGGTACACACCCTATAAACACAGCCGGAGTGAGCTATATCAATGGCCTTGATAATCTCAATGATTTGGATGATATGAACAATTTTCACTCTTTTCTCAATATACAGTTGTTTGGCGGGGTAGTATGGTTGCTATTCCACCCGCTAAACACCCTTATTATCCTGATTACTCTCTCTTCAATAGCCTTCCTACACACTCCCACATCCAGAACACAGGTTATGGCTTATTTGCAGGCCATTCTGCGCGAGTGTGAGATTTCTGACGTTACTACATTCAACATCCTTACTCAACCCTCTTTAAACACACATAAGAAGACAGTTGTGTATGACACGCTGAGTAGAATCCAGGACACTTTCAGCGAACACACCCAATCACTCAAACACCTCGTTGACAATGATAAGCGGGTGGCTCTGGAGGCTATGTATACGCGTAACTCTACGCATTCAGCTCAATCGAGTCACTCGAGTCAGTTAGGTCAGGTGAATCACACTAACCACCCTAATAATTCCCCTAGAAACAACCACATACCCCACCACAGCACTTATATCACCCCACGCACCTCCCCCACCATCACCTACGTTCATTCACCTGTCAACAGGGCTTTTGAGGGAGGCAAGGGAGGTAAAAGGGCGAGTCGGGACAGTCGAGGCATTGAGACAGAGCAAGGAGAAAAAGAGCACGAGGTAAAAGACGCCCACACCGACTACAACCCTGAACGGTCCTTATTAGAGATGCACACAGGAGTAGTGACGCAGATGGGCACACAAGGGCGCCACAGACCGCGAGCACGGGCGCACTCGGCAGTGCACAACACATACGATGCACACAGCACAACGAGCGCAACACATTCACACCCACATCCAGTCAAACCACCTCCACATACTGTTAGACAGAGAGCTGTCTCGCAGCAGCACCTCCAACTTGCTTCCACCTCCAATCTCACTCCAGCAGCCGCAGCAGCCACGGCATCTATACCTGCCCCTCCTCTCACTCGCAACAGCTTCGGCACTCCCATCACTCATATCTCCCCCTCCCCTTCCCCTGCCGCGTCGCGTAAGAGCAGCTTGGTGGTATGTGAGGGGGGTGAGGAGGGTCAGGTGCAACAACCTCAGCAGTCGCAGCAACTTGCCACTCAAGAGTCTGAAAAATCACAGCAGCCACAACAAGCACAAGAGTCTCAAGTATCTCAAGAGTCTCAAGTATCTCAAGAATCTCAACCAACCACACCTCCCCACCTCATCAAACCATCGAGCATCGCACAACGCAGACCCAAAGCAGTACTTTCAAAGACACGTCTTTGGGAGCTTCGCCAACACGTTCACGACTCACGCAAAGTGGCCGTGGTGACGCTCGTAGCGCTCCGTTACACGTGCAAAGCAGAGGTGTATTGGCGGGGTGTGAGGGGGGTAGTCCGCGATCTCGCTAGGTCGCTCGGACGGTTAAACGGGGTATTGCTGGGTGGCGGGGGAGGTAGGGGTGATGAAAGTGGTGGAAATGGTGGAAGTAGTTGGAGCAATACGAGTGGTGGCAATCACGCACACACTCACACTCACACTCACTCTCTCACATTGGCCTCCCTCCGTCATCTGGAAGAGGCCTACGATACCCTCTTTGCTTGCTACGCTACTGGGGATTACTCTCTCTACCGCACCGCTCATCGTCCTCTCAGCCATGCACTGCGGTCGTATGCATGTGGGTTGGATGAGGTGGGTGGAGATGGAGATTTGAGAGGAGGGAAAGAAAGGAAAGGAGGGAGAGATGGTGATGTGACAGGGAAAGACAGATACGACCACGCTAGCGGACTCGGTATCGAATTTAACACCTCAAACAACTCTACAATCGAAAAAACACACTATAGCGACGCCCCATCGAAGGATGTCGATGGAATGTCAAGTGAGAAGGACGACGCTACTGATTATCTTCTAGATCAGACTAGCCCGGATTCACTGCCTAGACGTGGCGGTGATGAAGTTGTGTTTGATGGAGAGAATGTGGATGTGGATGTGGACGTGGGTCAGAAACTCAAAAGCGCATTCAGCCCACCGGACTTTCTCGATAGGTCGTCGCGGATGGCAGGCAGGGAGGTTTTGGATGAGTTGATGGGGATTCTGGGGGGCGTGGGTGGTGTAGGTGGTGCAAGTAGTACAACGAAATTACCCGTAGCAGAAGGGACACCTGCTGCAACTGCACCCGCAAATCCATACACACCCACACCTCAGGATCAAGACATTGAACACATACCTTCAGACCCCCACGCAGCCAAGAAAGCGGCACAAAAAGCACTCACTAGTATTGTATTCTAGAGCATGTTGTATGAGTATTTATTACAGGGATATCTTTACACTAAGTAACCATCTATCTAATCATGTAATCAACCTCAGGTAAGCGAGGAGGAGTGCACCACCACCAGTGAGAATACCAATAATGTACTGTAATAGTGCCATTTTAGATGACTCCATTTGTGTGCGTACAGCAGCGACTTCACTCTCCATCCTCGCGGACACCTCCTTCAATTTAAGTTCCTGAACGCTGGATTCATCACGGACTCTTCCTTTCTCGAGGTTCAAATCGAGTCGGACACCAGCTTGAGTGCGGGTGATCTCCTCTCTCAATCTCTGTTTGAGTTTCTCTACATCCCCCATAAGTCTCTCGTTTTCAGATTTAAGGGAGGTAAGGTCGCTCTTCTCGTGAAGTTGTATTTCAGATTTTAGGGCAGCAAAATCAACTTTCTGGGTATAGTGATTTCTGTCGTGTTCCGCACGACTGACCATATCTGCAGCCATATTCCTGACACTCTCGTCGATAACATTGGAGAGACCAAGCATGATGCCTTCTGCTTGTTGCTTGGGGACGCCTTCTTGCTCGAGACGTTTGACGAAGCCGTGAGTGTCGAAGGCGGTAGAGTTTGGAGGGGAAGTAACGTAGCGCCGGGGATTGTAAGAAACATACTGAGTAACAGACCGTATGAATGGTTTGGTGGTTGTAAGAATGAATTTCGACATCAAGTTGGTGGTTGACAGCCAACGAATTCAACTAACGGGATGAATATATTAAGCTGGCTACTGATACTGATATCCAACGATTGGATATTCATTTTATTCGGTATCTTCGGTGGCTGTTGCTCTAATGCTTGGTCTTTGGAGGGTTTGATGAGGAATGCTCCAGATGCTGGCGTTTTGCTCACGTTCACTCAATTCGCTGCTATTTCACTTTATCACCTGCCAAATTTCATTTGTCTTAATCCATCCACTCATCTCCCACAACTGAAATCACGACAAGTACCATTGTATGATTGGGCTTTTATTGTTTGTGGTTTCATTACTGTAAATATATTGAACAATCTGGCTTTCAAGTTTAGCATTCCACTACCGATACATATGGTGTTTCGGTGTTCTGGGTTATGTATATCCATGTTATTAGGTTGGGTGGTATTAAATAAGCGATATACCTTGATACAAGTGATTTGTGTGGTTATAGTCACGGCAGGCACCATTTTAACCACTCTATATTCCCCATATCCATCAGCTAAAGAATACAATTACACTAGCAATTTAGAATACTCAGATTATACAGATTATGCAAATTACATGGCTGGCATCTCATTACTCTCCCTCGCCCTCCTCTTATCCAGCCTAATGGGAGTTAGTCAGGAGAAGATATACGCAAAGTACGGCTCACATACGTGGCCGGAGATGCTCTTCTATACTCATATTCTAGCTATTCCCCTTATACCACTCTTCCTACCCGCACTGATTCCTCAGCTTGAGAATTTTCATCGATCGGGCCGAGTGGGGGTGAGTGGATTGGGCGTGAACGTGGATATACCCCACATGTATCTCCTTCTACTGGCGAATGTGATTTCGCAGTTAATTTGCATTACTGGGGTTAATAAGTTGACTGCTGTGAGTTGAACAGTGTTTAAACCGAAATCGACTAAAGAATCGAATAGAAAGTATCGAATCTCTCCGTCAACCTCATTCTCAGCTTGAGGAAGGCACTCTCACTGATATTTAGCATCTGGTGGTATGGCAATGGTTGGAATATCCAGATGACTTTAGGTACACTGTGTGTGTTGGTGTGTGGGATATCGTACGCTTTTACATCGTTTAACATTCTCACCCAGCTTGGATCTGCGGCGTTTAGTGTTGTCACATCACAGCCACGCAAATTAAAAACAAATTAACTGGTGAGGGATTGGACGTCCTCTCATTTTCAATTAATTAGTTTTGTATAAATTTCACTTTTAAATTCCCGCGCTGTGATTGGTCCACGTGATTTGATAGGGTGTTACGGTTATTCACCGGGTAAGTAGCTCTTGATCTACAACGACCATCTTCAAATAGCAAAATTTAAATAGATGGACAAGCAAAAGACAATCGTAGTCGGTGAGTGTGGTTCTGTGTACCCACTCACAGCTATCTGACTTTTAAATCTAGGTGGCGGTCTCAGCGGGCTGTCTGCAGGTGAGTAATAGCTTTATTCTGATTGGCCCGCTCATTCGCACACAGCACACACCATCCTCGAACGCGGTGGAAACGTCGTCGTGATCGACAAGGCATCTTTCTTTGGAGGCAACTCAACTAAAGCTACAAGCGGAATAAATGGCGCTGGAACTGAAGCTCAAATGAGAAATGAGATTAAGGACTCATCCTCTGTTTTCTTCCAAGACTCTAAAAAGTCAGCCAGAGAACTCGCAAGGGATGATTTACTTCACGTTCTCACGGGTAAATCAGGTGACGCTATTAAATGGCTCACAGAGGAATTTAAACTCGATTTATCTAAAGTTGCAAGACTTGGTGGTCACTCACAGCCACGCACTCACCGCGGTGAAGGTGGCCAATTCCCTGGAATGACTATCACTTACGCTTTGATGGAGAAACTCGAAGACCTTGCTCAATCTCAACCAAATCGTGCAAATGTTCTCAAAAAATCATGCGTCACCCGCTTACTTCAGGATAATGACCTTACCGTCACTGGCGTTGAGTATGAGAAAGATGGTCAAAAATTCACCGAATTAGGTCCCGTTATTCTCGCAACAGGTGGTTATGCAGCTGATTTTGGTGATAACTCTTTACTCGCTAAACATCGCCCTGATTTAATGCACCTCCCAACCACTAACGGTCCTTGGTCCACTGGTGACGGTCATAAAATGGTCCTTGGCATTGGTGGCGCTGCCGTTGATCTTGAGAAGGTTCAAGTTCATCCTACCGGTCTCGTAGATCCCAAGGAACCTGATTCCAAGGTTAAGTTCTTAGCTGCTGAGGCGCTTAGAGGTGTCGGTGGTCTACTTGTTGACAACCAAGGTCAAAGATTCTGTGATGAACTTGGTCATCGTGATTATGTCACTGGTCGTATGTGGGAAATTAAAAAAGATCCTATTCGTTTGATATTAAATGGTCCTGCATCCAGACAAATGTCAGTTGTTTATAAATATATTCATACAACTAACACACCCCTAGTGAATGGCACTGCAAGCACTATGTCGGACGTGGCTTAATGAAAAAATTCACCAACGGTTCCGACCTCGCCAAGGAAATGGGTGTTTCTTCAGATGCACTCAACAAGACGTTCCAAGACTACAACGATATTGCTCATGGCAAGAAGAAAGATCCATATGGCAAGAAGTTTTTCTTTGACAAAGGAGATGAGTGGAAGATGGACGACACCTTCCATGTCGCACAAATGACCCCAGTTCTCCACTTCACTATGGGTGGTGTTGAAATAAACGCCTCCGCTGAGATTCTCGGCGAACAAGGTACCATACCGGGTCTATTTGCATGTGGAGAGTTAGCAGGTGGTGTACACGGAGCCAACAGATTGGGTGGATCATCACTTCTTGGCTGTGTTGTCTTCGGTAGGGTGGCTGGTGATTCGGCAGCTCGCTACATGCTCACTGAGAATCTCAACGGTAAAGCTGCTCAGAGGTTGGGATTGTTGGGTGCACATGTTGCCGGTCAGCCGCTCGAGACCAAGGTTAGGATTGATCCATCCAACTCGAAGCTGACGTTGGAGTACTCTTGGGGGCATCAGGACGACAGCAACGCGGGCACATCCCAACCACCAGCCCAAAGTGAGCCAGCTAGACAAGGTGACAGAACAACTGCACAAATGGAGCCCGAGAAGATCGACGAGCCAGCATCAAAGAAGACTGAAACTAAATCAGAGTTCACTGTTGAAGACGTTAAGAAACATACATCTAAGGACGATTGCTGGGTTATTGTCCATGATGAGGTCTTGGACGTTACAAACTTCTTGCCTGAACATCCAGGCGGCGAGAAGGCAATCATGCTCTATGCGGGCAGAGACGCGACAGAAGAGTTTGACATGCTTCATCCACCAGGAGTTATACAGAAGTATGCTCCTCAGTCTGTCATAGGCAGTGTGAAGAAGTGAAGCTCGCAAAAGCTAGTAACGAGCGATGAGCAATGAGCAACGACGACGACATTGAATGATTCTATGTATATCCTTTATGATTTTTCATCAATAACAGCTATGTATGTATGTTTTACAAGTATTAAGTGTGTGTATGTGTGTATTGGTGCAATTTCGTAATCAAGAAGGATACGTTTGTGTGCCTTGTGTCTTATCACATATCGATAGTCAGGTAGTCTTCGTTGTGTATGCGCAGCTTGAATGACAAGCAAGGTGATTCGCTGAGCTTTGACGCCATGGAAGGACTGACGAGCAGTCTGTTAGATTCCTGTTGGGTGTGAGAGAGTAACTAGCGCCAATAACATCTACAAACCAACAACTGTAACAGATTAAGCGTGTTAGTGCTATTCAAGATGATTTTCATATCATTCCCCCCAATCTCGTCAATCTCTTCTGAGGATAAGAGAGGCAGGAAGTGTGCGGGAACTTTGACGACAGACGCACTGTGCAATGTATGCAGGTTGTGTCGTTTGGATAGAAGCAGATGATTGAGACTGTTCGTCGCCGTCGTCCTATCAGCTAGATGTTCTTCAATTAGTGTGAGTGTGGCCATGTCGTCGTATTTGCGCAGACATGTTAGCAACTTTGTGAGTGAGAGGGTGTTGGCGTCTACACTCGCACTCCCGCTTCTCATTGCTTTTACCCACGCCTCCACCGTTTGGGCTTCCTCACTCACCCAGACCTTTTTCTTGGCGTGCGAGTAGCGGATGCGAGTGTCGGGAGTGTCGGGTGTTTGGGGTGTTTGGGGTGTTCGAGGTATGTGTGGTGTGCATTTCGTGTCTTGTGTGCTAGACAAGGGTTCCACAGCGAGCGGATTGCGATTGCAATGGTTATCGTCATTCCTATTTCTATGTCTAATGCCATTGCCATTCCCACTCGCATCACCATCCTCATCCTTACACCTATAGACATCGCTCCAGGCACCACACCGACTGCGCACCGCAGGCACTGCCCGTAGAGCACCCTGCGTGTTCTGGCAGTGTGGCTCAATAGCCTCAGCCAGGCCGGGGAGAGCAGGGTGAGTTGAGTGCTTTGAGTGATCGGATTGTGCAGAGTTATGGATACTCGGCGTGTTTACTATCTCGTGCGATGCAGCTGCTAAATTTTTCATACCTGAGTAATGCGAGTAGCTAGAGTGGCCAGAGTAGAGTGAAACATGTGATTGTGGACGCGGCAGTGACCGTGAACATGATTGTGACTGTGACTGTGACTGTTTCGGAGAATCACCCCGCAATTTCTGCCAAGTGGGTGGTGGTGGTGAGGGTAGAGAGGAGGTTGAGCGGTTCATGAGACCGATACCACCGGTGCTCATGCTCGATTGTGCCTGTGTATACGCCTTGTGACTGTCTCCACTACCGTTGCTGTTGTTCCCACCGCTGAACGAGGAGCGTTGGTGAGAGAGTGGTGTGCATTTGTTGCGTATCTTGCTGGCTACGCGGGAGAGCGTGTGTGCGGAGGGTGTTTCAATAATAGGTTGTGTGTCAAGTGTGCCGCGTTCTTCCATGTCGTCATGCTCGAATGCCGAGCGGGTGGGGGTGGTGATCGATGAGTTGGTGGTGTGCGTAGGGATGAATTGCACTTCCTGCTTATCTTGATTATCCTGCTTACCCGTACATCCCCCATACCCAGTAAAAAGCGTAGACATTATCGTCGAGTGGCGCCGGAGTGTGGCAGTCTCTATTGAATACTCATACCCATCAACGCTAATCAACTTGACATAATCCTCTTCCCTTATTCCACGCATTAATGAAAGCTTCCTCATTGTTTTGGTTGGGCTGTGGCTAATTGCCTCCGAGTCAATATGTCACTCTTTCATGCAAAATTTTCACTACAACAAATTGAAACATATAATCGAGTTGGTGTTAAACTCAACTCACAACTCAGTTCTAGGCTTCTTTGAGTCGTTTGAAAGAGGTGTTTTCGATTGAGATGGCAGTGTTTGTTGTAGGTATTGGTTAAGTGGTTTATATTTCAATTTGCCTAAAGTGTGTCAGAACGTTAAGAAAGTGTAGAAACTCCAAATTACAACAAACCTTGATATCTTTCAGCATTCTCAATAGAGCCATCTGTGATTACGAATAGGGCGGGTATATCATTCTCACCTAACCCTAAAGCATCCTTAACTTCAGCATTACGTGATGTGGACTTCATCACTCCAAATTTAGCACCTGGGAATTTCAGACCTAAAGCTTTAAGGAGAGTGGGTGTGGATGATTTGGCAGTGTATACGAGTATGTGGGGGGAGTGTGTGTCCTTATTGAGCCACGATTGGAGAGCACCGTAGTCACCCAATCGACTAACCACATTCCTCATTTCTCTCCCCGCCCACTCCGATATAGCCGCAGAAGTACGCTCACCGTTGTAGTCTTTTGGGGGTGATTTAGATCCGCGATTGAACATTTTCAGCGTGGGGAACCCTTTCACATTGTATTTTGAGCAAATGTTTGAGTTTTTTGAGTCGTCGCAGTTCTGTTTGGGGGTGAGGGAAGTGCCGTGGCGTGAACAAGAGACAGACCACGTTGTAAAAAGAGACTAAGCCATCCAAGCTATTTGCAGCCTGGTTTAGGGGTGCGTGTAGTCTCTGGCAGTGTCCACACCACGGAGCAGTGAAAGCGACGAATGAAGTTGAATAATCGTTGGATAGAATGGCTTGGTTGAATGAGCTGCTGTCTAGCTGCACCACACCAGCCACAGCTACTGCCACTATCAAATTATAAGCTAAAATTGATAATTTCATTGACGTTGCAACGTTTCAACCTCAGGAAGAACATTCATGGCGGGGAGTGCTGCAAATAACACAAACAACACCCTAAAAAGCCTTCTAAAGCTATTCACCCTCTTGGCTATAGCAGGCGCTGCTATTAGCTCACGCTTATTTAGTGTAATCAGGCATGAGTCGATTATCCATGAGTTTGATCCGTGGTTCAATTTGTGGGTGGCTTCTGTCATTTGATAGCCCGATTAATATTCAAATCTCAGCCGTGCCACTAAAGTACTCGTAAACCACGGCTTCAAACATTTTTGGAACTGGTATGATAACACGTCGTGGTGGGTCATTGAGACATTTCGCAAGGCACACCAAATAACCAAATTACTCTAATTCCAGGTACCCCCTTGGCAGGGCAACAGGTGGCACCCTCTACCCAGGCCTAATGCTCACTTCCGGTCTCATCCACAACATTCTTCACTCCATAAACATCCCCCTCGACATAAGAAACATCTGCGTCTTACTCGCCCCCGCTTTCTCTGCTCTTACTGCTTACACGACCTACCTTTTCACCAAAGAAGTTAAAGACGCTAGAGCTGGTCTGTTAGCTGCCATTTTTATCGCCATCGTTCCCGGTTACATATCTAGATCAGTTGCTGGATCTTACGACAACGAAGCTATCGCTATCTTCCTCCTCATGTTCACTTTTTACCTCTGGGTCAAGTCTCTTCGTCTTGGCAGTGCGTTCTGGGGTGCAATCACTGCAATGTCTTACTACTATATGGTATCCGCATGGGGTGGATATGCTTTCATTATCAACATGATCCCTCTTCACGCTTTCGTCTTGGTTTTGATGGGCAGATATTCCCCTCGTCTCTACATTTCCTACTGCTCTTTCTACACAATCGGTACTCTAGCATCGATGCAAGTTCCGTTCGTTGGTTTCAATCCTGTTGGAACGGCTGACCACATGGCAGCATTGGGTGTATTTGGTTTGCTCCAGTTGATTGCCTTCTCCACTCTCATCCGTCAGCACCTCCCATCAAAGCAGCAATTCGACACCCTCTTGAGGTCTGTTTTGGTCTTAGGATTTGTCGTTGGTGTCGCTGCTATGGCCTTGGCATCGCACAAGGGTGTTATTGCTCCATGGACTGGCAGATTCTACTCTCTTTGGGATACCGGTTATGCAAAGGTACATATTCCAATCGTTGCTTCCGTCTCCGAACACCAACCCACCTCCTGGCCATCATTCTTCTTTGATCTGCAGATGCTCATTTACCTCTTCCCGGCCGGCGTCTTCTTCTGCTTCCATCGTCTGTCCGATAGTATCAAGGGAGAGGCTAGCGTTTTTGTTATCATCTACGCTGTCTTTGGAAGTTACTTTGCTAGTGTTATGGTGAGACTGATGCTCACTCTCACTCCAATCGTCTGTGTGGCTGCTGCTGTTGCCCTCTCTACACTCCTGGACAATTACATACAAGATCCTGACGTTGAAGGGGAGCATCAGGTGGAGAACAAGGAGACCGACCATAACACTCAACACAACGTCTCGCATAATACCTCGCAAAAAGCCTTCACTCCAAAAAACAAAAAAACAAAGAAAGACACATCCATCTCATCTACCAGGGAGAAGGTGATAGAAAAAATGCAAGAAAAGGCAGGCATTAGAGCGCCTGATGCACGCCTCGTTGTGTTGATCAACGTGGTGCTCATGTTGATCTTCTTTGTCTTCCACTCAACATGGGTGACTTCTAACGCTTACTCCTCACCATCCGTGGTTCTAGCATCAAAGACGCCACAAGGTGAAACGCTCTACATCGATGACTTCAGAGAAGCGTACAACTGGCTAAACCAGACAACGTCGGAAGATGCCGTCGTTGGTAGTTGGTGGGATTACGGTTATCAATTGGCTGGTATGGCTGGCAGGACTACACTGGTTGATAACAACACATGGAACAACACGCATATTGCCACTGTAGGAAAGATAATGGCGTCGCCTGAAGAAGTGAGCTATGACATACTGCGCAAACACGACGTCACACATCTGCTCGTTGTGTTTGGTGGGTTGCTGGGGTACTCTGGCGATGACATCAACAAGTTCCTCTGGATGGTTAGGATCTCAGAGGGTGTCTGGCCAGATGAAATTCACGAGCGTGATTACTTTACACCTAGAGGCGAGTTCAGGATGGATGAAGGTGCAGCACCTGCAATGAAGAACAGCGTGCTCTACAAGATGGTTTATCACAGATTCGCTGAATTGTTCGGTTCAAGACCTGCGGTTGACCGAGTGAGACAAATTCAGCTGCCTAAAAAGGGCCCACAGCTTGAATCCCTCGAAGAAGCTTTCACTTCAGAGAACTGGCTGGTGAGAATCTATCAAGTCAAGCAGCCAGATTTCCTTGGAAGATCATTCAAAGACGCCATTGCATTTGAAAAGGCAGCGCGTATTTGAGGGCGTTTGAAGATTAAAATATAAATTGTATTTTACACATGAACATTTATACATTTCTCTTTACTCCTCTTATTCCTATACCACCAATGAGCTTCTCCGATTTGGCAGCCAAGAGAAGCGCAAGGTTGAAGCAGCAGCAGCGTGATAAGATAGATGATGTCACGGATGATATCGCCTCTGATAAGAAACCCACCGATGATAATCCCATTAATCCCATTAATCGCCCGATAAGCATCCTCAACGATGACATCCAAGTAGAGCAGACGTCGACAAAAGGTCGTGGTGTGTTTGCGCGTCGTGATATAAAGCGAGGTGGGTCGAGCGCCGATCATTGTTCTTTGCTCACCGCTCAAATCCTCCAGGTACCACCGTCCTATCCACCAAAGCGACAATGATAGCACTCGAGCACTCATACCTGGACAAACACTGCTCATACACCGCCATTCCCGGTGGCACACACGGCAAGCCTCCTCTCGCCCGCTGTTCCCTCTGCAAGAAGACACACTACATTTCCAAGCACGCCCAAAGGCTAGACTGGCCGGTGCACAAGCGGGAGTGTGAGTGTCTGCGAGCAGCTAAAACCACCCCTGAGGATTCCATTCGCCTTATGGCGAGACTGGTGTGGATGCGCGACTGCAAGCGCGCAGACGGTGATACTGACTGGGAGAAGCAACTCGATGGGCTCCACGAAACATACGACCTCCTCTCAGAAGAAGATAAAGTAGGGCTGGGCGAGCGAGTGAGACAATTCGCACTGTATTTCACTAAGGGCGAAGTGAGTAGGCTGCAGAACAGCGACGTGGATGTTTCCATACCCTACGCTATGCGTCTGTTGAATAAAATACAGACAAACGCTTTTGCTCTGCAGAACTCAGATGCTGTCGGCGTCGCAATCGCTCCCCTTGCCGCGCTCGTTAATCATGACATGCACCCGAATTGCACGTCTCAGTTCACTCGCGCTGATGACACTCTCAGTGTTGTGCTCTTCAAAGACGTAAAAAAGGGCCAGGAAATCACAACTAGCTACGTCGATCAGACCCTCCCATGGGACATGCAGCGCGATGCTTTGTGGAAGCAGTATAGGTTTGATATTGGCGAGTGTCCAAAGGATAATAATGAAGGGAGTGGGAATGTAGATAAAGATACACTACTCAACACAGTGAATGCGGCTGAAAAGTTCTATTTTGATGGTGTGTATGAGAATCATTGAATGCGTCTCTCACACTAACATACACCCCACCAGACCCTCTACGCGCATTCCAGCGTTTGCAGCCTTACTATGACACTGTCGAAAGCGCTTACGCTCCTGCGTCGAGAGTGCGAGTGCGCTATCTGCGCGTTTGCTTCGCTATCATGATCACTATCGCCCAACTAGACAACATGCCGACATGGGCGCCAAGACTCACCGTCGAGTTGGGCAGAAAGACAGTTGGGGCGCTGAAACTGATCCTACCATATGGACATCCCATACGCGCACTCACCCTCGCTGAAGTCGCCAAACAGATGCTGGCCGATAGCGGTGAAGAGAGGAACATGATGGAGTTGGCGGTCGTTGATAAGCTCGAAAAATGCGTTCTGGCTCTCGATGAATCGAGAATGGAGACACAAATTGGTTACGGAAAAGATAGCGCCCTCGAAGGCTACCTTGTTGAGGAAATTGAGGAGATCCGTAAGGAAATTCAAATGAGAAGGTTGGCTACTGTAGCGGTGTGAGTATCGCGTGGAAAATAGGAAATATAGAACTATGCCAAATGCAAAAGAAAAGGAATCTGAAGATGAATGTATCGTCTTTGTTTAACATTAGTTAATATTAGAAGTATGAAAGGTTTTGAGAGATGATCCCAGAGAAGCTAAAAATTAGTTAGAAATGATTAGAAACAGCTGATATGGTTGCTTTGATTGGTTTTGACGCATCCTCCTCATTAGTTCCACTGCATGATGGTAATCGCAGTGCTCACAATCAGTGCTAATGGCGAGAGAAGGCTAGCCATTGCGCCTGATTTGTCATCATCCTTGTTCAAGCTATCCAGTGCTTGCTGTTTCTTGGTATCCTCAGTCGTGCCAGTTGCTTTAGCCTTGTTGGTGTCAGTTGTTGCCTTATTAGCATTCTGGTTGGTATCGTTCTTAGCATCCTCGTTGTCGTTTTTGTTCGCAGTGCTGTCCAGGTTGTTCAGCTTCTGTGCAGTGTCCATCTCGCTCTTCTGCTTGTCGTCGTGGTGTCCGTGGCCGTGGTGGTGGTCGTGGTCCTTCTCGTCTTTCAAGTCTCTGTGGTGGTGCTCGTGAGGGCGTTCGTGGTGGTCCAAGTCGACATGTCCGTGGTGTTCATCGCCTCTCTTGTGGTGTGGCTTGCCATGGTGCATGTCATGGTGCTCGTGGTGCTCACCATGCTCGCCTCTTACGTGATGTGGCTCGTGGTGGTTTGGTTCGTGGTGCTGCATATCGTGGTGCTCACGGTGGTCGCCTCTCTTGTGGTGCTCACCGAGTTTGTTGTGTCCATGGTGCTCATCGTGATGTTCACCGTGCTTGCCATGCTTGCCATGCTCGCCTCTCTTGTGGTGCTCGTCGTGATGCTCTTTGTGGTATCCGTGTGGGTGAAGACCTTCGAAGCGAGCCTATGGAACAATTTAGCATGGTACACTTGTCTATACTAAGACAAACTCACAAAGTGACCGTGTTCACCTGCATGTCCATGCCCATGTCCGTGCTCTATTCCATGTTCATGGCCGTGTCCTGGTTGAGGTGCAGCGTATGAAGTAGATGCGACAGCTGCGACGAATGCGATAGATGCGACTGATAATTTCATTTTAGCTTGGAGTGATAGATAACTGTGTTGTTGTTGTGTTAGAGAGTTAAGGACAGTGGGCTTTTATAGTAATCTCATTCCCACTCGCATTCTCAAGTCCGTGCTCTGTCATACCCATTCTCGCGTCTCCCCACATATGTCTTGGCCTGTCATGGCATGACATTCCTCACTCGGCATTCTTGTCATCGCTATGCCTGTCTCTTATTGGTCAATTCTCCTCTTGGCAAAGTAAAGATTGAAGAATGTGATAACTTAAACATTTAAGTTAGATCTGTCTGTCTTTTTGGCGTGTTTTCGAACCAATCGCAAAATTTCAACATGGCTAGTATAATTTAAAGTAAAAGACAGGCGTTAGGTTTGTATCCGTGTATTTGTGTAATTATGTATCCCTGTATCCATATATCAGTGTATTAATGAATGTCTGAAATCAAAGAATTGAAAAACAAACACAACACAAAAACAAACACAACTAAAATTATAGTAGATAAAATGAATAATTATTAAGGAGATATGTACATTATATCTGTCGATGAGAAAATAAATAAGATATTTAATTAGCTTGTTAACTAGTTAGCTAGCCAGGCAACTCCACATAAGCCATTAAGACTTTAGCCTTATTCTTTTAGTTAAAGTTGAACAATGCAATCACTGCAGAACCGACGAGAACGAATGGGCTTGTGAGCATACTCATAGCGCCTGAGTGGTGATCATGGTGATCGCGTCCAGCGCGTCTGTCAAATTCGTGCTGTGTCATCTTGCCTTTCTTGCCCTCTTTCTTGCCCTCTTTGTCGTGGTGGTGCTCATTGTGTTCTTCGCCCCTCTTGTGGTGTGGCTTGCCATGGTGCATGTCATGGTGCTCGTGGTGTTTACCATGCTCGCCTCTCTTTTGGTGGTGTGGCTCACCGTGGTGTTTATCGTGATGATCGTGGTGATCGTGATCGTGTTCACCAAGGCCCTTACCGATATTTCTAGGACCGTGCTCATGATGTTCATGGTGATCGTGGTGATCGTGCTCACCGTGCTCACCGTGCTCACCCTTTCCGCCTCTCTTATGACCGTGCTCGTGTCCATGGAACTGATCGTGATCCTCCTCGTGCAAATGTCTCTTGTCGTAATTGTAGTTGTTGCGACCACCACTGCGATGTCCTCCGCCATTCCTACCGCCACGGTTAGCTCCAATACCATCTTGAGCAGGGATGCCTAACATATTTGCAAATTTTCCAGTCTTGCGTTTCTAGCATGTGTTAGAAGGTACTCAGTAATCATCATTGACTACTCACGTGGTGGTCGTGTTCGTGCTCATGTCCATGTCCATGTCCATGTCCTATGTCGAAATCCCCCTCTAGTCCATGTGGACCATGCTCGTCGTGACCAAAGTGATGGTGCTGGCCCATTTGCTGGCCGTGTCCTTGTTCATGGGCTCCAGGCATAGCTGCACTGCTTACCATGAGTGCTGAAACTGCCGCGACTGTTGCTGATGTGAAACGCATACTTGTATATTGTTTTTTATGTGGTAAAGTGGTTGAGAAGCTGAGTGGTTAACTTGTTGAGTTGTTGATGAGAAGGAGGTATTCATCCAGGCTTATATACTCTGCTGGACATTCCTTCCGCCAATTCTTGATTAAGGACCGGGTCGAAATTGGGATGGGTATGTCATGCGGATGAAATGAGAATGTTATGTGATTTCAAGTAAAGTGAATGTGATGTCATGTCAGGCCATGTCAAGTAGATATGTGATACCGTATGCCGTATGCCAGATACGATAAACGATGAACAAGATCAAGTGGTAGAATCGTATGTGGTTGCGTCTGCACCTAACAAAGACTGAGACTCGTCTGAGACATGTCCATGCCCACGCAACTGCTCCTCCTCATCCTCTTCATAGCCCAATACAACGAAAGAGGCGAGAACGAGAGCACTTCCCACTAGCCCACACGTCGTCAAGTGTAGCTGACCACGCCACCAGTCGGCTACAATGGAAAAGGGGAGACAGAGGCTGATGCCGATGGTAGCGACGAGCGGGCTAGTCTTGAGCATAGCCTGCAAGTAAAGATAGTCAGAGCTAAACGAAATAGCCATGTTGACAAGTATTATACTGCCCAATGCGGTCGTCTCTGGCAGATGAAAAGGTTCGACCTGCGTGTAGTCGAGGATGACGAGGAGGGGCCACAAACACACAGTGCTGATGGCGCCAATACAGCCGAGGAACAAAGGGAAATCGATCCGCGACTCGCTCCCAGCTGTCTTCTTGAGCAGGAGCATATAGACGGAGAAGCTGATGGCGCTAAGGAGAGCGAGTGTGTCGCCGAGCTGCGTGGGTGTGAGTGTGAGTGTGGTGTCTGATGCTGTAAGGCCAACTCACAATAGACATACCGCCAAACTCCTCGGGCTCCCCGCGCATCCCGCTAAAATCCGAAAACGTAACCAAAAACGAACCGGAAATGGAGGCGAATATGGCGAATAGCTTGGTGAATTCGAATGACTCAACGCGGAGTAGGACACCGATAAGAAATGTCCATAGACCAGAGGTTGAGCTGAGGATGGTTGAGCTCGCCACGGAAGTGAATTGGAGGCTGGCGTTGATGGAAAAGTTGGCAAGTGTCCAAAAGAGAGTGAACTTTACAGCTAATTGGAATGTTTGGTTTGGTGTGAGCATGACTGGGTTTCTAGTGGATTTGCGATTCAAGACATATGGAATCAAATAGGGGGAGAATGAGGAGGAAGTGAGGTAAGTGAGGCTGTTTAAACGTTTATATAGGGTTCAAAGACTCAAACGCACTAGGAAACTCACAAGAAAGGCTTGTTGTAACCAAGTTTGAACATTTCATCAGTCAATTCATAGCTACAGACCCAGAGAATGGCAACGAGTATAATCTGTGCGTGTGTGTGTGTGTTATTATACTGTAGCCAACTCACACCTAGCAACACCCACAAAAACCACACCAACTAAATAATTCCTGTTATCTTTCAATGACGTCATGTTACAAAAAAAAGTAAAATTTATCAAGAGACATGCCACCTTCTGAAATCTTTAACATTTGTTGAGTCGATTTGGTTTTGAGTGGACCAATCTAACAGATAATCCCTCACACTCTCTTCATTGACACCGCCAAGCAACTCCTGCTCAAGCAACTCATCTACACTCGAACAAGGCATCGCAACTGACTGTCTAGCGATCTTGCGTGACATTTGGTGGACGTTCTCCTCCTTCACACCCCCGCTAACCTCCAAATCAACCAAAGCAGCCAATAAACCGAGTTGTACGGGTGATTTCTCGTTAAAATGGCTGTTCGGTTGGATGGAATGGGTGAATTGGCCTAGTGAGCGAATATTTGCGTTAGCTGATTTAGCACTGGGTAAGTTAAACGCAGTGAAACGCTTGATGGTAATATTTTCACCGACACTAGCGATCGTCTTTGTGATTGCTTGATGGATGGACTCTGTTGAGGGAGTGGAAGGAGTGGAGGTGGGTGATGAGCTGATCAGAGGTGCATCTAACCAGCCGTTGACGTCTACATCGGTGAATCCATCCGCGTCGACGAGGAATGACAACGAATGAGTAACATCCTCAACCAGCCTCTTGAACTCGTTCGTTCTGCCCACGAAATCTGATTGACAGGATAGTTCAAGTAAACCACCTCTAGCCCTGTTTAAGGCTGGTGCACCGCCAGTAACAGGGAATCCATTGTGAAGAACAACACTGCCAATCAAACCTTCACTTCCTTCGCCCTTGCCCATAGCCTTATTTATTTTAGATGCGTTGTCGCTGTTCAAAATTGATTTCAGCGCTGTCTCTGCGGTGGATAGGTCATTGCCACTTTGATTAAGGCTAGCGACAGCCTGGTTAATTGAGCAATTGAATTTACTTCTAAGCTGCTTAATCAACTCTAAGCGTGATGGCATATCTCCTATTCAACGCCGGTTCAAACTCGAATCACCAGCTCAGCCCAATCGATGAGGATTTTGCAGAATTTAAATTTGTATCGTCGTTTGAAAGTAGCTGCCAAATATCCACCGGCGGAAACCACACGCTGATCTTGTCTAATCGACGGGTCTACGGCGCTGGCCTAAATGATTGCAATCAGCTTGGCTTAGCTGGGCACTCTATAAGCACACTCACAAAACTCGATTGGTTGAGTAGCCTATATCCAAACCACCAAACCACACGCATTCTAGCCAGTTGGTCGACTTCCTTCTTCTTTCTCGAGTCAAATACTCTCCCTCCGCTGCTTATAAGCGTTGGTGATAGTGGATTTGGATGCAGAGGCGTGGCTGATGTGGCTAGTACACACCCACACAGTCCCATTAACCTCCCTTTACACAATCACGCTCTCATCCACGCTAATTCCTCCTTCCGGCACATTATCGTCATTCTGAGACACTTGCACACCAACACATACAACGTCTTTGGCTGGGGTGCCTCTCGAAAAGGCCAACTCAGCCCCGCTAATTCTGGAAAACCTTTCCTCTCTACTCCCCACCTCCTCCTCTCGACCCAGACTCCAATTTTCAGTGCGCGGACCGGGAGAGAGCACACTATCCTCCACTCAGCAGACGGTTTGATTGGCTGGGGGAGTAACACACACGGACAGCTCAGTTTGGGTGCCTTTACCCGTGTTTTGGACTACGGGTGCACTTGGCGTGGTACTGTTGTGTACGATGGTCACTCTCTGTGGTCAGTGGGCAGGACAGGCGCTAGTCCCAACACACCCACCAGCACTCCCTCAAACACTCCCCTTCTCATTACCACAACCCCCTCCATCACTCAACTGGCAGTTGGCAGCGAACACTCCCTCTTCACCACCTCAGACAACACCGTCTGGTCCTTCGGCTGGAATGAACACGGCAACCTCGGCCTAGGCCATACCAACGACACACACAAACCCACTGCTACCCCTTTCACTGCCACACATCTACACGCTGGAAACGCTACATCATTTATACTCACTTGTACTTGATAATATTAGTCTTCATCACTGCAAAGCTGCCATCGCTCGCCTATACGCCAACCTCACCCCATCGTATGTCTTTGTGTTCTTAAATACACTCCTGTCGAGATACTGACCATCTACTTCATCCCATCCAAGTGAAATTAGATTATGCGTGGGCACCCACGCCCATGTCCTCTTACTGTCAAAGAATCGCACTAATAAACACTCAAACTTTGATCGCGGTTTCGCTTTGATTACGTTTGGTGGTATGTACTCAATATCTTCCTCATCATTCATGTCGTAGATCTCAGACGGGAAGTGCGGGTATTTCTCCCATTTCGCCCATACCAGTGATCCACTTGTAAACTTTTCGGTTTCTGTGTGGTCGTTTGGGTGGGTTATAGAGGTGGCTTCTTTCTTTGTGTTCATTTTGTTCATTTTGTTATTTATGTTGTTGGTGTTGGTTGTATTGTTGTTGTTGCTGTTCGGCTTAATTAGCTTACTTGATGATGACGCTTCTGCCTTATTCATAGGTGCCTTCGTCTTCTTCCTCGCCGATTGTCGCCGTTCGTATCGCTCCCGTTGCTCCTGCGCTTCGCGCACTTCAGCCGGCTGGCGCGTTTGGCGGTGTGGCCGTGAAGGTGTGTCATGAGCAGGTGGTGTTATTGCCCTGCTTTCCCTACCACCTTTCGCTTTCTCTCCTACGTCTTTGTCGACATCAACAATCATCTTGCTCTTTATCTTGCTCGCCGCTTTCGTTGAATCCACCTTGGAACGTGTTCTGAGCGACGTCCTCGGTGTTTCAAACTTCTCTTTCCGTTGCTTAGCTTCTTCGATTTGGTTATTATTCTCAATCTCTTCTTCTTTCTCCTTTACTTCTTCTTTCTCCTTCTCTTTCTCGCGCTCCTTCTCCTTCTCCTTCTCATATACATGCTCAACTTCCGCAGCAGCCATGCTCCTCCTGCTACTTCTTGTGCGTATCTCAGGCTTTATCCTCTTATTGCTGACGGACGGCGATCCACTCGACTGAACGCCCTCCCTATTGGTATCATTCCCAGTATCGTTTAATCTTCGCTTGACACTGTGCAGCTCCGTCTTGCGATGTCCTTCTGGCTGCTTTTGTTCTTCCTCCTGATCATTTTCCTCCTCCTTCTCCTGCTCCAAGACTTGGCTGCTAAGTTTGCTTGGCATGTTGGGCGAGTTCGCGCCGCCTCTCCTAGCACTCCTTGCATCGACACCACTAACCGCCTCGCGCAACCTGCCCGGTAAGCTTTTTGGAGTCGGAGTCGGAGCGGGAGTGGAAGTCGGCGTTGATGCTAAAGCTGAGGCTGACGCGCGTCGTCCACCCTCCCTCTCTCCCTCTCTCTTCTCACCTGGGGTAGACGAGCGCATGCTGCGACTGCTCATCATCCCCGCTTCCACCAGCCGTTGCAGTTCTACATCGGCCTCTGCGCGTTGTTTAGCTACTCTCTCCGTCTTCATCGCCTTGTGAAGCTCGGGATTATACTCGCGCTTGCGCTTGCTCTTCTTGCTCCTGCGCGAGCGCGGTGGTTGGGGCAGGGCTGCTGCGTCGCCACTCTCTCCCACTGGCTCGGGCGACGGTTCCGTGTAGAGAGTGCTATCGAACATCTTCTCCACGCCGCGCTCTTCACTTAGCATCCTTATCACACCTTCCGCAGCCTCGAACGACTCTACTGCGGGGAGAGACTGTGATAATATTTCTATGCACTGAACCTTTTGCGTCTCCGTTTCAACGTATATTGGCGAGCCTTCGAGGTTGTAATGCAGCGCGTTGTCGTATACCGTCATCACATCGCTCACGAATTGTGACTTGGTGGTGTATGCTCGGCGGTCGATGCGCGCGTAGATGGTCGACCAGTCCATCGGCGTCTTGATGACGTCTAGGTAGTTGGGTGCATCTGTGAGCGACACTGGCTCAGCGAAAAGCTCAGTCTCGTCAAGTCTGAATGTATGGTTAGAATGTATCTGTGTCACATAACACTCTCCCCCACTCACGCTACTATCCTCTCGAAAACCAGTCGCAGTGCCTTGTCGTGCGGGAAAAGGTAATGGAAAATTGTCTCGACCAGATGATTTACTTGGTTCTGCTTAGCTGCCTCCCTCTCTATCACCAAATCTGCAAGCTTCTTTGCGCGTTCTAAATCATCTCTGATCGCTGCCAAGTACTGTTGTTCAGTGTGAGTGTTTAAAATAGAGTAAAGACTTCCATCTCACCTCCAACTTTTGTCGCTTGTCTGCTTCACTATGCTGCGAATTTACAGTGGCTGACCAGGGCTGCAAGTGTTTAGTACCAACTTTGATAGAATATTCCACACCAACCTCAAGATGCAACCTGCGTATAAGACCAGCCCCTCTCCTTCTCTCCCTCTTCAAAGCCCAGTATTTGGTGACTTCATACGCAACCTCCAACTTGTAATCCAATTTGATAGTGTCGATGTGGTTCAAAATGCGATCAATAATGTACTGTGGGACGCGTGGAGGACCAGGATTAAAAGCGTGACTATGAGCTCGAGCTGCTTTAGTCGATGCAGCGCCCAGTGATGGAACAATAGAGGCGTCTTTATCCAAGTCAAACAAAGGAGCGCTTCTAACCGTCTTTGGTCGATGTCTATGACACAAAGCCCTCATAACGATGGTATCCTCCAACTGATCACCTTGCATAATATTGCGAGTTTTGCATAAAAGCCCAAACTTCTGCGCGCAAGTTGGATGCATCGCGACAAAGCATGCCCTGTCATCGCATTGTATACACGCACCAGATTTCTGCTTGCAGATGTAACAAATGAGCTTCCACCTGGATTTGGGTATCCTGTCTACACCTTCGACTGGCTCTTGGTATACAGGGTTGGAAAGACCAGTCTCAGGGATCCAGTTGGCGCATATCACGTGTGCCCACGCTCCGTTGTTTGTCTGCTTAAACGCACCGCCTTCGTTGGGACAGAGAACGCACGAGACGGGATTCTCGGGCGAGACAGTACATTTCCTGCACAGCCACTGCCCTTCTGGGATATAAGGTATGCCGTAGCAATCCTGATGGACAGCCAGATTGCAGCCATCGCAAAATACGATAGCGTTGGAGTTATCGCACTCGCTGTCGTTGCAGATAAGGCACGTGGAATCCTCGATGAACGCGTGTTTCGGTGTCTTCTGCGGTAACTTCTTCTGTAGATCGAGGAACTCCTTCTCGAGACGATCGACGATAATTTCAAAAATCTCGTAAGACACACCAGCGATCTGGATGGAGTTACGGAACTTGTTGAGATCGTCGAGCCAAATCTTATCCTGCTCATCCATATCGTACTCGACTTGCTGGTTCAATTCATCTTCTAAAGGCTCGATATACCTCTGATACGCCTTGGACTGCGTGTAAATATCATCCACTGTATTGTCTGCGGGCTGCGTCAATGCGATGATATCAGGCAGCTGGCCAACTTACAGCCAAACGCAGCCATCGACGTGTCTAGTACTTTGTTGTCCAGCGTGCTGTCATTTACCAGCTTAAACTGGGCGACCGGCACCGCTGTAGATTTCTCAGCTGCCGACATTAATGGCTGTTGCTGTCCAAGACGATGATCCAAGTGGAGAAGAAATCCGATAGGAAAGTGGAGCCAAATTTATTGCCATTTTCTATTGATTACGAGGGCGTCGCTGATATAAGCACTTACTTCCATCGCGTAAATAACGTAGCTGCGTTTAGAGGACGCAGGATAACAGCCAAGGGCGCGAAACTGGGTGAGGGAATGATTGGAATGTGCGTAAAGGAGGTTCTACCAGATATACAACCAATGCAGCCCAAGAAACGCGTCAAATCCACCAAATATTCGATGGATGACGATAATGACGAGGATGTCGATCACAACGACTCGTTCGATGCGCATTCAACCCAGAATTCGGATAACGACAATCACGACAATCAATCAATCCCATACACTCATCAGGACACGCGTCAGACCTTCCACTCAACCGGACACACTTTCACGGATTTCAACATTTGGATGCCAGACGAACACGTCGCAGAATCCACTCATCCACTCTGTAGGCTAGAAGAGCAGCAGAAGCTGTTTGCATTGGTGGGTTGCTTTCTCCTTCCCAATCTTCGTACACGCTCACGCTCACGCAAATCAGATCAACGCAACTGAGTAGCTGGGTGTTCATAGAGTTACATATAATACCACTTCATTATCAATGCTTGCAAGTGTGATATGGCTTGCCAATTCCAATAGAACAGCTGCAAATACGACCAATGGCCGTAGCAGAAGCTAACAAACGAGTGTGCGAGAAGGCTATAGAGTGCTTATGTGAATATCTATATGAATAACGCAGTGATATGCTCTGCTCTCGTCCAGCTACATATGGCGTGCTACATCTACACGGACAGTAATTTGCTATCTAAAAATACACAAACCTACTATAGTGGCTTGAATATTTCCAACGCAACATTTCATTTACTCCACTCCCATAATTTGACATCTCGAATTGCACTGTCCAGCCAAAGACCCGATTTCAGAATTAGTCTGACCCCTATTTCTTGTTGCATCAAATGCATTCAATAGATTTGAATATATTTATAATGGCAATACTTTCTCCTTGGAGCCAGCACTAAGTCCTGTGGACGCCATTTGTCGGAGAATGTAAATCGCGATAATAAAGCCGTATAAATGAAACATTGGGTGCTTGTGGTCCAATTCAGCTAATACTGTTTTCTTCTATCGATAAAGCGCGTGAAATCCTTCGCATCTATCCTTTAGCCTGCCCTGGAGCGATGTCGGATCAAAACTTCCGAGCAACCTACAGGGCGCGATTGGAGTCTAAGAACAATAATTCTGGTAAATTCTTGTAAGGCTCATTCAAGACTATTTATTCTGTTTTTCCATTTGGAGATCATCAAAAGTCATAAATCAGTGTTTGAAATGAGATAGGTAGTAGTAGAGTAATTCAACGCGGTAGTGAGCAGATGACTGAGATAAAGTTAGACAGGAAATTCTCGGGAGTTTCTGAGAGTAAATGGCACTTTTATTCCTTCCTCATCTGCAATCATCGCTACATCGCTATCAGCGCATCCATGACATCAACCACGCCGACACCGATAAACAACCTCAGCACAACCACTCGACGGACAACAAATGAACGAGTTAAATGTGATATAATCACGCGAGACCTATTATTACATTTGTATTCATAAAGGGTATCTTGAGCTGGAGCAACTTTGTGAAGACCTTGTAGTTAATCAAGTTCGCCAGTCGGTCAAAGTTGACGACATTGTTGTGTACATACACCACATAGTCGTCAGGCAGAGTTAGAGATCTGAGGAGACAGCCAAGGAGGAAGAAGGTGATGGCCGTGAGGAGGAAGACCAAACCGAGCGACTTGAGTGTGTAGTTGTGTCTTGTGCCATGGGCAGTTGCACTTACAACATCTACAACTCCATGTCCAGCTCCAGCTGCCTGGAGCGTGTGAGCGGGAGGAGACAAAGACTCAGGTGCAGCTGGTGATTGTACGCCCTCAGGAGTCTGGTACGTCTCTGGAGAAGGACTTGAGGAAGCGCTGCGAGCTTCTTCAGCTATATCGGTCTTTTCGTCCTCTTTCTTCTCAGGTGTGGCCGTCTTGCTAGTGCTAATGTTGAAGAGAGACTGGAGTGATGGGAATGATGGTGGGGCCCAGGTGGAGAACACGTTGGAATTCGTGCCGAATATAGACATAAGCGAGTTGCTCTGAACCTTGCAATTACGGTTTAGTATTTAACAGGCTTACGAAGGACTCACTCACAATCTCGCCCTCAGATGTATCACCATCGACTACCTCCTTCGCTTCGCTGGCTCCCACTGCAGCTTTTGCCTCAGACAACTCACTTTGCTCCGCTTGCCCCTCCCGCTCTGCACCCCTGATATGCCTGCGAGAGACGGAGAGCGGGTTGAGAAGGCCTGGCGGGACTGCAGTGTCGCCATCTGGGGATTTGTCAGTGAGAGGAGTGTGTGCGACAAGAAACATTAGCACGCACTCGAATTAGACAACGAAACACAGTCAAGCATATCGCACTTGACGCCGTCTAGCAAGTCTTGCATCGACAGCTTCTCCGTCTGAACAGCTGTAGTGTTACCATTGCAGAGAAACTCTTTCTCAGGCGTAAGGCCGTCGCTGCAGCCGAGTGTGAGTGTCGTTATCAATTTGTGGTGGTTGAGCAGGTTCAGTCTGACGCCATCATCGAGGCTACCGCACCTCAGCACCAGTCTGAGCAGCTGCTTGTGCCTCACTCTGGCAGGATCCAGGGCCGATGTGAGATTGTGCATGTTGACAGCAACTGTGGCGTCATCCCTAATATCTCGATTATCGTGTTGTAAAGACAAAGGAAGCCTCTCATTGCTGACTACCGACTCGAAATTCATATTCACTCCTCCAGAATACAGCTGCAAGTCGATTACCACTTCAGCGAGTATGTAGTCCTTACCAAAACGCAATGCTTGCAAGAGATTGTCATCATTGTTCTTATAGTCGCTCCTACGGAGGGTGGCAGTCGACGACCCGCTCATTCCTTTCACCTGGCCCAGTCCTGGCGAGACTCGCAGCGACATTGACGAAGCTCTCTTTGCAAGGTTTGATGGAGTGACGATGCGAGACTGTGCTTGCGAATTGGTATGAGAATTCGAATTCTGCTGCTGCTGCTGCTCGACTAGTCTCTCCGGAAGCGCAGATGAGACTTGATCGATGTCTATATCATCCAATGGGTCATCCTTCTCCTCCAGCTCGTGCACACCAGCCTGTGCTGCTATCTCCTCTTCACTCAACAGCGCATGCCCAAATTGAAGATGGTGCTCCCCGTCGTATGTATTTGACGCAACGAACCCACCTTCCCCTTTGTTCTGTCCGTCTATCACCCAGCTCAACTCCCCTTCCTTCAGACTCACTTCGTCCGGAATCTCGCTGTTCTTGTTCAGAGTGAATCTCTGCGTAGGCTTTAATACACTCAGTGGTGGACCATTGTTCTTCAAAAATTGGTCTAAATTGTTGAGCACCTTCACACTTAGTGTGTTGCACAGGTTGTTGACGGTCGATGGCACATTGCCACGGTAGTCTACAGCGACGTAATGATTCACTGTCGTCGATGGTATTAGTAATTTCTCGGTACTGTATGGATCTATCTCTTCCAACACCCAGCTGTCGATCAGCACTCTACCATATGGGAGCTTTCCGCTATTCAAACTTTCACCATTGAAATTGTGAGACGAGAGTAGTGATGGGTCAATGCTTGCTGACGTTATATAGCACTTTCCGTTAATGTTGCTGGTGATGGTGGACGTAAAGAAAGCTCTGTCTTTGAATGGGAACGTCGTTTTGAGAGTGAGGTGTGAGCTGAAACTTCCACTGGCATACACCTCAAGTACATCATTGTGTGCAATTCGCTCATTGTCCCAATTCTTCCCATCCTTGAACGACTTTGAAATGTATGAGGAATGTATAGCCGAAGCTACTTCGTTAACACTCCACCCTTCAATGACACGCTGACCAACTTGCACTGGGACATCATTCGATAGTGCGTGGAATATTTTTCTCTTTATTGTGAGATCATCCTTTTCAAATATAACGTTCCAGTTGGTATTTTTTGAGCCATCCGTTGATAGTAGATCTGTGTTGGAGTTATTACTGGCAATACTGCCACTTGTTGACACGCTCGATCCATATAATTGCTGCTTTTGTGATGTAAGTGTGTTCTTTAAGGCTGACGAAGTTGTATGTGTGTTAGTATTAAGATCCTCATGTATTCTTCTTGTCCAACTCAATGAATCGAGTGCGCGTCTCATTGGCTCCTTGTGCTTAGTGGCATCTTGATTAAAATTCTGTGAGAGTATACTGGAATCTTCCTTGATAGAAGGCGCTTCGGGGATACTGCCCATCTTAGATGTGTACCTAGAAGCTACTTCTTTATCAGCTGATGCCGAGTTAGGTATATTCATAGGTGCGACTGATGTAGAAGCTGATGTTGAATTTGACGCTGACGCTGGCACTGACGATGACGATGACAATAACTTGACATCTACCTCCTTCTTCTCCAAATCCAACCAACCTTCAACTGGATCTATGTCATTCACTTCGAGATGCCTCTCAGCAAGTGTGTCGAGAGGCACACAAGCTGGTGGATGTCTTTTCATTGCTTTCAATTTTGCAATAGATTCTTCAGACATCTCTTCATTATTTATGGTCTCTTTCATTCCGTTGACGTAAACACTACCACGATCTTTATCCTTTTTGCTCCTTAATATATTCACTGCTAGCTTCGAGTCCATAATATCGTACTGCTCATTAGATGGGTCGATTTGGTGTTTGATGGCAATCCACAGTCCTCCGCCTCGGGCGCTGAGTCTATGACGTTTTATGCACTCGACATTAGTCGCAGGAGGATCAATAATTATATCAATGCTGTTCGCCCACCTATCCAAGTCGCAACGAAGCAAGCAAGTGATAGTGAATGGCTCCTTGGACCTATTTGGATGCAGCTCCTCTTCTGATTGCACCGGTACGAGAGTGTCGAATGGCAGAATCATTTCATATTCCAACTTGTAGTTGGCTTTCTCGTGGTCGTAGTGACTCATGAGTGTGCGCGCGTTGGTGATATCCGTCAGTATTGGAGGGCCTCCATACTTAATAGCAAACTCTCCAACTCCCGAGATCTGTTGAGTGAGGATTTGGGGAATACCAGACTTGTTCTGCCATCCCTTTGGATCACTCTGCTCCAGTACAGTCACCTGGACCGTTGTAGGCGATAGACTCTCAATAGCTACACCTGACAAGTCGGTTTGAGATCGTATGAGATTTGGCTTGATAGGTGGGATTGTGGGGAATAGAGAAGAGTCGTGGGCTGTGAAACCGAAGCAGTGTATGCTAGCCATTGATTTGTATGAAGTCGTTACTAGGACATTGTCTCTGGCATTAGCTGGCCAGACTGGCTTAGTTTTCAAATACCAAAGAAAAGAAGCGTTGTTGATATCCTCAAGCAAAGTTGCATCCTCGAACGTTTTGTCCCAAAAAACCCTTGAGCCGTACGATTCAAAGACTGCAAAGATATCAAAAATGTTAACGCCGATAAATGTTGCTGTGGGGAGTGTAAGGGAGGCGAGGAGGGTAATCAGTAGCACACTCACCTTGACCACGATACAAAACAACTGCAGGGTCGATAGTATCGAGTTGAGTGATAGAGACACCCTTGGTATCGCTCACGTGCTTCCACTTTGGCTCTGGTTCTTGAAGCAAACTGGAGAAGTAGGTGTAATTATGACGAATGATAGAAGCGATCTCGGTAGCTTGGGAGGGTGTACGTGAGGATGAACGTAAAGAGGAATTGGAAGTGGATTGTGAGGAATGTTCAGTCAAGGCCGATTCCTCCTGCTTGCTGGAGTTGGATAGCTGGTTCATGATCGAATTGGCATGGAACTTGTGGGCAGATGATTTTGGGAGGGCCTCATTGAGTATAGGATCGTTGGAGATAGAGATGGGCTTGATTATGCCATTAAATCGTACAGAAGAAGGAGGACCGGTAGTTTTTTCTATGGAAAGGGAGGTGGAGTGAGTGAAATGGATTTGGATGAGTAGTAAAGAAGAATGATTTGAGATTTGCGCGTTACAATCACTGGATGTGAGTAAATCCCAAGCGAAATCAGCTAAAACGACCAAAGAAAGATGAGGGGAGGAGTCAGAGTGATTTTCAACGTTAACTTGAAACGATAAGCAATCTCTTTGATTGTCAATAGAGTAATTATTGATATTGAGATGGTCAAACGAGTTCAACAGGGGGATATCACTTGAATTCGCCATTAAATCAACCAGATTTGACATGATTGAGCCAGTATTTGAGTGATTTTTGATATTCCACTGCCAGTAGTGATTTATCTTGGTGGAATGGCGATTAAACTCCGCAGACCACGCTAAAAGAGGAATTTGAGCGTATTGATAGGGTTCTTCAGATTGAGGATCGATTGAAGTGGCTACAGAGATGACAGAGTGTTGATTGTAAAAGATGGTTATAATAATATCACTGTATTTTATAGATTTAGTCCAACCAGAGGAAATAAAGACGCGTATCAACTTTGTGTGAGAGTCGATGACGTTGAGAGTGATAGCGTTGGAGATGGCTGGGTGGATGCTAGTGAGATACTCAGGATTACTTAGAAGCCTTATAAATTGTATTCTGTCCATCTCCCTAGTAGACAGTTGCAGCCTGTAAACGTCATCCCTATTGATCGTCGATTTATAATAATGAATTTGTAGATGATGGTTGTAAGGAAGCAATAGTGTTGTCCAGTTGTTCGTATTAAATATTAAAAATTTTAGAAAGCAGATAACCCAATTGATTTCTTGATCCTTCATAGTCCATGACATCCGCGATTGTAGAGGATAATCAACACCAATTAAATGAAAAATTATTTGACATTGACGAGGATGATCAGTTTAATCGGTTTTTAAGTGTCTACAATAGAGTGGAATCTGTGAACAAGTACACGCTCTCCTTCTTATCTGGTTTTGAAAAGAGAGATTTCACATCGACCCAGCAAGTCAAATTGATTTCTGATTTCTTATCTTTCATCGCTGCAGAAATGCGTAAATCCAATCAATTTGATGATCTCGATTTGGCTTTGGATTCCATCGATAAGCTGATACATATTAAGCTATATCCTCGAACTTTTAATCCTAAATTTGATGATCTAGCAAAGGACCAAGTGCTTGAACAGCGAATAAGAATATTCAACTGGATCAACCTTGAAAACCTCGATCTATACTTTGATTTAGGTGAAACATTCAAACTTGCTACACATCAATTACACTCAATAAACAAATACCATTGCCCAAAGGATAAGAAATTAGTCATCTTGAACACTTCAATTATACTCACTAGCATACTCAACAACTCACCTGCAACTACCTCAGCTGATAGCTTACTTCCACTCTTCATCTACACGCTTCTACAATCTAATCCGCAACATTTGATCAGCAATATTGATTATATACAACGTTTCACTGATAGCGAGCAGTTGTCTGGTGAAGTGGGCTACTACTTCTACACTATCACAGCTGCTGTTTCTTTTATCAGCAATTTAGATCACAAAGCCTTGTCGAATATAGATAAAGAGGAGTTTGAGAGGTTTGTGGGGTCATAGTGGTACAGTAAAGTGCTCACAAATGTTCAGGCGCGTCGCAGAAGCTATATCCCAATTACCATCCACACCTCCACCTTCTCCAATTAAATCGACACCCACAACACCTCAACTCAACCTAGCAAACGAATCCAGGCAGATGTTTCAAAGAACTACCCAAGGGATTGGCAAGATAGGTAAGCTGCTCGGTGAAGTGGTTGAAGAGGGTGTTGATAAGCTAACCAATTCGACCTCTCCGAAGCGCAACGGGAATGGGGTTGAGGTGGAGAGTGTTGGTGATACCAGGCGTGAAAACACTCAATTAGAACGGTCTCATTCGCAATACCTTGAGGAGATGGAGCGTTCTCGACAGCAGTTCAACAAGTCACTTGAGACACTGCTGCAGATATTCCCTCACGTTGAGCCAGGAGTGTGCGAAATGATACTCAATGCTGAGCACGGTAATTTAGAAGAGGCAGTAGACAAATGCCTAGAAGTTTCCAACACGGTCTAATGGCGTCATTGTACAAACATACACACTAATCAACATCAACTTAATCAAATGCATCGATAGTTATTATAATCACTCAAACAGGTCAGATAGCACAATCAAAGCTGCGAAAACAACAAGGACAGTGCCATCCACCCTACAGAGTAGAGTAGAAGGCGTGCAAAATATTCAGGCAATATGTAAACCGAAGTCTACACAATGCATCCCTTCTGAGTAGGCTACTGTCGCCGTGCAATGCCCAGACGGTCAACACGACTTCCAATGTACGTGAGATCAGAAGCCTCGCCAAGGTAAGTATGAAGAAACAAGCTGGAAGCCCTACGTCTTTTATAGCCCGGGGTGAAAAAAAAATTAACCAAAAACTAAAAATGGTTAAATTAAAAAATGCAACCCTAGGATAAGCCATGGAGGGAGTTGCTGTGGGTATGGTGTGGGTGTGTTGTGTTTCTGTGTGTGTGCGTCTGTGTGCCCCTCGGTTGATTGGAAATTTGCACCCTTTGCCAGCCAAGAAAGATTAAATAAGCAGTAAATCTAAATAAACAATACACATCAAACCAGTGATGCTAATTTTGTATGCAAGATCCCCACGAATGAAACTTGTCTCTTGATAAAACCCACCAAATGAGCAGCAATAGCAGCAATAAAGCGAGGGTGATAAAGCTAGTGCTTAGAAATTACTTGAGCAATCCAGAGGAGAAACCAGCGTTGGCTGCGCTACAGCTACTTGAATCGGATGCTAGTGTATTCAACCCGGATGAGAGCAGCGAAATGCTAACGCAGCTGAACACACGCATAAACACACTCCAGCAATCCCGCGATCAATTCGAAAGATCGCTAGGTTTCCAACTGGCTGTGGTCTGGGCCAATGCGCGGGTGTCCTCCCTCGACTGCATCCGCCAATACGGCAAGCAGTGGCTGGAGAAAGCTATTGCAGTTGTGAACAGGGGGAACGAGGAGGCGGCGACGCTCAAGCACGCTCTCACCCTTACCACGCTCATATTCACCGCTGCGACGCGGCTTCCCGAGTTCGGCAGAGCTGTCACGCAGCCGCTGTCGGTCAAGTACGCACAAAGACTCGTCGATCTCGTTAAACAACGCCGTGATGTACAAATAGACGCTATGCACGCTGCTAGCGATCATCTCATTACCCACCCAAGCAGCTTCAGACCTCAGTTGAACGCCCTCAATGGCGTAGTGACGGAGTTGCTCGCACATTCACCAGACTCCACCAACAAGAAGCTCGTCGACGCCGTCACTCGTCTCTTCTCCTCCTCGGCTCGCGCTGCCGGTAAAGCGAATGTATCGCCTACGCTCAAGAAGCTGATAGAGAGCACGCTGACGAGCATCGATGAGGATGTCGGCCATCTGCAAGGCGAGACGTGGGCATATGCAAAGAGCAGCAAAGGAGAAAGTATCAATCTGGGCAAAATCAGAGCAGTTACTGGTGATTTACTAGTAGATGCACCCTTCCTGACTAGACGTATTGGTGTGTTATTCTACGCGATATGCAGTGCGCTGACTGCGAAATACGACACCTTTGTCAGTATCCCCGTCGGGAATATTGTCAGTCTGTGTACTCGCATTCTCCACCTCACACCGGCTACTATAGTGAGTGATGCGCGAATTCCAGCTAGCGTGTAGTCTGCTGACTGTGAAATAGAAAGAAAACTCTTCGAAAGAGGAAGAGGTGCTGCGCATTAGTAGTACAGTGCAGCTGACCAGCTTTGCCTGTGGACTGCTCTCCCAGTTATCGACACTGGTGGGCGTCTCACTCGCACCGCACACCAGCACCATTCTCAACGCTGTTGCTTTCCATCTGTCTAGCGCAGAGGTGAATGGGTGAGCAGTACATTATCAATCCATTCTGACATACTAAAAACGCACAGCCAAATCAAACACTCCCTCCTGATGCTCTCAAGTTCACTGACTGCCACCGGAGCAGCGTCTAGTGTCGATAATGCACATATGACTCGCATTGCTAAATGTGCACTCGGCTCACTCGCTTTAGCTGCACCAGCCAAGCAGACAGCAGTGGGAGGGAGTAACACAAAAGCGTCAGGGAAAGCGTCAGGGAAAGGGAAGAAACGGAGTCGAGCACAGTTTGAAGTAGACGAAGCATTTTCAGCTAGTGTGAGAATGTCAGCGGTAGACGTGAAGATATTGCTCGCATCTCTTGAGTGTGAGTGTTTATTTAGTAGGATATAGTGTTAACACCAATCTAATCCCAACACATGCAGTCATCAAGAAGGCCTTACACACCGTACCTAGTTTAGAAACACTCGGTTTGAAAATTGTCGTAGCCTTGGCGCTAGATCAGGAATGGAGGGGAGTGATGCCGAGTGAAGCTGCGTCTCAGCGCGTTTGGAAGGCTGTCGTAGGAGTTATTCAGAGTAAACGCGCTCTCACTTCGCCAATGTCGAGCTGGATTGTCCAAGTTACTGGCTCAAGTGAGCTGCTTGACGCTATCATTCATCCCGTTGCTCCACCGCCAGTTGTTCACGCTGATATTGACGATAAGCGTGTCAATTTGAAGAAGGAATTGGAGAATATCAAATTGGCGTTGGGTGTTGTTGGCGGTGGTGAGCAAGGTGAGCAAGGTGAGGATGAGGATGAGGATGAGGATGAGGATGAGGATCAAGATGAAGCCATGGAGAAAGAAGAGCAAGAGGAGCAAGATGAAAAAGATGAAAAAGAAAAAGAGGAAGAAAAGAGCGTGTCTCAGCACAACCCAACTAGCACCGCCAGTGCGAATGGACAGCTTGATTTTGCAGTGGCAAAAGATGAACCCAAGACGATGGAGAAGATAACAACAGCTCGACCACCGCCAATTGAGTCGACCAAGTCATTTAGCAATCCGCTGCCAGTTATGAATAAGGATAAGGAAGGGCAAGAATCCAGCGATGAGGAAATGCCTGCTATATCCCTCGATTAGAAAATAAAGAATAAATTTGTACACCATAATTTAATTTACAATAGAGTATCTTTGGTGATTACGTAGGCCTCTTCCAAACACTCAACATGGCACCAAAAGCAGATTGGGAGAAATATCGCGCAGATCCAACAGATCCATCAAAGAAGGATCAAGGGAAAGTTGAAGCGCTCGATGACACAGATATTCAAATACTCAAGACTTACGGCCAAGGACCTTACGCCAGGCAGCTCAAGAAAGCAGAAAATGATATAAATCAAGTACAAAAGCGTGTTAACGAGAGAATGGGAATTAAGGAATCTGATACCGGTTTAGCTCCTCCTAACCTTTGGGATTTACCCGCTGACAGACAGCGTATGGAATCTGAGCATCCACTTCAAGTTGCGAGGTGTACAAAGATTATTAGGCCTCACTTGATGGCTCAGCAGGCAGCACAGGGAGCACAGCAAGCTGAGTCTGCAGATAATTCTCAACAGCAGCCACAACAACCCCAACAACAACCTTCCATCCCTCTCACTCAACGCATGGCTCAGGCTGGTCAAGGTGTTTTGGGCGCTGGTACCTCTGCTGAACAATCTGGCGGTGAAGGCGATGATAAATACGTCATTGACATCAAACACGTCGCCAAATTCGTCGTCGGTTTAGGCGACAGAATTGCTCCAACTGATATTGAAGAAGGTATGAGAGTTGGTGTTGATCGACAGAAATATCAAATTCAAATTCCATTACCACCAAGAATTGATCCAACTGTTACTATGATGCAGGTTGAGGAGAAACCAGACATTACTTACTCTGATGTCGGTGGTTGTAAAGAACAAATCGATAAATTACGAGAAGTTGTTGAACTCCCCCTACTCAACCCAGAGAGATTCGAGAAACTCGGCATTGATCCTCCAAAAGGTGTTCTTCTCTATGGTCCACCTGGTACAGGTAAGACACTCTGCGCAAGAGCAGTCGCAAACAGAACGGACTCCACTTTCATTAGAGTTATCGGTTCAGAATTGGTACAAAGATACGTCGGTGAAGGTGCAAGAATGGTTAGAGAACTCTTTGAAATGGCAAGGAGTAAAAGGGCATGTATCATCTTCTTTGATGAGATTGATGCTGTCGGTGGTGCTAGATTTGATGACGGTGCTGGTGGTGATAACGAAGTACAAAGAACCATGTTGGAATTGATTAATCAATTGGATGGTTTTGACTCTAGGGGTAACATAAAAGTTCTCATGGCAACTAACAGACCAGACACTCTCGATCCTGCTCTCTTACGTCCAGGTAGATTGGATAGAAGGGTAGAATTTAACCTACCTGATAATCAAGGTAGAGCTCTCATCTTGAAAATCCACGCAAGATCCATGTCTTGTGAAAGGAATATTAGATTCGAGTTGATTGCAAGACTATGTCCAAACGCTACGGGTGCTGAACTTAGATCTGTCGCAACTGAAGCTGGTATGTTTGCTATAAGAGCAAGACGCAAGGTGGCATGTGAGAAGGATTTCCTTGACAGTGTTGATAAGGTTATTAGACAAGGAACAAAGTTCTCATCAACTGGTCAATACATGCAATATAACTAGTTGTATAGAAAGCAAAAGAAACGGTTGAATGTAATACATTTTTTTTTGTTGAAATGTTACCACGTTAAAATGTTATCTATCTAAAAATCCATTTACACAACTTTTAAAGGAGGTTCTGTTTTGGGTAAGGGAGCTGTGGACCATTTTGTTGAATACACAAGGCACCAAGTTTGTGACCAAGTTGAACACATTCTGGGATAGGAGAGCCGAGGACAAAGGCAGCGATAAATCCACCAGCAGTAGCATCACCTGCACCGTTTGTGTCAACAATGGCATCCTTTGAAAGAGGTGAAACAGGGAAAGATGTGAGTGACTTGTCACCAACAGCGACAACAGTCTCTAAAGCACCTTGGGTGATGACTACGATTCTATCCTTGCCAGAGTTAGTCTTTGAGAGGTTAGCTATGTGTTTAGCAACACCCTTAGCAGAGGTGTCCTCAAGACCATGTGATTGTGCGTAAGCTTCGGCCTCAGACTCATTACCAAAGACGATATCAGCGTATGGAATGAGCTGATCAACTTGATCCTTGAAGAATTGTGGAATGAAAGGAGCAGAGAGGTTGAAAGCGAGTGTCTTACCAGACTGTGAGGAGTGTTTGGCAACTTCGAGCGCGCTTTCAATACCATGAGTAAGGAAGAAACCACCAATGTAAAAATGAGAAGCTTCGTCCATTCTCTGTTTCATTTGAGGAGTACGAAGGTGATCAACGCTGAATTCTTGAGCAGCAGCCAAGTTAGTAACCAATGAACGATCATGACCTGTAATGAGGACACAACATGCTCCTGTAGGTGTATCTTGGCGAACATAGTAAGCGCTCTCTACGCCCTCTTTGTCATTAGCTTCGCGAAGAGTGTTCGCAAAGTTATCACTACCGACTGAGCCCGTGTACACAACTGAACCAGCTGGCAAAACATAGCTGGCTGCGCGAGCTGTGTTCTGTCCAGCACCACCTGCCAGATATAATGGTTTCAGCGTTGTCCTTACTTGTTCGTAGATTGCTGTGTGTTCTGGTCCAGCGAGAATAGCGTCATTTGATTTCAGCGCATATTGTGAAAGTAATTTCTCCGCTCCCTCTGTGACTGAGACTGAGAAGCTGTCAGTATGTCGCACTCTGAGAATATATCGTTGCTTACTGTCGAGGAGTGGGTTTCCGATGGCAAAGAGTTTACTGGAATTGCTGGTGAGCTGGTTCCGCTCTATTCAGTTCTCTCCCCACTCACGCTGGCATGACTATGAAAGTTGTGATCTGAGAGAAATATAAATTACTCAATGGGACTTGTAACTTTATGAGAACCATTTTGAGACCGTAGTAGTTCTGCATTGGTCATATACTCACCTCACCCCGTTTTGCCGCCCTCGATTGCTGCCCAAGTCAGCTAATCTGCCCATACCACCCACTCACTAGTTATAGGACTATAATTCAACAAAATGACATTAAGTTCGATAACATACGAGCCAGTCAAAAATTGATCACAATGAATGAGAAGCAAAAAGTGTCCTTTACCGTAGACGGGACTCGAACCCGCAACCCCTAGCTTAGGAGGCTAGTCACCTACCATTGGTACACTACGGCGGAATAGACAGCTGCCGCTAAGCCATTTTCGAATTTCTCGTCAATAGAGACAAAACTAATATATTCCAAACTCCTGCATTTCACCATTTTTGATCCTGATGTGCTTTATAAAGGCGCAATTTACTTTTTCATCTTTCTACAGAATCGAAAGATATGTGGTTCTTCGATGACATCACAGCCTGAACTATTTGGCGAAAGAACAATTTGAAAGCTCCATAGAATTTCAATAGGCTAGAATTATCCTATGTAGCTTTTCTGCTCCAGCGATCCTCATAATCAACAAAGATAATTCGATAGTTTGAGCCGCAATCTCCATTTAACCGACAAAAGGCTTATAAGCAGCTTATAATACTCAAGACATCCAACATTCTTGGATTGTTAATTTTTCAAATGCAATTTTACACCGAAAACGGTCATTTTTTGGTCGATCAACAACACGATTCGTGAGGTCAGGAGGGATGAATGGAGAGAATGTAAGAAAGGAATACAGAACGAGATATCAAGCAATTTATTAGTAAGTAAGGGACAGTGAGGTTTTGAAGCGTGGATTGGGAGATAGGAGAGGTTACAGACAGCCCCTGTCGAGGCCGTATCAAGTTTAGCAGAACAACAACCATGATCTGGAAAGGTATACAAGTAATTTAAAGGTAGCAATCCGGTATAATCTTGTCGATTGAGAGGGTTGGGAATATCGCCGCAAAAAGTTTATTGGTGACTCTAGGTCTAGTAGGATTTAAGAGTCATTATACACCCAGTGTTAACTTTGAATATCTCAAGATATTCCAGCTGGATCACAGCTGTCATCGGCTGAAGGATGGCTTGCTGCTGACACACTGATTGCGTGATTGCACGTTGGTAGCTTACATTGCCACCACCGCCAATGACCACAACAACGCTATTTAATATGCTTACAAATCTCAAAATCAGCGGTCACCGACTCGCACTAAAATTACCACGTCAGCAGTCTCTGCGGCTGATAAATCGCCTTATACGCAGTCTAGCCAAATAAAAAACATATATCCATGACAAAGCCTACATGCTTTACAATAAAATAATTTTTAATCGCCAAAAAGTATTAATTTTTGGTGAAATTTAAATTTTGAGATTATTTTCACGTGATCGGACCGGCTGGGTATATCATTCCGCTTGTTGTTCTCGTACATCCAACAGTAAATTTTGCGCGTGTCAAAATTAATTTTAATAAAAATTAAAAATTGAATCTGAACCGTGATTGATTTTTAGTTTGAAAGACAATGTCAATAGTAGAAGATAAAAGGCCACTATCTGAAGAGGAAGGAGATGTTAGTAATAAGAGACAGAAATACGATCAGCCACAAGAATCTGATCTTAGATCGACATCATCAAATCATGTATCCTTACCTTTGTCACAAGGTGTGTAAATGTTGTTAATGTATACTATTAGTCTTATTAACGTGTTTCAAGTTATCGATAATCCAACTACTAAGCCTTTAGATGGTCCTGAGAAGCTTGAGAATTTTCATCAATCAAATCAACTTCCAACTCCCGCTCCCTCTGAACCTCCACAACCTCCTTTGGAATCAGATCAGTTAAATCAATCTACTCAGCCTACTCCAATTCCTCAAGATCCTCCAACACCTCAACCTGCCGCAATGGCTACACCAACTGACATTCCTGCTGACACGCCGCAACACTTTCAACCCTCACAAGTACCTCAGACTGTTAAAGCAGACTCTCCAGCACTCCCAGCTCCTGTTACTCAATCTGAGACATCGGCAGCACCAGTAGAGCCATCAACAGAGGCACCATCAGCTGAGTCATTAGATGTTAAGCCCGCTATTGCTGCCGAAGGCCAACCACAGCCTCTTAATCAACCACTGGCACCACCCCAACCCGAAGTGCAGCAGTCTTCCGAACCACAGCCAAATCTTACCCACTCATCCTTGCCACCTTCTACTGATGCTGTAGCCCAACCACCACTTGAGCAAACTCACCAACCTGTCGCTGCAAGTTCGACTGAACCCCAACCACAGGCAATGGAAGTCACAGCACAATCGCAGGCACAACCTGCTGATGCTCAAGGTGAGGAAGTAGCACCGTATCAACAAGCTGGTAAATCAAACCCACAAGAGCACCATGCAGTCAAAGCAGAACCAGAACAAACTGATGAAGGAGTGAATGGGCAATCTGTTAAAGTAGAAACACCTCAGCAACCATACGAAGCATATCAAGTAGAGCACCAACCGCAACCGTTTGATGCACCAGGGGTGGTGGCTCACGATGCTCATGATTATCCAGATGGTGAAGATACGTCTTCTGCTCCACCGATCGTGCCACCAACACCCGCAGGTACAGAACCTATCATTCTTCCAAATGGTAGCAAACTCCCTCCACGTTCTGCAGCCATTGGTATACCTGGAGGGCCATCATTCTCGTTTAACCAGCTCAAATATGTCTCAACATTGATGAAGCAGTTGAAAAAGATGAAAGCTGCAGTCCCATTTCTCACACCTGTTGATTACATGTCTTTAGGTGTGCCACATTACCCAGAAGTCATCTCTGAACCATCAGATCTTGGTAGCGTTGACAGAAGGGTACAAAAGACCATCAAAGCTGAGGAAGGAGGCTATCACAACTTTAATGATTGGGAGGCAGATGTTCGCAGAATTTTCAGAAACACTGAATGGTTCAATGGCGTTGAGCACCCTGTGTCTAAAATGGGAAAGCAAGTTGAAGAATCATTTGACAAGCAGTTGAAGAAAATGCCACCAAGCGTGAGTGGTTTTAGATAAATTTTGTTGCACAGCTAACGTAATCTGCAGACTAATGATGCTGTACCATCCACCAGTAGGGGAAGAGGAGCACCACGACGTTCTCAAGAAACAGGTAGACCACGTAGAGATACTCAACAGCCAGTAACAGCACAGCAAGCAAATGATGCAAATCGTGGAAGACGGCGCAAAACAACTGCTTATGGTCGTAATGGAACAGCAGATCAGATGCGTCATTGTGCATTTATTTTAAAAGAGCTTCACAAGAAGGTGCATTCTTCATACGCAGCACCATTTTACGATCCTGTCGATTATCTTGCACTCGGATTACCAGATTATCCTCAGGTAATCCAACAGCCAATGGACTTGTCGACGATTGGTCAGAAATTCAACTACGGTGATTATGAAGGACCGAATGATTTCTTTAGTGATATGAAGCTGATGCTTGGGAACTGTTACAAGTATAACCCACCTGGAACACCTGTTCATGAAGCAGGTAAACAAACAGAGAAGGTATTTGACGACAAGTGGACGCAATTACCACCATTATCAACACCTCTTGAAATATCAGATGACGAAAATTCAGATACAGTTAAAGCTCTTCAACGCCAGATTGAAGATATGCAAAAATCATTGAATGATTTCAAGAAAGGTGGAGGTGTTACAGGTAGAGCAGCAGCAGGATCTACTACAGCTAATGGGGGTGGAGGTAGAGGAGGTAAGAGGGGATCCACAGGTGGACAAGTTGGTAGACCTCGTAGGAAATCATACGATGAAGATGATGAGAATTACCAAGTACCTGAGATAACATTCGACATGAAGAAAGAATTGGCAGGTAAAATTCAACAGCTGGAAGGAGATCAATTAGACAAAGCTATCAAGATTATTTATGAGACGTTAGATCTTGATAATAATAGTGACGAGATTGAATTGGATATTGACGTATTGCCAACGAAGACGTTACAAAAGCTTTACATGTTCGTCGTGAAGCCTCAGAAGCAGAAGAGAGGTCCATACAATAAGCAGCACGTAGACGTGGATTTACAACCAAGACCACCAAAGCGTGCAGGTACAGGTGGAGTGAAGAGAAAGTCAATGAATGAAGATGAAGAAGCTTTAAAGATACAAGCATTAGAAGCAAAGCTCAAGTCATTCGAGGGCGGATCAACAGAAGGAGCAGATATCAGTGGGGTTGGAGCGATGGTTGAGAATGATGAAGCATCTTCTGGATCTGATAGTGATTCAGTCTCAGATTCAGGTAGTGAGTCAGATTAAATATCACTCTGAGTCTTTAAGTCAAGATGGCATTCCACCACTCAAAGACGAAAAAAAAAAGAAATGAGACAAACTATATTTAATAATCAAATTGTACGAAAACAAGAGAAAGCTCGATTGAGACATGTATTTTACGCTATATATATATATATTTAAACTTTGTACATTTGTCGTTGAAATGTTTGAAGAAAAAACAATTGAAAAGTAATTAAAAAGGAGAGGAGGTGGAGGTTGAGAAAGACGGTAATTGTAGATAGTACTCGAGTAGACGTCCTAATCCAAGGAGAGAGGTATTATTGTGGTTGCCATGCTAACACTCACATCTACCATAAGATTGAGAGCTGTCTTGATCGATTCTGATAGGATCAGGGTAGTTTGCGTATAACTCAACCTCAGCTTCTTGAACTAAAGCGTTGCGTGCGATAGTTTGAAAAGCTTGTTCAACGTTGATGGCTTCTTTAGCAGAAGTTTCAAAGTAAGGGATGTTACCTTTAGATTGACACCAATTGGTTGCTTTCTTTTGAGAGACGGCGCGTTTAGAGTCCTCAGTATCAATTTTATTACCAAGAAGGACAAAAGGGAAGTTAACGGGGTCTTGGGGAGAAGCCTGCGTGTGGAGTGTTAAGGGGGATGGATAAGATAAGAAATCTAGGGAACTAACTTGGATAAGGAATTCGTCTCTCCAGCTGTCAAGGGTTTCGAATGACTTTGCGTTGTTAACGTCGTACACCAAAACGCAACAATCAGCGCCACGATAGAAAGCAACGCCTAAGGATTGGAATCGTTCTTGACCAGCGGTGTCCCAGAGCTGGAGAAGGGAGTTAGAAGGGAGCAGGATGTTGATATAAAGTGTATGCCCACTTGAATAGTAACCACTCTATCATCAACTACAACCTCCTTTGTTAGGAAATCAGCGCCAATAGTAGCCTTGTATTGATTAGAGAAACGCTTGTTAACGTATTGATTCATAAGAGAAGTCTTTCCAACGCTGTGGATGTGTTAGAATGGCTATTAGGGCTACAAAGACTAACCCAGAGTCACCAAGGATAATAACCTGTGTGGAGTTATATCAGCCACATTTAACTCCAATAAATTGCCCTAATCACCTTCAATAAAACGGTTTTCTTTGGTTGTGGCATTACTCAATGTTGTTGATGACGATGATGTGGATTGATCAATTAAGGTTAAATTTATTAGAAAGGGATAAGAAACAGAGCTTAAATAATTTCTATACGGATAATTGTGTGTATAGGGTATACAAATATACTTATAAGTCTAATAAACACTCGATCCAGTTAAGATACTACTTCAACAATTCATTCAGTTAAAACAGGAGAATTTAACCCTACTTAAAGCATCTGAGACACCTCTCGATTCAAACGAAAACATTCAATCTGCCTTTATTCAATCCTTACAATCTCAATTACATTCTTATAGGGATGAACTCACCAACTTTTATAAATCTCAAAATATTCACAACCTTAAACTTCTCAACCTCAACGAGCTACTCAGAGATAAGGATAACTCTCTTAGAGCTATTGAAGCTGAAAATCTTTCTTTAAAAGCCTCCGTGAGTCGCCTCACCAAAGCTAGAGAGGATGACTTCGAAGGTAAGCGTGAACGTGAACGTGGTATTGAATCCCTTCAGGATGATCTCGCTACGCTCAAGCTAGAACTAGATCAAGTCGAATTACGTAATCAAGACCTCAAGAATGATAACGCAAACTTATTACAAAGGTGGTTGGATAGAATGAACGATGAAGCTCAACATATGAATCAATCCCTACCCACAAATAACGCTGGTGCCGTGTCAGATATGAGCACAGATGATGATTTTACTGATATTGACAAATGATCTATCTTTAATTTATGCATTATATATACCCTTTTCTACATGTATTCTGATACAACTTCAATCGCAACTATGGTAAAAACGGCCAATGCAAGGTCATCGAGGAAATGGCTGGCTATCTTCAACCATCTAAACACATTAGTTATCCATCTAGGTACTAATGGTGATTCTAGCAGCCCTTGCGCCCATTCGGGTAGCCTTTTGAACTTTGTCTGGCTTTCTGGAGAGAGATGTGAAGTTAGGACGTAGAAGAAGATCTGCAACGGCAACAAGGTCGACCAAAGAGGGAAGAATGCAACACCAGCACCATCTGCATTTGTATCTTGCAACCTCTTCTCTGAATCTGCGCTAGCTAGTGTTGAAAATGATTCATGCCATGGCAGAATACTTGAGTGAATGACTGCAAATACGCTCAAACCAACCACAGAGATTACTCGCATGACTCTTATTACCGCCAACATACGCTCATTACGTGGTTTCGGCATGGCTGTCTGTTGTTCTGGTGCTGTTGACTGACTACGCAACAGCTGTTCAAATGATGGTATATCTGGTATATCACCACTGCGCTGCTCAAGCAAAGACCTGAAAGCTTTGTCGCTATCCACCTCATCCATGCTGGCTGTCTGGCCAGCAATATCTGCGAGGTCGATATCACCTGGATCTTCCACGTTTGATTTGAGTGTATTGCCTGTATTTCCTACGCTATCTGAGCCCTTTTCCACTTTCTCTCTGCCTACAATACAGCTTAGAATCCACCAACTCAATCCTCAGCTTACGCACCACCTGTATCACTGACCACTCTGTCTGCTGATCCTCCCGTCAGCTTCGCCAGTCTATCTGTACTCTTGGCGAGCAGTCTCTCCTGTCTTTTCTGCGCTTTAAGCTGTGCGTCTGACATGAATTCTTGTGGTCGTAATCGTCTCTATCCAAGGCACAGACGATAGAAAGAATGTATTGAAACGAATCACAAGAACCTTTTCATTATAAGCGTATTGCGCAAGTCTGTCCAACGCGCGTACACCAGATTCTCCTTCTCGATGTGCACGACCACGTTAGTCCAGCTGGGGGATGTGTATGACTGAAAGAAGCAGCAAGAGGATGCGTGTGAGTATGAGCACTGTGAATGAGAAACGAGACCAAGAATGCAACTCACGCTGTGTGCTATTTTCCCAACCCCTGCGAACGACACGCCTGCCGGTCGTGTAGGGCTGTCTATCGGCCACGGGAGGTTATCGTCTGAGGACAGTCTGCTTTCGTGTTGGTCGCTGACGAGCTCCGTATCGCGAACCTCTTCATCAAGGAAGACGCGCAAAGACACTAGTCCTCTGCCAGTGCAACGCACAGCGCATCAGTAGCTGTCTATAACATAGCTGCCCAGCAATGCAAACCCACCTCGGCACATTGTCGTCTCCAGTCACCTTGACGAATTCCAGCAGGGGTCTTCTGCGATAAAGTTAGAGTGAGAATCGCGCTGACTGAGAATTCACGCCCACCCATCTGCGCTATTGAAGCGGCGCATGCCAAGCACTTCGATGCCATGTCCGCCATATGTGCCTGCATAGTAACCCACTATATCGCTATCGCTATCTGTTGGCGCGCCATCGCCAGGCTGAACAAGCTGGACAGTTTCCAGAGGCTCGTCTTCTGGCCAAGGGTAAGGGCGATTGAAGTGGAAAACCGAAACAATGCCGCGTCTCTGTGCGAGGAACGGGGTGAGGTGGTGAAAGGGGTGGGTCTGCAAGTAAGTCTCCTCGACATGGTCTTCATCTTCATGTTTAGGACAGAGCAGATGGCGTATCGGTACATCCTCGCTTCTGTATCCCTCCATGCGCTTCTCCGCCCCACTCTCCACATCTACCGCGATAACTGGCCAACTTGGCGATCCGGTGAACTTGACTGCTATATCGCTCACTCTTTCCTCCGTTATGCGCAGTCCTGCTTCTACATAATCGCTGATAACATCGTTGAGTAGTATGTTGGCGTCGTTCACATATATCCATCGCGCTTGCTCGAGTGCACTGGTATATGCGGGCGTGGGCGTAAAAGTGTTGGTAATGCTCACCAGCTTCCCTTGGGATATTGGCTCAGTTGCGGATATCGTCCAGTCAAGTAAATGGCCCTGAGGATACACATTTCCAGCATGGACATAGGTAAATGACTTGGCATATCTCGTCACATTCGTGTACAAGTCACGATCACTCAATCCTAGCTTCATCATCCAGCTGTCGATATCTACTTCTGGGAGTGTTCGCTGATTGATTGAATACCACACTGTGTTCGATATCGCTACACTGTATAATAGCCTATTCACTCCACTTAAGTGTACAACATCCTTCAAATCCAACCAATCAATAATCTTTAGCAGTAGCTCTGTTGGCAAATCCCTCAATGACGCCATGACACCATCAATCAAGAAGCCATAGAGACATGAATAATTTACAGTGTCTACAATATAAATCTAATGAGATATAGTAATAATCTATCCGAAACTAATAAACTTAATCTGTAAGTCTTGTTACGCTAGCGAAAAACCGGAATGGATCAATGGTATCATTCTTTGATTGAATTGTTTGATTATCGAAATCAATCGACCTCGATTCACGTAAGTGACGGAAATTTACAGCATCTGTTTCATTCCCGTTACGTGGAATAATTGGTGGTTTCAAGTTACGCAATAATCCCCAATTGAGAGTGTTGAACCATTTGTGTTGCTTGACTTCACTTGCACCAGATGTAGATCCTAAACGCTTGTTCTCATCCTTGATGAGTAATTTGCGTATGAGTGAGCGTCCAGATGAAGAGCACATGTTATGGTACGAGTCAGGGAAATCTACATCTTGCTTCAAGACGTTTGAAAATGTCATATTCCGATTTGAGCCTTTGAATGGTGTAGTTGCGAATATCATCTCATAGATGAGTATACCGAGTGTCCACCAATCAACGGCCGAAGTATGACCATGTCCGCGTATAACTTCAGGTGCAATGTACTCCTCAGTACCAACGAACGAGTTGGTGCGGAAATCAGCGACACAGCTCCTCGTGTCTAAAATAGGTAAACCATTTTGACCGTGCTTCATCGTTGGAGCACCACCACCGGTTGTCTTGCCTTGCTTCGAGAGATCAAAATCGCTGAGCATGAGGTGACCTGAGGAGTGGAGGAGAATATTTTCAGGCTTAAGATCTCTATAAACGTAGCCCATCAAGTGTAAATATTCCAGCGCTGCTATGACCTCTGCAGCGTAAAACTTGGCATCATTTTCTGATAGACACCTGCCTGGCCTTGTTTGCAATGCTCTAAAGAACTCACCACCAATGCAGTACTCCATACAGAAGTACAAATACGAGGCAGATTGAAAAGAATGATGTAAAGTGACGATAAAGGGATGATTGGAGGTTGATAAGATTTCTTGCTCTGCTAAAGCTCTCTTGATCTTATTACGCTTCACCATTTCCCGCTTGTTAAGAACTTTCATAGCGAACAAAGAGCCAGACGACTTTTCGCGGACCAAGAAAACCTTTCCAACGTCACCTTTGCCGAGTAATTTAATCTTTTCAAATGACGCGGGTGTGACTTGAGCCTGTGTAGGTACGGATAAGGAATGTGAATATACCAAAGGGGGAAGGACATACCACTCTAGTCTTGATTGAGTTGGAGCTGTAAGTTCGTTTAAACGGGGGTTTGGAGGGGCTTTTGGTCACAACCTTATCAAACTTGTCAGCCTTCTCAATCGATGTATGATCCAATGTTTGATATTTGGTGGAGGTTGAAGTGGAGGAAATGGTATTCTCGGATGTATTGTGATTTGAATCGTAGATGTTGTTCTTCTCTAACGGGCTGAGTAGATTGCTGCTGCTCTTCTTGAACAACTTGTTTGTGTTTGGCGCAGACGCCACGCGACGTATCAACTTGGACTTTGTCGATTCCCCTTGACTATCATCCAGGTTTGTCTGTGTCCTCTTAAATATTCTCATCCAGTTCCTTTCCACATTCTCGCTCATCGCGGTGAGTATCCAAGAATCCAACCGAGACTTGAATCAAAGGTTTATGAAACTAAACGCAAATCATTTTTTTATTTTATTTCTTTATAGAATCATTATCAATACACATTCCTATCACTATCCCCACTCCCTCCTTCTCTTGCCGACATTTATAGCTTATGTCGATCAAATTCTCAATGACGTCGCTGTATATTTTATGCACAGCACAAGACGGACAAATGGTTTTATATAAGCTCATATAGCATTCTCATAACAAGCCTAAAACTAATTTTAAACTGATGCAAGTGGTGCTGGCTCAACGTAGTCGGTACCCTTTGAAACCTTGACACCAGAGTCTTCAGTTGCGGCTTGTGCACCACCGTGTTGTTCCAATAACTTGCCCAATTCGAACTTTGGTGCTTTCAAGATCTTTGCCTTTCTGATGAAAACATTTTGCAATGGGTAGATGTTTCTTGTTGACTTCTCAATCTCACGACCGATGGCCTCTGGGACGAACTTTTGAACCAATTGCTTCAAGTCACAAGAGCCGGCCTCTCTAGTCATGATATCGAACATCTTCTTACGGATCTCCTTGATTTGGGATGACTTGGCGTATGTTGTCTTCTTGACTTGTTGTGGGCGACGCTTGGTGAAAGCAATAGCGAATAATCTGACCAAGTAGCCGTCGGTTGTACGGACATCGACGTGTGCCTCGATCAATGATTGCCACTTACGAACCAAGGAACGTAACTTGTCTGAAGTCATATCCATACCGTAGAATGAGGTCAAGCAGTTCTTGCCTTGGATAGAGTCAACCTTGAGCTTCATCTTACGGAATGCTTGGTCCTCATCCTTGTTGAGGTCACCAAGTGAAAGCTCAACGATACGTCCCTTAAGACTGTCGTCGGCGTTCTTAAGACCAGCTGAACGGTTGACGACTGTCTTACCGATGTTGCGGGTCTCGAAGAGTGAAGGTGCCTTCAAGTCGTACCAATCCTTCTTAGCGAAAGCGTCAACGGCGCGGCGCTTGTTACCGGCACCTCTCTTGGAGAACGACTTATTCTTTCCAACAGCCATGCTTTCTAAGTTGAGTGTTAGTAGGTGTGGTGGTAGTACGGGGTAAATGGTCTGTGTGAGTAGAAATTTGCCAGATTGATCAAATCTTCAACTAAGCGAGTAATTTCAAAGCTGAAAGCGCTTTCAAAGGCCTACTCGTAGGCAGACTAAATTGCTTTCCTTAGAAGGGATTTCTTGTGATTGAACAGCTTTTTCTGAGCATCGAATGGGCGAGTTAAACCAGCTGAGGATATTCTAACTGACTCCTATATGCGCTGAATGAATATTTGACGTATTTCCCTATAGCTGCTCCTTCTTCTTCCTAATCCTCCTAATCCTCTGCACCGCTCATCCCGTAGTCTCAACTTGCAAGCCACGAATACTTACTCCTTCTACACGTGCATACGTGCATGAATCCAGCAAATTTCCGCACACAAGTCCATTTACCTATTCAAATTACTCACCAAGTGAGAACTTTGGTCTAAGGCAAGAAGGCACTTTCAATTTTTGCGGTGGCCAAAATGATAAAATAAAAAATTTCTGGCGGCATAAAAATGAATTTATATTATCCAATTACAATAAATACTGTTTTGTCTACAGATATATCCCTTTGCCTTCTTTTTCGCTTCTTCATATCTGCCATTACATGTTTTGTACGCGACGCGAGCACTACTCCTTCTCTTTCTTCTTGTCCTTGTCTACCTCCTCTGTCTTGTCATCATATACCTTCCCTGTATCCTTCCAAGCAGCTGTCCACGTCGGGTCCTTATCGACATGGGCATACTTGAGAAGCTCCTCACGTGGATCCTGTCCCAATGTACTCTCACCAAACAGTCTCTGGACAGTTGCTTGTGTCGCACTACTCCCCACTCTGCCTCCTCTGCCTGCGCCCACCAGCGGTGGCTGTGGTTTACGAGCATCAGACTCCTTCTTGGCGCGCATACGCTTCTTGGTCCGCTCATCCTCTTCCATGGCATCTGGCGTAATGATCGGTACTCTTAAATCGCGATCTGGGTCAGTGCTTGCGAGGACCTCTTCTACATCACGCGCACGCTTTGGTGCTCTCCCCAAAGGCATTAGGGCACCTCGGACAGATGTCATTGGGTCGTAAAGGACGTATGCGCTGCCATTTGAATGTGTTGCTATTATTTGATTGATGCGCGAGTGCCATAGCGTTCTTATCACGCACCCTCCTCTGTCTTTGCCGACTGGTATACGACGTACTTCTGAGAGGTCGCTTCGTGATAAAACTACGACTGAGGCCTTGGTTGCTCCTCGCTCTCCAGCCACACCGGTCATTATGTACTTGCCATCAGGTGATATAGCAGCATTCACCTCTTGATAAAGGGAAGGAAGATTGCTAGCTACACTTAATGGTCGCTTGATGTTTTTCACATCCCACACTGGTTTGCTTTGATTAGTTTCCATTTATCGTTACGTGGTTTTCTACCTACATTTCACTGTGTCATCACCGCCTCGAGTGATGATATACTTGGAGTCGTGTGTGAATCCTACAGAGCTAGTCCAGGTGTTTTTGTTGTGCGCAGCGTCGTTCGTTGCGTTAGGTCGAGCGTAGTTCCCGGCCGTTGACCAAAGATGCATAGCACCGTCTAGACCAACTGTACACGCTAAGTTGTATACTTTTGTTTGCAATTAAACACACCTGCTACTATGTACTTGGCATCTGGACTATACGCGCAAGCAGTCACCTTTGTTTTCGTACCTCTTTCTTTAGATTTAAACACAAGGACATGTTTCTGTTCACGAGGTTCTGTAACGTCCCAGATTCTGAGTATTTGAGCATTTGTAAGGAGAGTACTCTTTGTTTTTTCATTAAGACATACCGTACTGTGCTATCTGCAGAGCAAGTGATGAAGATGTTATAATCGAATGGATGCCAAGCGCAGTTGTTGATTTCAGCAATGTGTCCTCTGAGTGCGGTATTAGCTTTTGTTAGCTTCCGATAGCCAAGTAATGCAAAACACTAACTTTGTCTGACGTTGATCTTTAATGTATTGATCGCCCTTTGACCATTTGTATATCTCATCACCGTCACGGGTAAATAGTCTCACGATAGCTTGCCCAGATGCTGCAAGGATTGAGTCACCATTTATACTATACTTGAGGTCATGTATCTTGAAGTCATGTTAGAATGCCTTGGGTGATTGAACAAGCAGCTTACATGATTAGTCTCACACCCTTCAAAAGACTTGAAAGGTCTCAAAGTACTATTCATTGCTGCGAAATCCCATAATTTGATATCGTAATCATGAGAACCGGTGACAAGACGACTACCGGATGGATCTAGATCGAGAGCAGTCGCAGCCTGTAATTTGTATTTATATGACTGTTGTAAATGCGAGTAAAAACTAACCTTTGTATGATCCTGAAGGATGATTTCATGCGAACAAGGGATTTCATCACGATCAGCTTCGTATTCTTCATCTTGAGAGGGTTCTGGGGGCTTTATGGGTTGCTGAGGTTGAGTCTTTTGAGTCTTTTGAGTCTTTTCCAAGTTTACAATGTCAGGCTTATGTTCATCATCAGCGGGAGGGGCAAGAGAATTATACTGTGATTGAGAAGGCTGTTGAGGAGGTTGCTGATCATTTTCATCAGTGTTTTTTATTATAGGTTCATTATCATCCTTGTAACGCGAATATTAGTGCACTTCAATAAATCAAGAAACAGACAAACCCTTTTAGAATATTGTAATCTTTGATTAATCGCTGACTTCTGCTCTTTATCCTTCTTACCGAATCCACTAAATCCCATCAATCGGGCCATTTCATCATCCATTTGCGGACTGCCTCGTCTTGGTGGTTGAGGTTAGATAAACCAAGTGATGATAGGAAGCTTACTAGGAGTATCGCTCAAAGGGAACTTTAAACAGACTTCCAGGCATTGTTGAAGGTCAGTGAGAGTCGAAAGAGTAATGATAGAGCTTACTGGGAGTTGTGCAGACTATTTACAGTGAAAGGCTTATACCCGCCTTACTATAGCCACCAAGACGTTTTACCGCAAGGAAAAGAGGAAGGGATTGTGGGCTGCTTAAATACTGCAGCGACGGACGAGAAGCACTTGACTCGCGCCTTGTGTTTGTTTTGTCTCACGAATCCCGGCTTCCCTCGTTCCTATTTACGCCGCTAACGGCGTACACACAGTCATTAGATTTCTGTTATCTATGAAGAAGAATATAAATGATCCTTAGAGATCTCTATAACCCCTAGTTATTCAACTAATTCAAACTTTGACAACAATTTCCGCAAAAAAACTCAACGATGCTATCCCAAATGTATTCACTACTCGATGGACTATTATCATATGGGTCAGGTAAAGGCGTTATGCTCATGAATGAGTTTGAGTAGCGTTGATTGCTTGAATTTGATCTCAGCGACGCTGAAACTGAGCTCGTAGTTGATGCCGTCGTATTCCTGTTTATCCTTATTCTAGTATTGAATTTAACATGTCTATCATCTTCTAAAAGTGGCGTTGATTCGCTCATTTCACCTCTGATCTCATTCGAATCGGCCTTTTTCTTATCAGCCATTTCGGTGGTTACATCACAAAGGGTATTGATTCTCTTAGTTACAAGAATCCTCGACTCTCTTCATCTCTTGATTGATTAAATCGTGTTGCGTCATCATCATCATCATCCTCACTCCCTTCATTCCCTCTATATAAGTAATAGTGCTGAACAATGAACCCAAAGTCAAAGCCAAGCGTTACAACTGATAACGCTCTGTTTAATTATTCGTAAGTGCTATCATTCACTAAACATCATCACTTACAACTTGACTGGGTTTCCCGTTATTCCACTTAAATCTTCAGACACAACTGAGTCAAATATCAATTGTGATAAACTAAGCAATCCTCCTGCAAAATCCTTTGTCATTCTCCTTCAGTTATATTCTCCCATTTATAATACTCCCTAGACTCACAAATAGTATATTCAGTATTGAAAATCCGACTGTGGACTTTCTTCGATAATTGTGTAGCATCTTCGACTTGTCAGTTTGGTTAAAATAATCCTAATACTTACTTGTGGTGCATACTTGAGCCATGTCAAGAAGATTTTCACCGCAGAGATGGCGTACATCATATCAATCAATTCTAGTCCCCACCATCCGAGATAGACAAATAGCGAGATTATGAAAAATCCTTCAATCACTATCCAAATCGTCGTCCCTGAAGTTAAACTCACGCTCTTCTGTGATTTACTTCTCGGATAGATAACGGATTGAATAACGCCAATGATGCACATTACTAAAGCGTGAACTGAGAATAACGCGTCATTGAACTGTACAGTCGAGTCGTTTCCATTGTGCCTGCTTCTATACTCCCTTTTTATTGTTTCAGAGTATAGGAATGACAGATTGTAGATTGTCAAGCAAAGAAATCCAAGTACGTTCTACTCGAGGTTTAGTTTAAAGCGCCATACTTGCATCCTCCTCACAAGATATAAGAAATCTATGCTCACGCCATCCACTCTAATCACGCATCAACTCTACGATTCTTGATAAGCCTCCATTGCTCACCGTTTGCGTTTATAATTTAAAACCAGTTGCGGATAAAATGAAATACACCAGCAAGTCACGTATGACCACCCAAGTATATTCGAAATTATATCGCTAACACCGGCCATATCTTTCTTCTTGACCGTACGCTGGCTGGATACGATAGCAGCTACATAGCACCAAACATTCCAAACAAATAAAATTATTTCCAATTCCTTCTTACTCTCTCACCTTCATGTCCTCTATAAACGAGCAGATCACACATGTTCGCCAGCATTTGCGGGAGCTTGAGCTTAAATTACAGCGAGAAGATAAATCTCCAAATAATGATGTCAATGGCTTATCGCTCGATGAATACAAGAGATACGGCCGCCATATGGTACTTGATGGCATCGGCTTACCTGGTCAGTTTGCAGCCCTACTTATTCCTCACTCGCTCACTCTATCTCACAGGCCAATTGAAACTCAAGAATGCTTCTGTCGTCATCGTTGGTGCTGGTGGTCTTGGATGTCCCGCTGCCCAGTATCTCGTTGCTACCGGCGTCGGTGTGTCTTCTCGCTTCGCTTCTACAATATCAAATCTAATCAATAAAAGGGACTATTACTGTTATAGATGGTGATACTGTCGAAATCAGCAACCTCCAACGCCAGATTCTGCATTCTGACGTGAAGATTGGTATGCATAAGGCACAATCTATCAATCAAGCTGCAGGTTACATCAACCCAAATGTAAAAGTAGTCCCAGTCTTAGAATCCTTTAACTCAACCAATGCCCAATCTCTCCTTCACTCCATCCAGCCAGATGTTGTCTTAGACTGTACTGATAACCCTTCAACTCGTTATCTCGTCTCCGATAGTGTAGTCATACACAATAGATCTAACAAACGTGCAACACTCATCAGTGCCGCTGCAACTGGCTTCAACGGTCAAATCATTACTCTCTGTTACAGTGACGATGCTCCATGTTACAGATGTATCATTCCGCGACCACCACCAGTACAAACTGTAACTAGCTGTGCTGATGATGGTATTCTAGGTGTCGTTACTGGTACGCTCGGTACATTACAGGCTACTGAATGTATCAAAGTTCTTCTTGGCATGCACAGCGGTGAAAGTGCAATGACAATTTACTCAGCGCTCGCTCCTGCTCCTTTCAGAACAATGAAGATGAGAGGCAGAAAGAAGAATTGTTTTGCTAACGGCGATGATGATGAAGAGCGTTTGGAGAATGTCGAGGATATTGATTATCTCACCTTCACCGGCGCTGGTTCATGTGGTGTAGACATGAATCTCAGCAAAAACAATGAGATAAGCGTAGAGGTGCGTTGGATTTGAAACTATATAGGCATCGCAAAGCTCATCTTGAATAGGATTTCATGGCGTCACGCAAGAATAATGACCTCGTACTCGATACACGATCTGCTGTTGAATACGGCATATGTCACATCGATGGATCAATTAGTGAGTGATATTTTATCTGCAGATGTATGATCTCACAACTTGCCAAAGATTTACCTATAACCGACCTACTCAAAGATCCTTCACAGGTCCAAGTGAACAAGAACGACACTGCTTATGTTTTTTGTCGCCGTGGAAACGACTCGCAGATAGCCACTGATGCCCTCCTCAAAAAAAATCAACTCAATGTTAAGAATGTTCAAGGTGGACTGGCAAGGTATAGCGAAATAAACAGTAATTTCCCCTTGTATTAAAATACTTGTAGTTTAACTTTATAGATATATTAATGAAGCCATTTTTTCGTCAAACTATACGAAAGCTCAATCTGGGGCTGGTCTCTGCATATCTGATGACTTCAGGATGTGTTTATAGATGAAAGGGCGCTTTGAATTGCTCTCCTAGTACGATCAAATGATTGCAGCCGTATGAGTCATTTGATTCGATTAATTTTTCTCAAGGCACCCTGCAAATAACCAAGTAAGGGTGGCTTGAGTGTCCTACTGAATATCTACACTGCTCTCGATCTTATTCATCTCCCTATCAAATTGATCTGCTCAACTCAAACCGCAAATGGTCGGAAATTTGCATAATACCAACATCTAAATCTTCAAAGCTGCTGAATCACACCGATATACCTCTATATTCACCATAAACGTAGTATCGAGCTACGTGATTTTCGCTGATATCACCAGTCACAGCCATTGAATAACTGTTTGTACGCCGTTAGCGGCGTAAATAGGAACGAGGGAAGCCGGGATTCGTGAGACAAAACAAACACAAGGCGCGAGTCAAGTGCTTCTCGTCCGTCGCTGCAGTATTTAAGCAGCCCACAATCCCTTCCTCTTTTCCTTGCGGTAAAACGTCTTGGTGGCTATAGTAAGGCGGGTATAAGCCTTTCACTGTAAATAGTCTGCACAACTCCCAGTAAGCTCTATCATTACTCTTTCGACTCTCACTGACCTTCAACAATACCTGGCAGTCTGTTTAAAGTTCCCTTTGAGTGATACTCCTAGTAAGCTTCCTATCATCACTTGGTTTATCTAACCTCAACCACCAAGACGAGGCAGTTCACAGACAATTAGCGTCCACAGGGCTTAATGCTGGCTCCAGGAAAAAAAACTGTCATTCCGAACTATTGCATACCTACTAAATACAAATGACGCAAAGAAAAGTGGGGGGGTCAGCCCAACTATGAAACATGGGGTTTGGCTTCTGACCAGTGCATTTCGAGATTTCAAATAAATGGAGTGAAGGGGTGATGAAAGTTGCAATGACATTGCCAAAGTCAGGATAATCAAATGTGTAATTATAAAAACAAATTCACACTCCCTAAAACATGCCAGATATAGTTTAAAGTTTACAGAGTGATACAGAGTGATTCAAAGTGCTAAACAGACTACAATCACCATCGCCTTTTTGCACACCTAGTTTCTGCAAATCACATCATTATTGTCCAAATATTCCCCTTGACTACGATTTTTATATAATGCAGGCTTTTAGTGGGTGAGAGAGCTCGTTGGGTGGCTACACTTTAGCAGATAGCCTTGGATAACAGATATAATAATAATGCATCGTTTGTAATCAAGACAATAAAACTCACTGCTGATCTGGTTGAGATGCAGTTGCAGTGTCGAGTGAAGTAGAGGTAGACTCAGATCTATCCATTGAAGTAGTGTGGGTTGTACCACTTGGAATGTTCACAGGCGGTACGGCTGATGATGAGGCATTGCTTGCGGTTGAGCCGCTATCGTTGCTTCTTATTGCGAGACTTGCGAGTGTGGAAGTAGGCGGAGCGAGTGTGACAGATGGAGGGACGGGTGAGTGAGTTGGGAAAGGTTGTGCAGGTTTTAATCCATCTTCTAAGATTTCTTCAGAGTTGTCGTCATCCTCCTCTTCATCGTCTTCATCGTCATCAGATGAGTTTATGCCTTCTTGCATTTGCTCAATCAAAGCATGACATTCTTCTAGATGGGCAGAGACTATCGCTTGACCTGTGTGTTGAAGTATGAGCATGGGATGAGGTATGCTATCCTAGTACGCACCTTCTGGAACACTTCCGTCGTCAGAGTAGAATTTGCCATCTTTACGGAGGTTGTCGATTTGGTAGAGTGCGAGGTGATACTAGAGGCATTTAGGTGGATATTGAGCAAGTGGGCAGGTACTCACTGGATAAAGATCTCTTGGAGTAAAGTCATTGCCATGCTTGAGAACTTCATTTAAACACTTCTTGACAGTGAGTAGCTTGTTGGATATAGGCATGAGTTCTTCGGAGATAGGTTCACTTGAAGAGATCAGTCTGTACAGCAGACCATGACAGCGGCGGAGAAGGTAGAGAAGGGCCTGAGGTAATTATTAGGGTAATATTTTGGACTATTAAAGCAAAACGAACGAATTGACCACCTGGTTCTGTTGACGATTGTTAGTACGATGTCATGGTAACCAAGTAGCTAGAACTCACGATTGCCATCACTGTCAACCCATTTTCCATCTATTCTCATTTTGTCAATCTCTTGCAAGCTTAATTGATAATTCCAAAGGTCGGTCTCTCGCAAAGTCCATCTGTGAGTTAGGACCAACCTTTCTAATTGCATTCTGATTTCCGTCAGTCTGTCAAATATAGGTTTAAGTGGTATAGCGACGTCATCTCTTCTAGCGTTAACATCTTGAACGATTTCGAAGCATTCTTCGAGTAAACCGACAAGAATGGCTTGACCGGGTGGGACGGATGAGCCACCTGGGCCTAAGAATTTACCATCTTGTCTTTTGCTGTCAATTTTACGTAATTCTTCGAGCAGAGGTTTAATTTCGTGCTTCTGAGGAGGGTTGTCTTTGCTAACGATAGCAGCTAATTGACGACGAATTGTGACTAAACGTTGATGGATGGGAACTAGCTCAACGTCTAAAACGCTTAAAGAGGTGACCAAGTTTCTGTAAATGCGTTCACAGTCTTCTAGCCTTCTCAAAAGAAATTTTGTCATTTGATCTGGGTGTTTACCGATTTCTCTATCTTTATTGATAATCTGGCTAAGTTGGCTAAGTCTATTTTGAAATGGTTGTAAGTCATTTTGTGTGTAGACACCAGACTCATCGAGATGAGACAGTAATTGACGTATAGTTGCTAATTGACAGTAAGTTGCAGGACTTTCTTTGTTTTTACCAATCGTTAAGAAGAATAAAGATAATAATTGAATAACGTCATCTAGCGTAGTATCAACTCTATTTGGAGTAGCTGTTGATAGATCAACGTCTTCTCTTGCATCATTTAACTTTGAAATTAGCTTTATAACTTGAGAGTAAATTGATTGTACATCTGAAGATTTGATGTAATCCTTCCTATCCTTCTTTAAAGCTGTCAGGCGGTTTCGGATGCTATAACGGAAGTTAGCAAGTGGCCACACACTCACACACAAACTAACTTGACTAAGGATTCTAAAATTGAGAGCTCTTGCTTTAGTTTAAAGTTAATAGAATTCAGGTTTAAAAACTAAAGCGCACCTGATTCACAGGCATTTATCGTTTGACGTCGTCAGTTGAACCATAATAATGATCTTATTGAATGAGGATATTTGGTTGGAAATTATTAATAGACTAGACACTTCAAATCTACTGGCTTTATTAGAAATCAATAAAGATTTCTATTCTTTAGTCTCGCATGCGCTCTCTATAAGGCTAAACACAGCTAAGCCTTTGGATTCCATTAGGATTGATAAGAGGTGGAATTCTCAAAGATTTAAACTGACTTCTACCAAATTTGATAAGTATTTCATTAAATTTGTTCATTTGGTTGATAATTTGGTTATAACTTGCTCATCTGACAGCTTAATCAATATAAACAATCAAGCTTCTATCAAGTGTAATGATGACTTGACTTGCTTAGCTGTTGATAAGCGTAATGATTATATCCTAATCGTCGCCTATTTCTTCAATAATCAACCCGCAAGTTGCGTTTATAGGGTTAGCATTGATAAACCACATCGGATTGATTTGTTATCTACCGTCTATGATAGATCTTGGCCAATATGCCACTCTATATCTATAGAAGAAGACTTTATTGTCTACTCATCCTTTAATCACACCTTACACGTTCTAAATCACAGAACAAATCAACACCTTACACTCCAGAGAGATTCCTCTTCAGATCACACTTTATCTCAATTGAAATTACTCAATAATCACTTAATAGTCATCACTAAATACTCGAGAATAGAAGTTTATGACTTATCAGACATTCTATCATCTAACTTATGGTCAATCAGTAACAACACAACACATTCAACATACACTGTAAACACATTTCGCGAATCTGATCATTGTTTGGAAAGCAGACAATCTTCAACAATCTATACAACCCAGCAACGCATTATACCATCACTCACATTCAATCAATCAACTCCAAATGAATTTAACTTTCTTTGCAAGTTTACAAACTCAATTCAGCGTAACGATCAAAGTCAAGATACCCACTTAATATGCATGACTAGACATGAGTTGCATAAAACAACTTTCAACTCTAGCAATATCTACAACCCAATCACACATCACTACCCGCTACAATCACCTTCTCCATTATTGCAACACTTTAACACAGACTACACGGTGATGACGATGGGTCAATTCATAGACGTTAGCGATACAAAATACTTCTTCTCTATCATTACAGGTGGTTACTTCCCAAAGTGTACTGTTATCGACAACAACTTCAACATTGTATTCCCAACGACAGATGCTCAACATATGGGTGTTATCATTAACGCTGATTTCGACGACGCGAATGGTAAAGTCGTCTTCTGTACTAGTCAAGGTTATGTGCATGTATTAGACTATCTAACTTAGCCTCCTACTCAAGCAGACCCCGTCTCAACTTGAATATTGATAAGGGATCCTTAATTGATACCATGTGTATTGGTGGTGTCAGTGTTGGATATCGTCTGCATAACTCCATCTCCACATTTCCAACATACTCCTCTAAAACGGGCTTAGGAACCATATCTGATTTTGTAAACGCCAATTGATATAACCAACGTACGCCATATTCTTCTCTTTGTTTGTTTAGATAGTTTAGGAAATAGTGATCACTGTCTAGTAAACCATGCATAGCATTGATTAGAACCACAACACGATTCAGATTCGAACGCGTTTCAATGTATTCTTCCACTATTCCACCCCAACTATCTCTACCCATACCGCCATATCCTGGTGCATCCACGAGGGTGAATTTTCCATTAAGTGAAAAGTAATTTAAGTGCTTTGTTTGACCTGCGTGTCTGCTCGTCTTTACCATGTCTTTGGTTGAGAGAAGACTATTGAGAAGACTGGATTTCCCGACGTTTGATCTGCCGACGAAGAGCATTTCTGGTGATTTGGACTTTTGCATTGATTTCCAATTCATCTGCTTGACGTTGGTTGTGAACATATTTTCCAATTGCTTCTTAGTTGCCATTGCTAGAGTGTTGAGCAGAGACAACGAACGGGAATGACGGTCGTGTTAATTTTGGTTGGCGTAGTTGGCTCTGGGAAGGTCTGCCGTAAGGATTATTCGCATTTCCGTTCTCATATCCTCTCAGAGCACTCTGTCTAAGGCTATCGAACGACACATCCCAAATTGGGTTAGAGCCAATCAGGATGATTTGAAGGACAGACGGAGTGTAGAGAAGCTAGTAAGGCAGACTTTGTCCACTGGTTTGAATGTCATTGTTGACCGAACAAACATTGATATCAAGTGGGTGGTTCAGTAGTGTTTTTATGTTATTTCTCAATGCTATTTCTCTCTTCCAGACAACGCTCACACTGGACAAGAATCGCTGCTGAGTTTGGCGCTGTCACTCAGTCTTTGAGTCGTAAGTGAAGATAACATTCAGTGTGATAGCTTATCGATATGGCTAGTTGAGGTATCTTACCAAGTGAGTTCCTGCTCAGTTCCAACATACCATTCACATCCAATCAGGTCTGCAAGGATCGTCTCACGACACGACAAGACCATCCAACTATAGCAGACCCCGTCGAAGCTATAAAAGTGGGTGTACTTTTTGAAATGACGCTCATTCTAAAATTCAACAGATATTGAATATGTTCGGCAACAGAAAGCAGCCAGTTTGCAATCTGGAACCGATACAGAACGCTCTAGTGGTGGACGAAACAGATGGCGTGTTCAAACACTATAACTCTACAAGTGACGACTTGCCTAAAGCCGCGCTCGAAGATTTATTGGAAAGGATAGGAAAAGCTCCAGGTCCACCGGCACCACCACCAACGGCAGCTAAAACACCACCTAACAAGAAGCACAAGCCTGAAAAGGCAAGTAAAGATATCAGAGGTTTCTTCAAGCCACCCACATGATATTTTCACAAGTTCAATTAGCTTTGCATGTGTTGTACTTATATCTGTCAGTCAGAAACAAAACACGCTTGTCAATAAATTATACAACATGAAACAAAGGATGCGAGTGAGTGAATGCTAAATTTGTCTAAGGAGGTTGTGTTTGAGTCGTATATCAGTCACATATCAGTCATTTGACGTGGTATCATTGTTTGTGTTTCTGGAGTTATTTTCGCCAATATTTCCTGCATTCCGATCATTCTCAGATACCCCTAGTAATTATTGTAAACAAAAAAACTTGTTGTTGAGAATAACACTCACAAGTTCGCAATAGCTGCGCTAAAGTGTTAAGTTGTCTCGGATTGAGACTGCCAAAGTTAACGACCAAATGAACCATGCCCCTGTTCTCAATTACGCTGTGCAATACACATGCGGGGCTATCACCATTTTGTACATTTGCAATCGGTACAGGAGTGATACCTAGTGACATGAGCTGACCGAGTCTGGTATAAGGGAGAGTGAGTGGAATCTGAGCATTGTTTGCGGGAGTAGAAGGGGCAGGAGTGGATGTTGCTGATCTGTTCGTGGTAGAAACACCAGGAACACCCTTTAAATCACGTATTTGTTGTGCCAATCTGACGTTATCGTCTTTTATGTGACTATTGACTTGTCTGAGGAGGAAATTTGAGTGAGACTTGTGTATAACATCAAATTCTCTCGCTTTTCTGAATCTGTCGTAGATCTTCTGCCGCCGTGCGTAAAAATCGAGGACGGTATCATCACCTAGGCTTGTGGAAGGTCGGGAGACGTGAGTGTCTTCAACTGGCTGTTGATATACGTGATAAGGGAGTAGCCTATCTAGAGCATCTTCGTAGCTATTGAATGGTGTGTTATAATCGGGTTCAATGACGTGCTGGTGATTGTGGCTGATGAGATTGCGAGCGCTGTAATTCGCGGGTAAGAAGCGAAACAAAGAGCAAGACACACAAAACGCACTTATTCTGGCTATTGAAGGCTTCCAAGTGATCGGATAAGAACTTGCCACCAATGGTGTATCTGACATCGCTATTGTATTCTATAGTCTTCTCTTCCAGCACAGCCTCATTTAATTCCTTGGTGATCAGCTCTGAGCTGGCTAGAATCGCTAGCGCATCCACGCTCAGTCTCTGCCAGATTTGCTCATCGGGATTTCCGCTGCTCATTTTTGATTTGGGGATTTTGAAAAGCAGAAATGGGAAAAGCTTCTTGATCCGCAACGAAATAAAGTGAGTAAAATGAGGCGGGAGGCGTAAAGGAATAGAGTAGTGCTAGAGGATGAAATATATTTTACTTTTAGATGACGAGTCTTACTGGTTTTCTTCAAGGTACACTCTCCGCGGCGGTTCTCTGAGTTATTCGGAAGCCAATGTGGATCGTACTGGATGGATTATCGGGTTGATGATACTTTTGGCCCTGATCTAGCACTCTCTCTTTTCTCTTACGCTCTTTCTTTCTCTTCTTTTCTGACATTTCTTCAGTAAAACCATAAGCATAATGAGCTCATACGATTCAGACGATTCAGACTACAGTGAATACGAGAGCAATGTTCACCTGGGCTTGCCTGATGGCGGTCCGATCGCCGATTCAGATCATCCAGTCATTGAAATATCGCGCATCGGAGGTCAACCTGTACGCACTCTCTTTTGTAACCTTGATATATTCTTATTTACATCTCAGTCCTTCCCGCGTTTACGCTCTCTCCCTAACCCCTCAAGCAATTTATGTAAAAATTGCAATGGGAGTATGCAGATGATGATACAGATATTTGCGCCATATCCTGATTCTGTCAATGATAGAGTATTGTTCTTCTTCGCATGCTCTAGAGTCGCGTGCCAGAAGAAGGAGGGCAGTGTCAGAGCGTTTAGGTGTTTGTCTAGGAATGAAAAGTGGGCGAGGAAGCTCGAGAAATTGAAGCAGAGGGATCAAGAAAAGAAGAAGAAGCAGGTAGAGGATGAAAACAAGGCTAAGGAAGAAGCAAAGAGCAATCCATTTACTGTGTGTTTGGGTACTTGGGTACGATAAAGCCTGCTAACTAGACACAGTCACATAAACCCAACCCATTCAATCAGAGTAGTCAGGGAGGTGGTGCTTTTGGTGCAGACAGCTCCGACTCTGACCACGATGAAGAGGAACAGCCTAGATTCAAGAAGATAATAGATTCAGATAGCGAGGAGGAAGGAGAAGATGAAGATGAAGAGCTAGAAGCTGAGCTAGCCAAGTTGGAGATTTCAGATGGAGGTGCAGCGCCAACGAAGTTATCGTGGCCAACGCAACCGAGCTACACAAGTCAGTACATCGCAACCACACCCGAAGTCATACCAAAGCAGAGCTCTGAAAAGCCTTTGAAGATTGAAGAGGTGAATCAAACCCTCTCAGCTGGTCCAAATAGCGAGCTGGAAGAGTTTGAGAGGAGTATGGGTAATGGAATGGATCAGGCTTTTGAGCATTTCGTCAAACGCATCAGCCATGAACCACAGCAGTGCATAAGATATGATCTGGGCGGTGTGCCGATGATGTACACCAACAGAGATGAAGTTTACAAGAAGCTATACGGTAGTGGAAACAGCTACGACGCGTCTAAAGTGCCAAGATGTGCACAGTGCGGTAGCAAGCGTGTATTTGAGTGTCAGGTCACGCCTAATATTATTAACTTGTGCAACACTTCCACTGAAACTGACGACAAACAGAAGGAGGAGTTGCAAGATAATAAATCAGCAGATATGGAGTGGGGCACTATACTTCTCTTTGTCTGCGAGAATGATTGCTGCTTAGATCCGGCTAATAAAGATACTCAAAAAGAAGCTCGCGAACAGTGGGTTGAAGAGTTGACGTATGTTCAATGGGAGTAGGCAGTATGATATAATTATTCACTTGTTCTTTATAGATAGTACATCATTCACTAGATCATCTACGTGTATCGTGCTAAGCCATTCCTGCTGCTGATACTGTCCTTCAGAACCATCTCTGAGCGAAACAGCAACAAGATGGCCATCCAAGTGAGCCTGAAAAAAGCCCCATCTATTTAAAACCCCTTGAGTAACATAACCGAGTTTTAAATCCCGTCCATCTACTGTGACTGCTGTGATGTTAGCAGCAGCGTTCTGTTGACGTTGTTCGGGCGTTGTGGGGGTCGTTGAGTCTGCAGTATAATCGCAAGGGAATCTATAAGCCACGCGGCTGAAATCAAACCCTAATCCAAAACCTAAGGCTTTCGTATAAGCCTCTTTAAGTGTCCATAAAGATAGCAATCTGCTGAGTTTCGATGTGTGGTCTGGCATAGCGCGTAGATTGATGCTTTCACTGGAGTGCATCTGCAGAAAAGCTTAAAACTGTTTAATTCCATTAAGGCAAAGTACACACCTGTGTCTCAAATGCTTGGTAGAACTCTTCGTGCGTTGTATTGCGAGGTAAAGCTAGCCTTGTAACATCGACGCCTATTCTGGAGTTATGGGATAGCGTATAACCGATTAAAACATAGTCTCCGTCATGGGATACGTTGTAATCTGAGACTGGAATGTCGACAGGATTAGACTGAAGTGAGTGAGAATTGAAATGATAATAATAAACGGTTTCTCACATAGAAAGGTCTATTCTCTGGAGTTGCACCGAATGAAATTAAGTTCCAATCAATGTTGAAGTATTTCGTGAGTATGTATCGTGGCAGCAGTCTTCCAATAATACATCCTGGTACTTTTGTAAGTGTGAATTGGTTTAATATAGCTTAAAACGCGTACTCTTCGCGTCATCCTTAAATCTGTATGCTTTAGTACGTTCAATTGAGGCTGTGTCTAGGGTTGAAAGGAGTTTATTGAATAGCTTGAAGGGTGGAGTGAGCTGTGTGTTATACCCCACTAAACAAATTCACTCACGTCGTCACTTGGATTCCATTCACTCAGTTTCACGGCAATTACTCTCATTTTATCACAAACACCCGCGTTTACCTTGGTTTGACCTGAACAACGACATGTCGGAACCTTCAAAGGAGATATTATCAAATAGCGCAGCCCTGCATGCGTTAAAGCGCCCACAATTGAATAGACTGTGTAAAAGATTTGGTCTCACCGCTAAAGGAAAGGTGCGTGTATCGTTTTGTGATTATAAGCCAGCAAGTTTACGCGTTTTTATCTCAGAATACAGAGCTTATTGGTAGATTAGAAAACTTGGCCGGGAATATCAGTAGACAGGAACTCGATGACTTTGCAGGTGCGCCTGAGGAGTCACCAACGAAGAAAGGTAGAATGACAGACAATTGGGAAATGGTTGACGATGTTAGCCATTCTGAGAATGTCGACTTTGGACCAGCTTCACCGCGTAAACAAGCAGGAGAACACGGATCACAGCCTACACACTCAAAATCAAGCTCAACTTTGAGGTCCTTGGCTTCAACTATTAAGAACAAGTGGAGGGATATTAGCCCTTCGAAGCAATCCACCGTCAGTCCATCCAAGTTTCAGGATGTTTGCGTTCCAATGGATCAAGATAGCAGCAGCGAGGATGAGGATGAGCAGGAAGAAGAGAATTGGAATGTCATTCCTGGAGAATGTCAACCAACTCGTTTATCAACAGCTGCATCGATACATGATGACACAATTATTGACGATACCGTTAAACTAGTCAACAATGACAATAGACCGCCATCGCCATCACCTTCGTTCGTAAACAGACCAAGTCTGCCTGGAAACAACAAGAGCGATGTCTCAAGTAGAAGCGCATCACCTAAGGTGTACCCACCACTACCACAATTCGTGTTTGGGCAGCAATCAGGTGTTTCAAATGCAGGTTTCACGTCGATTATGGATGAACTGAACAGACGTCTGCCAACTGCCGAAGTCAAGCCTGAAGTTGAAGCGCAAGCAGAGACGAGTAGATCACCAAAGAGTGCAGCGCAATTAGGGTTGAAGAGTGCCACGAATCTCAAGATAAAGAGGAAATTCGATGATGCACATGAGAATGAGTTTAAGAAGATGGGCAGTATAGCCGATCACTATGCAGCCAGACCCAAGGTTTCGCCCAAGAAGCCAGGTCAGCCGAGGGCACAGACTGAGGGCAAGACAAGTCCATCGAAGGCTGCACAATATAGACAAACGACACAACCTACTCAACCCACCTCATCTGCTCAAGACGAGGGTGTTCTGCAGAAAGAAGCCAAAGCTAGACCATCTGTAACAGAACCAAGCCAACCTAACAAGAGGATCAAAGTGGCTGCACCTACAAATGAGGAGAAGGAGCGTAGAGATGATGTCAAGCGTAGATTAGAGGTGTCGAGACAGAAGAGACGGTCAAGTATGGCAGCTAATGCTAGAGGAAGACCATCTGCTAGGATGAGCGGAGGCGGGAAACCACCAACTAGAGTCGCAACTGCTAGCAAGGCTGCTGGGATGATCAAAAGTGTAGGCAAGAAGATATTCGGTGGAAGTGGTAGCAGTACAACTAATGCAAAGGCATCGAGTAGCTCTGGAGGTGGCGAAGAAGGTACAGGGAAGACGAGAATGGTGAAGAAACTTAAGAAGGTGGAGCAAGCACCGCCAACCCCAAGAACATCAGCAGCGACAAAGCCAACGCCATTTTCGTTTGCGGGTGCTAGAGGTAAAGGTGATAGGAATGATGGGAGTAAAAGCAGTAGAAACACTGTAAACAATTCAAACAATGCAAACACAGCAAATACTACAAGTCCATCAAACCCTAAAAACTCAACAAACCCGCCAAATCAAGCAGCAGAGGCACAGCAGAGGGCTGCAGAGAGGGTGAAGATGGCAAAGCTGAAGGACAGCAACAAGGGAGGAAAAGGAACGCCAACAAAGAGAGGAGTTAGGGGTAGTAATGCGAATAAGAGACCTTCGCAGGCAGAGCAAGTTTCCAAGGCTAGGATGTCTCATTCACCGGTGAAGCGCAGAGGGGGAGGATAAAGGGAATAAAACAAGTAAATATGTATTGTACTATACAAGGATGAAGAAATAAGAATAAAATTTAAAGTTAAAAATTTGGGATTGATATCATGTCAAATTTCTTCTCTTTAGCCTTGACCAACTAATTTAGCAAGTGAGTGCGAGTAGAGTAGAATATAAGGAAAAGCTAATATCTAATACAGTGACTCGGTTAGTGTTTTTGGACGTGGCTTTACAATCAATCTAATCGCTCGACTCAGCCTCTACGCCCGTGGTCGTGTACTCTCGCACCAAAGAGGAAAGCGTACGTCACGCCCAAAGACCTCTATCATCCAAGTTGAGGGTGCAACCAAGACTGAAGATGCTAAATTCTACCTTGGTAAGGTGGGTTTCGTTGTGATTTGAGTGGTGTGGATGGCTAGCTCACAAAGCTCACAGAGAATCGCATACGTTTACAAGGGTAAGAAGGCAGTTAATGGAACCAAGGTCCGCGTCATTTGGGGTCGCTGCACTCGTACCCACGGTAACTCTGGCGTCGTTCGTGCAAAATTCTCCTCGAACCTTCCACCAGTTACATTTGGTGCAACCTGTCGTATTGTGGGTTGTCGTTTATTTGCATTGAGAATTATATTCACGGTTTATTTCCTTACAGATGCTTTACCCATCAAGCATTTAAATTTTAACAAATTTTTATGTATGAGAATAAACGGCAAATACATTTGGTCAATGTTTAGAAATGGATTTGGATTTGGATAAATTGGGTAATTCGATTAGGCGGGAAGTTGAGGAGGAAGATCTAGTTGAATATTTGATTGATTTGATTCAGGATGAGGATATTGAGGATATAGATGATATAGCCAACGAAGATTCTCAGATCAGAAGCCTTCTAATTGGTTGTTTAGTTGAGTTGGGTGTGGATGAGGGGATCGCGGATGAAAAGGTTGATAAAATTATATTCAACTATACACACACGCAAACACACACACAAGACATAGAATACTTGAACAACAATCAATGTGAACTTTGTGAAAGATTTACTCGACTAACGATACATCACTTGCTACCAAAATCTGAACATAAAAGGTTGATCAAAAGAGGTTTATTTGATAAGCATCAGTGCGATAATCTCACTATTAAAATCTGCAGAAATTGCCACAATAGCTGCCATCAGTATATTTCAAATAAAGATTTAGCAGATGAGTTCAATTCAATTGATAAATTATTATCAAATGAGCTTATTTATAAATTTGTTAAATTTAATTCGAGGCAGTAGAGATATCCTCTAGAGTACTCACACAATCATGTTGATATTTGAAGATATCCAAGTAGGTAATATGCTTTTAAAATACTCAAATCTAACAAATAGAAGCGAAAGTATCCCTCCATCGATACAACACTCTTAACCCTTTTAATCCAAGACTACGGTGATGACGTTGATAGCTTGTTAGACACTTTAAATGAGTTAGACGGTGATAAAAACCTCGATGATAACGTTTTAGACTTTTTAAAAGATTCATTCCCTTCACTTTCATCTAATCAACTAAACTCGACACTCATTAACAACGATAATAACTTAGATACTACAATTGAATACTTGATTCAAAATGAGTTCAGATTGTCAAATTACACTACACAATCACCGTCTTCAACAACCTCACTCCCCTCAAATTCAAACAAGAAGAAAAAAAAACAACAATCAATCACTCCTATAAAACAATTTGAGCCTCCTACAGATTTTGATTGGGTTGTGTTAGATTCAATTTCAACCTCCATTCATAGACAACTTGGTGTCTCAAATGACCATCTCATTAACTCACTCAAATCTCACATAAACTCAACTAAAGCTTTAACTCTGTCCGACGCTTTATCTACTTACTTGGAAACATTCAATCACATTCTAAACTCTACCGCATTAGACATCTTCCTCGCTTTATTCAGCAATCAAGATATTCATGACGCTAAATTAGTCCTACAAGCCTGTAATAATCGTATAGAAGACGCTGAAACCGTTCTCCACACTCTGAACCACTTGAAACTATCTGAACGCTCCATCGATGGTTTGCTTGAAGATCAACTCAACATTTCTACTTCAAACAACCCAACTAAACTTTCCAGAGCTAAATCCACCCCTTCTATACCCTCCCAATCAATTAGTACACCAACTGCTTGGAATAAAATTAGTAAGAAGCCTCCAAAGAAGAACAATCAACCTATTTTCCCTCATCTACCTCAAGTCACTAAAGATGACATTGATTCTAACAGTTCTAACAATTCTACAAACCACTACGAACTTTATTGTCGTAAAATGGAGCATGACTTTAGAATTAAACGACAATCTGCTATCAAAGATGCTGGTCATCTTTATTACTCTTCTAAATCTTGGAAACATGGTACAGGTGGTATTGCAAGTCAAGCAAAATCTCAACAGGCTAGAGAATTGAAAGAGCTAGCCGATGAATGGGCTGTCAAGGCTGCTAAAGCTTCCATACAATCCAGATCATCACTATCTGAAAATGTTGTAGATCTGCACTACCTCACTTCACAAGAAGCTTTAGCCGTTGCCGCTGATAGCGTTGATAAATGGTGGTCTAAACGTCCCCTCAACAACAATCAACTACTCAAACTTGGTCCACTTGTTTTCATTACTGGTATTGGTTTGCATTCAACTGGTAAGCAACCCATTCTGTTCCCACAAGTAGCACGTATGCTCGAGAATCAAGGTTGGAGTATCGAGCGTCAACAGAGTCGAGGGTGTATTCTAGTAAAGGGGAGGTAAATCCATCATATCAGCTCATTTAACGACATCGTAATATATTTTTGTGTAAGATTGTACTATATCCTAATTTATCCACCTTTACAATTCATCCTTTACATGCTTGTGCTGCTCAGCTTGTTCTTGCTTGGTAGTCGACGTTTTTAGCGTACCTTCCAATAAACCGGTGATCAGCTCCACGTAAACATCAACACCTTCAACCAACTCATCCTTGTATATGTGTTCATCCAACTTATGAGCGCTTGAAACTGATCCACAACCAATCAACATCTTCTTCGCTGTTGGATGTTTCCATGCGAACAGATCAGTACCGAATGGCATAGTTTGTACTGGTCTCCAATTATCAACTGTATCAAGCTAACTAGTTTAG